CCCTCCATTCAAAGAAGCCCTGCATTACCCTTAGATCCAGTTACAAATACTCTGTGCAGGCAGTGGTCTGCAAATTGTACCAAGAGCAAATACAGGAGAAGCTTGCAAAAATGAAAGTAGAAGAAGGTGATACCCATGGAAGCAAGCAGATTCAACAGTATCAGAATGCATTGACAGCTTTTATTCAGGATGTCCTGATGGAGGAACAATTGGCTGCAGCTGAAGATATAGTGGAAAGGTGGAATGGGCAGGAAGGCCCTGCACCAGAGACAAAAGCAAGGTGTGATTGTATGAGGTCAACTTCCCAGTCTTCAATTTATCCTGGTTCCCAGGAATGCAGCCAAGTATGGGTACAAGTATGTCCAAAACTTTGCAATGGAGATGTGGAGGTATTGTGGAATGCACATAATGTGTATGGCTGGGTGGAAAAATGAGGAGGGAACTATACAGGCATGCATGTGAGTCCACCATATTCTCCTCTAGGCCTAGGTAAGACTCATGCAATGACAGTATGAACTTCAATAACAAAATTGTGGATGGAATCCCCTTCAATGATGTCTGCACACTGGAAGGAAGCTGGCAAGAGTACCTTGGGGAAACATTTGAGGAACCAGGAACACTGCCTGAGCATGATGGCAAGTCAAGTCCCAAACATGCTCAGAAAAAGACAGCAGCCAATGCAACAAGGACTGGCAAGGTTGACTCCATGAAATTGGTGAAAAATGCCAATGGAGAGATTTGGATAGGAGAAATCACAGGCCTTAGCCAGGACCAACTACAAAAAATGGTTCATGGATTTGTGACTGCTCACTACCATGAGTGGCCAGAGTATTTAGTGTCCTCAATCTCTGATGAGTGCTATCGGGATTAGCATGCAGAAATCCCTCATCAGCAGTGCCATTCAATAATTTTGGTCATCATCAAGCAGAAATGATAGCAGCCTGCCATCTTCCTGAAGGATTTACCTTCAACTGTGACCCAAGTCACATGTGAATGATGACAGCTACCCAGCTGCTGTCCTTTTGGCACAAGCAACAGGAATCCCATCCAAATGATGTGTTTGGATTTCAGAAATGGTTTGATCAATCTGGCGAGCTGCAGCCACTGGTGGATAGAACTTTGGCACCCCTCCAGGTTGTGAGGCAGCAGAAATACCAAAAGACACCTGCCCCCAAATGCAAAAAGAATCCCAGAAGGAAAAATGTCAAGGGCAAGGGTAAAGTGCAGGAAGAGGGAGTGGCAGATGATAGTGCAGATGATAGCACAGATGACAGCATGGATGACAGTTTGGATGATCACAGCGAGGCTGAGGCAAGCAATGTTGGAACAGATGGTCCCTCTGCTAAAAAGGTGCACCATGTGTGATTTTCATGCATGACAGATCAGCACTAATGTGATTCTGGTCTTCAGGTATCTGGTGGGAGGCAAAACCATGCCAAGACACCATTCCATTCACATTCCCACTCAAATCCCCCACCAGCTGATGGTTCCCATAGTGAGCAGCTCTCTGCACCTCCAGCCCATGCAAAGACCCTGGTGCATCATCCACAAAATAAAGCACTAACTGACTATAATGGGCAGGAATGCAATGGCCATGATTCCGATGATGAAGCTGATGAAGACACTTATTTGCCCACCCTATCCAATTCAAAGAAAACAGCAACATCCCTGAATAGTGAGCTTCCTGCTGTAACTTGTATTTGCAGCAAACCCTGATCTGCACTCAGGGAACGAGTACACAGCTGAACTACAGGACCACTCAGAATATGCAGATGAAGATGGATTGGAGAGCATTCCTTTCACTGACCACCCAACTGAGGAGGGGTCAACAAGCAGAAAAAAAGGTGGAAAGCTGAAATCTGCCCTGAAGCGCACACACCAGGCAAGTTTGGTCATATTGAATCAGCTGTTATGGCTAACAAGTTTGTGCTGTATATTAAGCAGGCTCTGTCAGAATTGAGTGAGCCAGACATGAATTGACATTGACCTGGGGCCAAATACTTGTCCAAGTCCAACCATAATGGATCTGTGACCACCAATGCAGCATCTGTGAATGTGAAACAGGGCATCCCTGGGAGCACCTGGAAGTCACCTCATGTCAGAAAGGCCCCTGCAAGGCCAGATGCAGATGTTCCATCTCCTGATGCAAAGAGATCATGCAAGCAAACAGGCAGCAATTAGAAGCAGAAGTAGTTGTTGAATCCCTCAAACAGTCAGAGCAGTAACCTTTTCTGGAACTCATGTATGGTCTATAGAGGGCTTGGCCTAGTGTGACACATTAGAATACAAGTGTATGGCATGTATGGTAGCTCATGACACCATGGTGGTTGTGAGAGGCATCTTTGATATCAGAGAGAGGGATAGTTAAGTGGGACAGTTGAGCAGGACAGGTCTATGTATTGGCCATGTGGAAGCAACTGGTAGCTATCTATGTAGGGAGATATTGCTGCTCATCTCCCATGTATTGCTGTTACCCAAAATTTGGCTCCATCCACCATTGTCCAACCTTGCTTCCCACAGTGTGAATGATATTCTTGCCATTGTTCCTACAAGTTTAAATCTTGATTGATCATCAACCTATCAGTGAACCCATCATCATTGAATATGTCCACTGAACAGTCCCACCAAGTTCGTTTCTGTTGTCAAGGTGAGGTTGTCTTCATTGTTGGATCCAGCAACCTAAGCCATCCACAGCTAATGTAAGACCAATTGAGCCAAGGCAATCTAACTCCCACATGAAGCAGTCCAAAAATCTGGGGGAGATGCTAGTACAACTGCATGAGTTGCAAGAGCCAACCCCTCCACCAATTGTCTCAAGTGGAAGGGTGGATATGGCAGGGTCAAACATGGATATCATGGCTGGTGAGTGAACATGATTTCTCTCCAAGCTAAACAACAAACATTGTTTCACTATAGATTCATGCAAAAGCTTGCTGGATCAGTTCCTGCAGGACAGGGAGCCAACTGCTCTGGCAGAGGGTGGAATTGTGGCTGGTGAGTTGGCATGATTGCCCTTCAAGCTAACAAACAAACTAATTTTCTAGTAATAGATCCACATGACAACTTGATGAATCAGTTCCTGAATGAACAGGAACCAACTGCTCCCCCAGCAGATGGTATGAACATGGATCTACTTGAGCAATTGCTGAATGTGCAGGAACCATCAGCACTGCCAGTCATGCACAAGAAATTAAACAGGATGGACAGGTCTTCAACACTTGCACAAGATGTTACTATGCAGGTCAATTTTCTGGCAGACTTGCAGAATGTGTGGGAACCATCTCCTCTGCCCATCACCCATGAATCATCAAATCTGAGGGACCAATCTCCTCAACCTGATTCTCCAACTAACCTGCTTGCTCAATTGCAGGATATGAGGGAACCAATGCCTCTTGAATCTTTTGACTTGGCAGTGGATGAGGACAATGGTGCAAACCATTTGACTTTTGGCATGCCCAAACAATCAGTGATGAGGGATCTTTTCAAGGAAATATGCAACAGTGAGCATTTATTTGATTCTATTCATGTGATCAGTGATATCCATCATTATGTAGGTGAACTTCCATCCACACAGCAATCTCTTCAAATGGAACAATGGGGATTGGCACCTGTTCCACATTGCAATCAAGGTATGGGCATGAGCTTAATCTGATACACCTTTGACATTGATAATTTTAGTCCTGTGCACCTTACATGCTGCAGTATCTCACTATTGCAGAAACACCACTCCCAGTGACATGCTGTTCAATCCCACCCTCAATAGGCACCTTGTGCAGGCTGCAAATGCCATTGTGAGAGAATTGGTCACAGCTGCAAGGGACCAGTGTGGTGCAGCCTCTCAGGGCCTTTGACTTGTCAATATGCTTGATTTGATGGAAGTCATTTGTTATCTGCATTCTGCCTTTGAAAATTGTCCTGAGCCATTCATTGCCAGCCAATCACACCCATCTTGCCAGTCTGTGGTAGAGATGGGTATCCTCTACTTGGCATGCCAGATTGAGGTGGCCTCTGTGCATCTGAAGTTGGTTTGCAAACCTAGCAATGGACTTGGTAGGTTTTACATCAATTTTTCACAATGTGGGACTGATACATAATTCCTTCAGAATCAGCTTAATAGCTTGATTCTGGTGACAGTGTTGCATGCCAGTTATACTCCTCCCCTCCCAGCATGCTACCATGCATACCTCAGACACCAAGATGATGAGGTTAGCTTCCACAATCAAATCCAGCCAATTCCCCTTAGTGCATTTTGCATAATCAACAATATCAGTGCCATCATCCTGCATTGGACCCCACATGCAGCTGATCCCAATTCCAGCTTTGCATTCCCTTGGTGGCTATATCATTCCAAGGAATATCCAGCAGATTCCCAAAGATTGCAAGGCAAGGGATTGTTTTCCATGGCCTGGGATTTTTTTAAGGTATGCCACTTATTCTTGTCACTGCAAATAGTTGATGATGGCCCAGGGCTTATGGCCATTGCCTGAGGCACCAATTGCAGACCATCTCAATGGCCATATTGAGGAGCAGGTAAACTACTGCATTGAAAATATTCAGAAATATGCCAATGTTGTCAATGGTTGGGGTCGACAAATTGACCATTTCTATGCTAGGTGGTGGGCATTGCATGGGTTGTTGGGCATGCCACTTCAATAGTTAACATGTTTTTGACTGTGGAATTGGTTGAATATGCATTGCTGTGAATGTCGATCATTTATGAGATACCACCCATTCACATGATGTCTGAACCCCTGCCCATCCATGTGATGTCTGGCAATCTGCCCATCTGCATGATGGCCTGAGTAGGTTTATGATTTTTGCAGTTTATGATGCACACCCTTTAGCTCTGAGTACTCACCCAATCTATGATGTTGAGGCACCTGCCCATTTGCAAAATCTTTGCAACACCACCCATCCAAAGTTCAAGAGCCAGCATATCCTAATAAAATTCAAGATCCACATTGCCTACTAAATCTTACATTAAATTTTGCAGCTTCAAATCAACAGTTCTCCAGTTGCAACTGGTCTAGGTAGTAGGTCATCCATCCGCAGTGATTGACACATGGAATGTGCACCGACTGATGGACATTGGCACACATGTAGTATGCCAGGCATGCTCTGTCACCGTCTACAGCTCCCACCCCATGCTCCAATGCTGAACCTGAAAATGCAATGATCATCCCTGGGTTGTAGCACAGCTGTAGATTCAACATTGGAATGACAAAGTCCAAGGGCAGGTAGTCACCCATGGGTACCAGCATGTCATACCATGGATCCTGTCCATTGATATCCCTGTGGTAACAAGTTTCCCAATTCACCATCATGGACATGCTGCTATATGTGGAGCTCCATATCAGCAGTATGGAGCTCATATCTGAATCCACCCACTGTTCCACCTGTTCACCAAGGTGGATCAATGCTTCCCTGCCATCTGCATACATTCATGGATGGATGACATGCAGGATCACAGATAACAGGGCATTGGTGTCAGACATTTGGTCAACCCATTCCCTTGTAGAAGTGTTTTCTGTCTTGGATTTGAGCAGCCATGAGGCTTCCAGGAAGCCATTTCGGGGCTTCAAGACAGATGAGCGCTTTATTCACAAGGAAAGAAATGATCACCCACCCCATGACCCTGTTGAAACCATGTGGGTGACAGGTTGATGGTGCCTTTCAACTCAGCATTATCATGGAAATATGACTTGTCCATCCACCATGCCTGTGGGGAAGCCTTTATGCTCTCCCACAGTGGTTCCCTCAGAAGATGAAGGTGGTTCCATACATTGGCCTGCCATTGCATTAAGTCAGTAGAATATGAGATTCTGCATTCCCTTACCCTTCTTTTTGGGCTGAGAGCATCCAGCAATACCAAATGTGGATGGTGTTTGAGTCAGTCACCAGAATGGATGGCTCAGTCACTTCTGCATATCTCTCAGCAGCTTCTGCATTGCAGGTTTTTCCACCCCAATTTTTCCCAATGTTGACTGCAGACAGATGAAAACTTCCATTGCACCATTATGATGGACTTACTTGGGTGACAATAGGCCTGTGAGATTACTGATGATATGCAATCCACTTCACATAACACTGGAAATGGAATCAATATATCTGGAAGGGTGCAAGGTCTGCTGAATACCTCCTCTTGAAATCTGGCTTTCATGTATGACACAATGCAGTCTGTTAGTTCCATTCACCATCTGTGGGGGGTTTTAGAGATGTCTTGCATAGTATTCATGCTTGGGGTGGATGAGGTCAGAGTTGTATAGTGGGCAAGCTGCTTGCAGCTTGTTGGAAAATTATGGCATGTTCAGATGCTTGCCTCAATATTTTGCTGTGATCCGATCAATATGTTGTGACACTATACATGCTATTGGTGTTGGGCCTGTCTTATGTTGCAACAGGGGTGGATCTTACTAGATGGACCTGTCCCTGTTTTATGGTGATATAAAAGATATTACTGAAGGGCCCATCCATATGTTATGACCATATAAATAATACTGCTGAAGGGCCCATCCTTATGTTGTGATCACATAAATGATACTGCTGAAGGGCCCTTCCATATGTTGTGACACTATAAATGATATTACTGATGGGCCCATCTTTATGTTGTGACTGCATAATTGATATTACTGATGGGCCCATCTTATGTTGCAACAGGGGCATATCTCACTAGATGGGCCCATCCATCTGTTAATACTGACTGGCCCATCTTTATGTTGTGACATGGGTGCATCTTACTAGATGGGCCCATCCATGTGTTGTGACCCTGTAAATGATATATATTGAAGGGCCCATCTTTATGTCGTGACAGGTACATCTTACTATGGACAGGCCTGCCCATGTGTTGTGATGGTATAAATGATATTACAGAAGGGCCTGTCCATATGTTGCAATGCTATAAATGATATTACTGATGGGCCTGTCTTTATGTTGTGACAGGGGTGCATCTTACTGGACAGGCCTATCTATGTGTTGTGATGCTGTAAATGATATTACTGACAGGCCCATCTTTATGTTGTGACAGGCGTGCATCTTACTGGATGGGCCCATCTATGTGTTGCGATGCTGTAAATGATATTACTGACAAGCCCATCTTTATGTTGTGACAGGCATACATGTTGCTATTGACAGGCCCATCCATGTGTTGTGACCATGTAATTGAACTTACTGATGGGCCTGTCCTTATGTTGGGACAGGGGTGTATCTTACTAGACAGGCCCATCTATGTGTTGTGACACTGTCAATGATATTACTGACAGGCCCATCCTTATGTTGTGAAAGGCATGCATCTTGCTATGGACAGGCCTGTCTATATGTTGTGACAGGGGTATATTATCCCAAAGATGGGCCCTTCCATATGTTGCCAACTCTGTAATCTATCATAGAGGGGCCCCTCTTTATGTTGTGACCCTATAAAGCATATGACAGGTGGGCCCATCCATATGTTGCAACCTTCTTCATGATACAATAGGCAGGCCTGTCCTGATATTGTGACTGGGGCACACCCTACCATGGACAGGCCTGTCCATGTCTTACAGTAGCTCAGCATACTTACTTGGTCATGGGCCTGCCTATATGTTGCAGCATCCTTACCCTCCACAGGCCCTCCCATATGTTGTGGAATTGTGCTTACAGGCCCATACATATGTTGCTCTCACTATAGGCTCTCAGGCCTGTCCATGTGTCATGGCTAATCTATTTAGATGGGCCCATCATGGGGTCTATATAAGTGTTAGCATTTTGGCATGCAGGCTATCTATATGTTATGCCTAAATGGACTACATGGGGTCCCCAAATCCATACTTTCCCATGCCCTGGGTTGCCTGCAGGGCTGGAGTATAGTAGTAGATGGTAGTACTACATGATACATGATGCTGATAACCAGCATGTAGAACATTTTTATTCAATGAAATGGACATCATTTTTCAATGATAGAAACACTTATTTTTCAGTGGTTAGGACACTGTTTTTTAGTAGGCCAAATGGGCACTTCAGTGTCACACAAAATCACTGAAGTTCAATCATCAGTAAATCACTTTTGCTGGCCAGAGCTGTCCAGAGCTGTCCAGCACTGGACAGATTCCCTAGGACTACCAGCTCACAAAGTGGTCTACTGATGTGCTGCAAAATTTGTTTTATGGATTTTAATGAGTGTCAGAGCAGCTTAAAATCAGTGTCAGTCATCAGAAGCTAATATCAGCCTCATCCAAACTTAACTGGGCTTGTGGCCCAAAGAACCAAGTGTCTGCTGTTGAGCTGTGGTTGAAGTCAGGGGCAGCTTTTATTTGATAGTAGATGGCATTTGTGCAACGACCCAAGCACATATTTTTGCTGACTTGTGGGTGCTGCCGAGTATGTAGTATGTAAACTAGTGAGTACAAGTGATCCATTGCCATCAGACAATGTCAGCAAGGTAATACACTGGAATAACAGGCAGTTGTAGCATACCACACAATTCAGAATAGGTGGATGACATCTAGGCAGTGGGGGGAGAGAATTCCTGCAATACATCAGTAGACCACTTTGTGAGCTGGTAGTCCTAGGGAATCTGTCCAGTGTGGGACAGCTCTGGACAGCTCTGGCCAGCAAAAGTGATTTACTGATGTAGAACAGCTACACTTGTCTTCATAAGGGATACAACACAGTTCATACTACCACTCTGTTAGAACGGACATGTGATACAGCAATCATACTGGAGCACATAAGGTGAGGAGGAATCCCCAGACTTCGACAATACCATGAGCATTGCAGGAACTCGCCATGCTGAGCAACCGTCAAGCACAAATAGACCACTTCAGGATACACTGAACTTTGTAACCTACCACAATTTATTAGTCTACCCCTAAGGACAAACATATGTAAGCTTGCTTTTGAAATATGGCCCATTCGTAGTGACCGGCTGTAACAATTCTCCACTATATTCGACATACCTGACCGAATAGCATGGGTACTAGTATACATGGGTGAAAACCATCTGAATGGTCATTAATATCGGGGTCCTTAGTCCATATCCCTTGCGGAGCGGAATAACTCATATTTCAACGTGCCTTTTTCTGCATCAGCCATGATCCTGATCAGTGGCGGAATGCCACTCAGCACTGAAATCGATACAATGCAGTAAATCGCAGTACCCACCGCCGCAAGTGAACCTGATGATCATCGTTTACAGGTTCAGCCAGTGCTTCCTCAAAGATTTTTCCGATTTCATTTAAAACCTAATGAAAGCGGCACCAAAATCTGATGAGTTGTCCTTGGTAGCACGTATGGGGTTACATACCCAACTGCGTCTCCTCGCTACCCGAACGGCATTTAATTCATCTTTTACAATCTTGAGGACAATCTGGTCGGGGTCAGACGACGTTTACAAGAATGGACAGGGTAACTTGCCTCTTTTGTTGCAAGTTTAACCTCCCGATGAATACCTGTCCAACATAACCACAGCATCTGAAACGTGTGTCCCATTAGCTCCGAAGAAGTGCTCTGATAGCGTTCTTACTCTTCCTGTGATATCTTCCTCCAGCGCACGTTTTTCAACATCATTTGCCTCGTCGAATTTTGCTTGCAGGTCCTTTATTTGTCGTAGATGTGAACCAAAACTAATGTAGCCCGAAAGTGTTCACAAAGGACAGCAAGATGGGAAGCAGCGCTTACCCATCGAAATCGGGTTTGCATTCCGCCTTGTTCACTACGCAATCCCGTCTAAAACACAGTAGTACGCTCTGCAAAGCAGGAGTGAGTAAACGAGAATGAAAGTACCCACAGTGGACCACGGCGAAAGGGCGCATCCTCGTAGACAGCACGAATATCCTCGAGTATCTGTTCGTCAATTGGCAGGAGCGTCAAAACAGGTTAGATGAGTCGATAACGCAAATGCGGACCTCAAAGGCGAGAGTCTTTGATATTAATAATGCCTCCTGCTCTATTTTTCGTTTATTAGAGGACTTGAGCTTGCGACCCCTTCGGATGATCTTCAGTAGATTGGCCACCGCAGTTTCGATGCGTGGATTCTGGACCACCTCAGGCTCGCCTAGTAACAAGGATTCGCACCCTGGAATATTGCTGGTTTGTCACAAGCAGCCCGCAGCCGCGAAAAGTACTTGACATACGAATTCCATCTTTTATAGTCACTGAAGGAACCCCGTCCCACGTAAGTCCTACAAGTTCCTTGAAGAAGGTAATGCTTCCAACCTAGCGTTCATTCCAGGGAGCGTATAGGGTTACCTGAGTGAAGACGCACATAATTTTCCAGGTACTTTACACCAAACATATTTGAGAAGAACTCGAGTGCACCTTCTATACGCACGTCGTCCTGCCTTCCGCCCTGATGGTGCCTCAACAAGATGCACGTACATTAAGAAGAGATTTTGCGCACCACTGAGTCATCCCTAGTTCCAGGCGCCGTGGATAAGCGCTGCAGTGGACATAGTCAGCCAAGGATCACGGCGTGGCTTGCAGTGATGCATACAAAGTCTAATAGGATATGGAACTGTTCTCTAGATTGCAGGGGCGGTCATTAGCCAGTTTATATTCCCAGGTCACTTGGATACTTTAAATTTACCGAATTACTTCGAACTGTTTCCTTCTCTCTTTATCGGTTTCGTCTCGACACCACACCTGTGGCTGGGAAATACTGCACAAAGCAGTAATGTTATGTGGGCCGGTTGACACAGAGTCTAACCTAGACAGTTGAAAATAGTCAACCATCACAAAGCGCAAAGAAACTCACGGTCCTTTGAGTGTTCGTTGACACCAGACCCAGCCTTCTCGACCCATTCACTGCTGGAACCAAACGCTCTGTACGCCGAACACTGCACAACCGCTGTCACTAGATATTTGTCTGTAAGGCGAGCAGATAAGGCTTTCAGCAGTAAAATGAGATGTCGACTGTTCGGAAGTAACCAGCCAACCGGTCCACGTAAGACCAGCGGAGGGAAAGTCTTCGGGTCGACAACCGTTTCTACGCCGTCATCCCGCTTAACGGCGCTAGAAACAATCCGCTTAACTGGGCGACAAGCAGGATCATTTGGCTTGACGGCGAGAACTCCTGACAGTGTTCTGAGCTCTTCAAAGATGTTACCATTACATTTGAAAGTTTCGTCCTTCCGATCCCAATCGCCATAATCACCAAGCTGTTTACATCAGGCTCCGATAGAACCTTGGTACGGATATGCTGATACTCACCGCAATCATCTGGGTCGTACACTCCAGAAGCTTTATGTGAATCCCGTCAACGAGTAACCAGTGTCCACGCTTGTAGGCAATATCCATCTTCATGAGACCGGGTATAGGAAGCCCGTCTCGGTCATCCTGCGGTGGCAAAGCTAATTAGTTCTGCAACAACACAAGGAAAATAAACCACTGACAGCAGTAACCCTCCATTCGAGGGGACCATAACAACAGCCAGTGCATTGGTCGACGTCAACTGTGACCGTGGCATTGCCCACTCTCGATTGTCCCCAAACAACCTTTGCAGCCCAAATCGAGCGCGGCAGGTGGGCATGGTTGACATAGTAACCGGGCTTGTATCGTTCCTTGGAGTCGCCAGTTATGCCAGTATACGCATTCCGCAGTCGTTCATACGCTCTCTTGGCATAATCCGCCCATGGAGACCAACCATCTCCCGGTTCATCGCAAACGACATGCACCCATTGTTGGTGAATGTGGTGGTACCCAAGCCCAACCGCGAAACGAGCCTTTGCCTTGTCATTGGCGTAGACCAAGACAGTGAGACTATTGGCAAGGGACGATAACGCGATGGAATTGCCAGTAATGTCAAGGGGGAAAGCACCACAGCGAGTAAAACCATGATAAGAGATAACCCCTTCGTAAAGCGTGACATTGCAGCACGTCTGGTCCTGACGATATGCAAGGTAGAGTTGCCGGAACGCTGGAATCGCCTGCGGGAGGCGGCCACCTGTTGCACCAATGCATCTGTAATAGCTAGACTCGTGGTGAACCAGGTCGATGGTCACTAATAAGTTTGCGTGACTTTGCGTGCATGCCAACACAGCCCTATAAACGGGTGGAGAGACGTGGTAGGGAGTGAGCGGCAGGCACATTTCCACACCCCGATTGGTGACAGAGAGCTTGCGAAGCTTGTCGGCACAAGCATGACCACGCAACGTCAACTGAGCGAACTTGCCCAGTTGTGCAGGCAAGAAATGTGCCGGTCCCAGATTACCCCGAAGATCTTCCTTGAGGTGCTTGATAAACTGATCTGGTTTCAGTATCCTGACATCATGGCAATCCCGAAAGTAGCTTGGATCGTCTGCTAGGACACTTCCAAACCGCCGAATCTTTCCTTGAAGATCCCATGCAAAGATGCTGTGGTCATTGGATACCCGGAGGATTTCTAACTGCAGGCGCTGAAACGCTTTCCTTCCCTCTCCATACAACATCGGCATATTCACGCCAAATAACCCCAGTAAGGAATATGCCCGATCCTCAACTCGCGTTGTCTTCCGATCAGCAGCCCAAGACATGATTTGCGCCCCGCAGACCTCGGTCGTGGATATGTCTCCCTTCAACACTTCTCCTGGGATTCGTGTAATTAACCCCAGAGTAGACGCCAACGTCCTCTTGTTGCCCACGGATTCCCAGCGCTTGTTGAAGAATTGAACATCCCTTGCGGCTATCAACTCCTGAAGTGTCCAACCACGTGAGAACCACTCTGGCCAGCCACCAGAATTAACATATTTTGTGCTGTCTTGATCCCTGGGGAAGGTTGGTTTATCGACGTCTTTGAGATAAACGTAGCACCTCGTCGAGTTTCCGTACCACCGGTACATCGAATTGATCGCCTCCGACAGCTCGGAACTGCTGCGCTTGTCGATGCAGCACGTGTCGACCCACAGCCAGTCAAGCCCGTGTTCCACAGCCTGCTCACAGCTCCTGAGAATCTTGTGATAGCCTTCGCGACTCCTGACTTCATCCCGCTTCTCTTTCGCCATAGTCGACAGTTTGATGATCTCACCATAAGTGACCTCCGACCCCCAGCGATGAGATAATATGGCATAATCAGTGCTTGAGTCGTCTCGCTCTTCCAGGATGCCGGATTGGAGTGTGACTGCTGACCCCTTTTCGATATTGCTCTCCCTGTCAAGGACGAGTCGTACATTCAGTAGTCGCATCCTAGTGTTTTGATCTCAGTGTAACCCGAGAAGCCACCGCACGGCAGCGTCTCACTCACGGTAATAATTTTGTAATCGGCCACACGCACCAGCAAGACGCAGAAAAGTTAAGAGATTTCAGTTGGTCGTCCGGTAGGGGCAAGGGAAAAAATCAGGACCGGCTCACAACAGACCGGACGACCTGAGGGCAGTGGAGGGAAACACGTTATTTGCACATGCAATAGGCAAAAATGGGAACAAAGACTCAACGTTACACTCCAGCGCCACCAGCGGGCTTCGCCGAACGACATTGATCGCGTTACCGGGCTATTATGTACAACGCCCTACTTTCCACATACGGTTAGCTTCCCCAACCCTCCAACCAAGAATGTTGAAAACTCTGATATTTGGAAAAAATAGTATATCATTACTTCCGCGGCTATTGTGTTTGAGACCACCGATGGGAGCGCACCTCTCGGTGTCCAGAAGCCCACTTTGTTAGACCGTTAGACAGAGTCTAGAGCAAAGCAGAACCTGAGTCACTCTCCCTTGAGTTTGACACGCCGCATCGGCCGTCGGATAATGCGATATTGGATACTGACGAGAGGGCGAGTGCTGGTCTCTTTCCAACAGCAGCGAGGGTAGGTCTGTGTGGAGGAGTGCTGACAGTTTGAGCCTTTCAAAGAGAGGACTCACCCTTGGAGAGGCTTGAAGGCGGGTTACTTACTAATGGCGTGACAACACACTGGAGAATCCCGATAGCACTATGATGTGCAACGCATCCATGCTCTTTCGCAATTCTTGACAACATCTGCCATCCCCGGCATCGCAAGTGTTTAATACGTCCAGGATGGAAAACGGCGGATGTTGGGACTTACCCCACGGTTATTGACAAACCTTGGCAGTATTATTAACCAGAATCCTCGTCGTTTCTTCGGTGGGTCCTGCATGTCCTGTAATGAGGGCTGGAGGTGGTGACGTTGAGGGAGGTTGGTCTCAGCTCTCGGACATTCTTAGGGGTGATGTGATATGGCAGCAGACGATGCGTCGGTTTCAAGTTGCTCTCGCAGAACTCTTGGATCGTCAGACCCTCCAATAAGACGGATCATCATAATTCGCCTGCAGGTGATATTAATTTTCGATGCTGGCATGTGTAGCACAATACCCGTTCTCCTCTGGTATGGTGTGTGATACCCTCACGAGTCGTCTCCAAGTTTGTATCGAGTTAGGGTAAATCTGTATCCATGATCGCCATTTGACAGCTCGTACATGTCAACGACCAAACCGATATCTGCTCGTGATCCTATCCCAAAGCTCCCTCGCATCTACAACAGCACGGAGCCTCGTAGCCAGTAAGAATCCACCGCTGAGTTTACTTTTGATATTATATGTCAATCAGTAAAGAGAACTCTTCATCGTCAAACGGGCTCACCGGTTGAGGCTATACGTCTCGCGAGGTGGAGGGGTGAGGCGATGTCTCAGCATAACGGGGATATAGGCTCGAATTTGGGCTGTGATGTCCACCCATTGCGACCCAGGCCCGAAGGCGAAGGGCTGCGGGGTGGAATCCCTGAAAGGTGTTGCAAGCAAGATCATAGAATTGACGTGGGCATCCAGCATTGTCTGGTCACTGAGATGAATGCCGTCGTAGGTTTGGGATAGGAGAAAACGAACCTGGTCCTCCTGCCCCGTAAGATATCCAAGCTCGAGACTCCAGTGCGCACAAGCGTCATGGTCTTCCGCAGCCGCAGCTTGGAGCAGGTGGAGCCACTTGTCGATAAATTCCTTTGTATATTCGCGCGTGGCACCAAAGTCAATAAGGGAAATCTAATAGAACGTCAGTACGTCCTGCACATCCAACAAAAAACAAACTATGGCAGACCTGCTTCGTTTCGGAGTTCCACAAGAAATTCGTCCAGTTGGGGTCGGTCTGCATCATCCGAAATTCAAAAAGCTCTCTCAGGCAGAGCTCCATGATTCTCGAAGCAATCTACAACGTGTAAAGTAATCAGAGTGGGCTGCTAGTGCTTTGCAATTCATAGGTACGCACCTCGTTCCGATCTGTCTGAGGCAAAGTTGAGATGGATGCGTCCCCCATTGCCACGCCATCGACGTGCTCCATGACGAGAACACGTTCGGTACTGCCTTCCCATACCCAGGGTATCATAAATCTTGCGTCGTTACCGAGAAGTTCGGGAGTGCGATATCTCCGCAAGAAATCTGCCTCTCGTGCATATTTACATTCATCAGCTAACTCTTCTTTCATAACCTGCAGACAATATGGGAAGGTGTTGCAGCTAAGGCACGGCGAATGGGCGATCGATGGGTCTCACATGAATCGTCCGGTCGAGAAAGAGTCCCTTTGGAAGGAGTTTTCCAGCAGTTAACAGCATCTTGACGTACCCGAGGTCGCTATCTATGGAATCTGCAATATTGGGAAACTGTACCTTTACGGCGACACGTTCCTCGCGTCCCGTAGGTGAGGCTGAGGCGGCTAGAATGGCACGATGCACTTGTCCAATAGAGGCAGCAGCGAAGGGTATGCGCTCAAAGGAAACAAAATTGTTCGCCCACCGCGGGCCAAGGGAAGCCTCCATGACTTTCTACGACATGGATGAGGTTTTCCGGCGAAAGTATGAGTGGTCAATCACCTCCATTTGCCAGTCAGGCATGTAGTGCGCACTATTTTGCACTCTGCGGAATATCTCATCTAGGTCAGGCGGTAGAACGTGGGTGTCTGTGAGTGGGATAAAACTTCCGGCGTGTTTAACCTAGAACATTTTCAAACCTTGTATACTCATGAATTGACCAAGCTTCAGAGCTGCCCCTCGCATTTGTGAAAGCTTCGAGACAAGCCGTTTGATGTTGGCCTCCGTCATGATCAGGGACGAATGCTGACCATCAGAGTCATCTGAGGTGGTGGTGGAACGACGGAGGAACTCAGTGGCAGCACCATAACCCAAAGATGCTGCAAGACCTGTTTATTATGGTCACATATCAGCATTGTATTGAGCCACACACGTTTTCTACACACCTCCGTAATGAAAAATACGACCAACACGCGATGAAGGAACCTTCGACGACTGGAGAAGTGGTGATACATGAGGCTGCATTGGAGTTGACTCCATAGACTCCGCCTCATGGTCTGGATGCTTGGATAGCCCGAGTTAGTAGGTGTGCCAAGTCTTACGCGACGTGCAACATAGCTATGCCCACCATGAAACAAGTACTTACTTGGACATTGGGCACAAAGTCTCGGTCCGCTTCAGCGTCTGGAAGAGCACGCGAGTTTTTGCGCCGCGTCAGTAGTACTGGCTCGAATTCGTCTCTTGAGGTGACGACAGCGCCCTCCTTGAGTGATGGTTGAGGTATCTCAGCTGGTCCTTCTTGGACGTTTGCAGACAACGCTGCCTCTGGCAAAGCGGCTGGAACGACTGTTTCCTCCACGCGTAGCAGGCTTGAAGGTAGGGATTCCTGCAGTTTAGCTCTGTCTCTCCCCAATGTATCCTTCGGCACATGCGACTTTGTCACGGTGGTAGGCTTGAGTAGCCCCTGGCCACTTCGGATTTGTGCTGCGCGAAGTGCGATATCTACGACGGAGTGCGCTACGCAAAGCCATCCGAAAACAGGACCAGGTGGCATCCAACGGCGTGTATGACGTTCTAAAACGGATTATTTGGAGGCAAGGAACTAAATTCGCGAAGACGTTTTCCGAGTCGCGAGCCACAGCCACCCGACGGCATCAAGCAACGGTGGATATCACAGAGACTGCACAGGGTTGTCTGTTTCGACAATGCAGACCCAACCGAATCACAACCCAAACCTGACGAGATACGTGGTACGAAGGTCAGTGTGTGTCGTTTCACACTCTGGCATCGCGATCGACCGCATCCCGCGATTGCCAGCTCAGATGTGATATCCGACTTGCGCGTTAATATATTCGAGGAAAGCTCAGACAAAGTCATCTGGTATAAAGTACGTCTTTTTCGAAATCAACCACGTAGGTCTAATCCCTCAAGTGGGTAAAAGGAAAGATTCCTTTCGGACGAGGAGATCGTCGAGCATTTCGTCGTACGTAAAAAAGGGATTAGCCCATCGTCCGCCTTTAACGTTTCTGCAGCATAACCAAACTTCGACCGTACTCTGGACCATTCATAGGCCAAAACGGGGGTGGTATATTCGAGTTCGGTCACCGGCCTTTCCGCCGGGAGTGTTCATGTCTCTCCTTCCCGTGCCTCGCTCGTCGCCTGATTACACGGATGCTGCCTTGTATTTCTCCTGTCGCACAAACAGCCTCCCTTCATCCCCTCCATCCACCTCTATTTCACCTACGAAGTCCGGAGCCTCCCGTGATAGCGTTGACTCGGACGCTACAGTGGTGCATTCGTACCCTCCTACACCTCCCGTTGCGCCTGTTGTAGTCACGCCGCCTTCCCCACCCACACTTGATGCGAAACTCAACGAGATAGGTCCCGCGCTTCCAAAGAACGTGGGACCGCAAGCCAGACCGATCCCCTCACGAATCGCTCAGTTTCTCCTTGCACCTCACTCCACTCCTCATATACCTGCCCCACAACAGACGGATCACACTTCGTTTATCACACGCGCTGTATCTTTGTTCAAGAACCATAAGCCGTCCCATTCGTTGTCGTTCACACTCACTCCCACGGATAACATTCGGAAGATACAGTCTACTGGGTCTTCCCAGTCTCACCATCTGATTCCGCAAACCCCGACACCTTTATTGGTATTTCACGACACGACGCCCGTATTGACCTTCCGATCCATGAGTGGACTGCTAGAAATAAACCGGGCTGAAGAACGCGTGTTAGGCGTCGAGACGAGCTTTTGGATTGCCGTTTCTCTAAGTTACCTTGAATTTTTGGAGGACAGAGAGGTGAGTGGTCCATGCTCGCTTTGTTCTCCCTTGACGTTTGGATCCTCCAGAGTTACCTGGCTGCAATGGCTGATTAAAGTTTACTTGGGACGATACCCCTTGCATTTTTTATTTTCTCTGAATTCCATGTGTTTGGGCCATATAATGGTATTTTTGTTTGGACTGACGGCGATAGATGGCTGCTATTCCTTGAGCGTTTTTGGAGCCCTAACATGGGGTTAGGGTTCTCCACGTGTTTGTTTTATTGTCACGTGATGGTTCTTGTCACGCAACTTCAAGCCACGCCTTCTTTCCAAACACTTCTTATATCAAACTACGCCAACTTACCACTTCAAAATGGTACGCAATCTGCAAGAACGATGTCAGCGTATCAGGAATTCACGTCTATTCTGCGTTATAGTCTGTTTCACCTGCAACCATGCGTCGGTTGATGCGAGAGCTTACCGAACTGAAGAACGACCCACCTGAGGGCATTCGTGTCGTGACTAACGAGGAAAACATGCTAGATGTTACTGGAATCATCGAAGGGCCAGGTATGCTTTTGTTGCTTGATGGGTTTTTGCCATGGGCTGATGTCGCCACTGTGGTATAGAGGGTACACCTTATGCGGGAGGGTACTTCAAAGTAAGATTCGAGTTCACACCGGAGTTTCCGGCTGCCCCTCCGAAGTGTGCGTATCAGCCAGTTCTCACCGTCAAGAATTCAGTTGATGTACTTTCTAGGTTGGTTTGCCACGAAAATATTCCATCCGAACGTGTCGTCCCAAGGAGAGATATGCGTGAACACGCTGAAGAAGGATTGGAAGTCGACCTATGGCATTGGTCATATCCTTGTGACTGTGAAATGTCTTTTGATTTTCCCCAATCCTGAGTCGGCGCTTGACGAGGAGGCGGGTAGGCTGCTACTGGAAGATTATGAGAGCTATTGTTCACGGGCGAAACTCATTACAAGCGTGCATGCCACACCGCGGACGAGGCCTCCGGAATTCGAAACGCCAGCACCAGTAAACCCCAAGGAGGGCAATTCGATTCCCCCTTCAACAGCGGTGGCGCCTTTACCAGGCGATCCGTTACCACTCCCTATACCACCTTCCATGTCGCCGCGTAAATCGGTGTCTCCAACACCGATTGCGCATCCACTTCAACCATCGTTATCCAACACTATCACCAATTCTCTTGCAACGTCGACATCTAACAAAGAACGCGTGACTCCAATGCCACTGTCCACTGCTAACTCGAATGTTTCTGGGACGTCAGATATGACGACTGCCAAATCGGGGAAGAGATCGGCGGCTACAGGACATTCGGGAATAGAGAAAAGGAAGAAGGCGCTGAAACGACTATGACATCTAGCATTGCATATGTACCTCATTGTAGTCTAGCAGTTACATAGCGTTTCTGCCTCGTAGTTCTATGACAGGAGTCGTTAGATACCGATCACTTTACCGGGTTGCACACCATCTATGATATAGCCCCGCCCCTGAAACGTTCGGCGACAACTCTCGGTGTTGTAGGAGTCTAGCCATCGATGAACTCGTTTAAGTGCGCCATCAATTGTGTATATTTTCCAAAACCTATCCACGTTCGTGAGCATAGCAATATTGATAGTAGTTCAAGCCCTGTGCCAACAAAGAAGATGGTCGCGATACATTGAACGTCATGGTAAAGGGGCGCCTCCCGACGAGGGAAGAACTAAAGCTGTTCCGAAACGCGACAATGTTGTTCGGATGGGACAACAACAGCACTGACTCGGCGCCAATGATACGATAGCAGAGATCACATAAATCTAGGTTCAGATGGACGGGGCAAGTGTAGGTTTAGAGTAACCGGTGAGCCTTCCTTACCTACGCCCTGCGCAAGAAGTCGCTCGGTGGGAGACGACCTGGCAAGTTGGGCTCACAGCGATTGAACTCGACGTCCGTTCGCACCTTTTCCAGCCCTAACCGTCGAGCACAGCGTACAGGACGGTGGGGTCGTTTTGAAATGCAAGCCCACTGTATCCCACCGAAAGAGTAAGAAAACTGGACTGTCAGCGCAGCTCATTATTTTAAAGAGAGCTCTTGGAAGGTAAAATGGGCATCCGATCGTCGACAGAGGTTTCCTGTGACTTGGAATTGGGTTTCAACACACCAGGCACCCGAAACGTTGTCGCTGGCATGACAGACAGATGAGGTTATGAGAGAACACCGATGAATCGCAATTGGCTCTTGTCAGCGTCAAAGCTGAGTTGCGCCGCGATCCCGGGATTATCACCTCAACGTTTGGTGGACGAGGATCATGAGGACTAACTTCATTAGTTGCAAGTGCAGGCTGTACCCACGCTGTGGCTCCATCCTTGCCGTCATCTATCGGAATGGTACACGATATTTAAGTCCCATGACTTAAGACCCTGCCGCAGACACTCGCATCAGTCCTGCCCATCTGCTTCTTTTGCCTGGGAGAATCTGAAAACGATGTCGGAGGTAGTACCCGCTGGTCTCAGATTGGGACCTGGCCTTGTTGGCAAGTATCCTGATCCGTTGCCCCACCAGATCCTTATCTGATCTCACCGATATGTTCCCAGGAGTAACAGTCGGGTTAGCGTATGTCCGCCTCTTATCCTTGTCATTAGCCAAACGATCACTCCTCTTCTGGTTTGTATGGTGTGGCAGTTTGCCAGTACCTATTCTACATTCCAGCGTTCCCGAATGACAAGCGTCTCCTCAAAAATGCCGTGCGCCGGTTCCGTGTGTTCCTACTACCCGTCGGCTGACTCTTCAAAGGTTCTCCTTGTCTTGTATGTTGTGTCATGTGCCACCTTATGCCCGTGAGATGAATTCTCGCTCCTCAGTGCTCTCGATACCATCAATACTCTCGTTGATGTGTACTTTTACGGTCGAGCGTTCATAACTTGTCGATGGAAAACGACGTACGCTTGTACCCTCGAGATGCCCTGGTACGTTCTCCCTCTCCTTGTCGCCGCATGTTCACCCGTTCGATGTAAGCCTTGTAGGGATTTGAGTGTAAGTGACAACCTTCAAAAAGTCCAACATCGTTTGTAGCATTCCTGAAAGCGCCTTTACATCTGAAGGTGGCCATTGGTGCCAGCGTAAGTGCGATCTGACTGCCTAATTCACTATTCCGGAATATAATCTTCTCTGTAGTTTCTGGTCTCGTTCTTCGTGCAATGGTCGGAAACATTCCTTACACTTCTCTTCGTGTTCTCAATACTGCACGATAGTTTCTATGCCCACAGGATTTGGATAAGTAAGGGATGCTCTTTTCTTTTACCAGCGTCGTCTAATTTGTGCATTCTAGTTAGCAATCGGAATAAACTGTTGACGGGTGCAGTGGTACGCTCGTCTGTCCCTAGCTCCACAAACATGGATGTAGATGACATTCACTGGATAGCTTGTCGCTGCGTCGGCACAACTGGGTGAGTCCCGCATGGTTAAATTCATTTCTCCTCTATTGATCATATCAGTTTTCGGGTTCGGTATGCACTTTACATTCCTTCAGCATCAGTTAATTAATCTCTACCGTCCGCCAAGTGTTATTGGGAGTAGCGTAAGGTGGCATTTGCAAGCGTTTCATCCGCTTACACCCTGCATTGACAGGCGCACTGGGAACATTGCCACCCTCTTTAACAGTCCGGTATGTCATAGGCCGATTGGAATATGATCTTTCTACATATCGTGGACATGAAACAGTACAACCCAGTCAATTCTCTGGGAAGCGCAGTATGTGATGCGATCATCACGGCCAGCGTGTTATTCTATCTTCGCCCTTCTCGAACCAATCTTCTTCGGTACGTGTCTCGTTAACGGTAATACATTGGTCATTTACTGTGCTATAAAATCGTCGTATTTTCATGTTGACCCGTGCTTCTTACCCCTAGAAAGGACTACCACATTCAAAAACTCAATCTGGTCTATGTTCAGACGGGCCTGATCACATTGTGAGTGTCGTCTCTTATTGGTTAGCTTTTCGGATGCTTAGCTTGGCTGGCTGTGATGTTACGAAAACTGCTCGACGGTCCTGCATGTGGCGTAGCCTGAATGCCCTCGCAATTGCTATACTTGTGAGTTAAACTCGCGTACATCTGTAGCGCATGCGTTGATGCTACCCTTGGACACACTACGAAGTACTATCAAGATGGGATAGCTGGAGAATACCTTACTGTCGCACCGGGTATCGTGAAGAGCAAAAGTCAGTACCCTCCATGATCGTCACTTGTCCTTCAGTTGATTCTGCCCTATTAACAGCGTACTTGAACGCCCTGCTAGCTGTGTAAGCGTACTTTCTTTTTTCCTTGCTTCAGATAACGTTCTTACATCCGCCTCTGTGCGTGCTCTGCAAAATGCTCATGTGTATGGCATGGAAGACTGAATGCACGGAAACTTACCCGCAATCAGCCGGCACCACCTTTGGAAATTCCCACCTTACCGACTATTCACTGACCTCTGTTTTACCGTCTGTATATAATCACCCTTCATTCTCCAGGAAATGAAAATACACCCCGGACTTGGATTTCCAGAGACTGTAGTGGCCGTGAGGTTCCAGACTGTGTCCAGGGAGATCATATTTATGTAAAACATACTAATACGGACGACTACAGATGTAGCTGTAAAGGTATCACGTGACCTTGAGTAGCGGGTTGTTACTTTTTTTATTTCACGCTGGACCGTGGCAGCACGCCAGGTCACTCCGTTCCTCGTTCAGCTACTAGCCATGTTTGCAACGACTCTCTTTTCCGCACGCAGCGCAGCGTTTGCGGTGTCGCGGACACGACTATGTGCTCAACCATCGCGAGTTTTCCCTCGTAATAACTTGGCACGCTGTCTTCAGGGGACACCGTCACATCCCATGCGACCTTTTTCCCTTGCTCAGGTCCTTAGGCAAGAGCCCCAAAATGCCGACCCTGGCACGCCCGAAGGCAGCCTAAGACCGCCATCAGGAAGCGTATACATCGCCAACGTACCTTTCTCGGTGACTGCTCAACAACTTGAAGAAGCATTTTCACAGTTTGGCAGAGTACGAGCGGTCATGCTTCGTGAGATTCGTCCTTCCCGTGCTTTTACACCTCTGACATCCTGCTGGTAATTTAATTCAGTGAACTCAGGGAAGGGAGTTCCCCGTGGGAGTGGATTTGTCGAGTTCGAGACAGCGGAGGAAGCCACTGCTTTCGTGGAGGCAGATCAGCAAGATCCTATCTTCCTCCTCGACAGAGACCTCTTCGTGACGCATGCAGACATTAAAATAAATCCCGCTAGATCCCCGAGCGACACTCTAGTTGCTCAGCATTTTAGTCCCGGGTCGGAGGACCTCATTCGACGAATCTTCTCGGAATATGCTGATTCATTGGTCAGTGTGCGGATCCGTAAGTTTCTTTTCTTTTGACCCATTGCGTATCGATCTCCGCGGCTTACCACCCTGTTACATAGCACCCAGGAGGGAGGTTAACGGCTGTGCTTTCATCCAGTTCAAAAGCATCAGCGCAGCCACGGGGGCTCTTCACGCTCTCAATGCTCAAACGGTTCCCGAAACGGGCAGACTTCTGAGACTGCAATTTTCTACGAGAAAGCAAGCACGGTCTGAACCAGAACGCCGAGGTCTTGCGAGCAGATTGTCACAGCGAATGGGATCGCAAGGTGAAGGGGCAGGCTTCTAAAGATACGGCGCCGAGCTGTCTGTTTCCACCCACGCACACCCTAAGCTCCACTCTATAGATCAGTTCGTAGCTACCTTATATCCGCTAATTCTTTGATATGGGCATTGGAGGACAAAGGTACCCTCTGCTAGAGAATTGGTGCATTTTCGGAGATTGGGGTGATCCAGGGTTGTAACTCAATGCAGTAGTCATTAACTTCAAATAAGCTTCTTGGGAGGGCTGCGTCAAGCATCGAGACTACACCAGTGCAGGGCATCGTCCATTGGCGGAGCACGTTAAACCGTCTCGCAAGAGCTCCACACCGAGCCAATTTATCTGGAATATGTTCTGGAATTTTTCATGGATACGGTCCCTACTAGTGCCATGCTTAGGAAATACTTTCGTGGCTGGAGGTGAGTTTGGGAGATCAGCGAATGCGGGGTAGGGTAGGAAGCTCCGATGGAGATAGAGTAAGTTGTTGCTGATCATTGACGAGTTTCCTTGCATTCAGTCTTTCGTGACCAGATGCACAAGCATTGCACAAGGAAAATGGATAGGTTGACGTGAGATCATAATTTGGTGGAGCAAATGGTACGCTTACACAGCTAACATGGAGTTTGAATATGCTATCGCAGCGGGAAAGTTAACGAATGGGGGAAAACACAACAGAACAGAGACATGCCTTTACTGATCATGAATCCTGGTGCCGAAGTAAGGTATTCTCCAACAGGTTGATTTTGATAGTACTTCACGGAGTTCACAGATAGTCACCAAGATGGTGAGATTGCGAGTGCGAAGAGAGATGACTCACAAGTATAGCCATTGAGAGGGCACTCAAGCTGACCGCGTGCGGGATGAAAGCGTACAGTCCGGTCACAATACCCCAGCCGGCTAGAATTAATGAACTGAAAGTAGAGCGACAAAAAGCAAGACTCACGAGGTGATCGTGCCCATCTGCACAAAGACGATATTGAGCTTTTGAAGAGAGTTTTGCTTTCTAGAAGGGAGGGTAAAAATCCGGAGCCAATGTAGCAATGACAATCCACAGCTTCAATAAATGACGAGTGAGAAATTGTTCACGAGACGTACCGGAGAAGACCACTTTGCGAACGACGAAGAGAAAGATATATACTGATTGTGATGATCCCGTCACATATTGCACTTGCCAGGGCATTGACCGGCGAGTACTGTTCCGCATACGGCGCCATGCAGAAACTTCGTGTTTCAAAGAAATCGAGGACATACCGGATTGTTGAAAAGGGCGCCAAGGTCGTTATTGTTATACCTGTCAATCCCGAGTATAAGTAGATGAAAAATATTCACAATCGTTAACTTACATATCTCCCAATATTACTTCGTAATTGAGAAAGGGATTAACTCACTGGTGCTGAAGGAAGGTAATGTAAACCACATACAGAACCCGAGGACTGATTTGATTAACGAAAGAGAGCGAGACTAAGGACAAAACTCACCCAGTGCAGCTAGTGCAACGAAAAGCTATTACAAAGAAAAAATCCATATAGATGCCTGCAGAGCAAGGAGAGGAGCATACCACTATACCCATCAATAATTTACTCTGACCACCGACTGGAAAGCCCAAGTCAAAAGAAAGTTGCGAGAGGCAACGGACATTCCTACTTATCCAAACTCTATGGGCGTAAAAGCTGTTGTCCGGCACTCAGAACAAGACAGGAGGCGTAAGATATGTATCGAACCATTGCACAAAGAAAGAGACAAAGAACTGTAAAGAACTCCATTCAGTCCTGAGCGGAGTGAGCTACACAGTAGGAATGCACTTACGCCAGAACCAAGGTTTGCCTTGAAACGCAGACATACTTTCAGTGACGATCCTGAAGCTGAAATTTCAAAGACTCGTTACTTACACTTAAGTCCCTACACGGTTTACATCAAGCATAGGAACCAGCCGCAATAAGGGAGACGTACCAAGGTAGCTGGAGCATGCAGGAGTTGGTTGTTTTCCATCGGCAAAGTATCAATGTTCGACAGTAGAAGCTCAAAGAGGTGAGAGTATTGACGGTGTCAAGAACACTATGGAGCGACAGACCATGTCATAACTATACTGCGTGTAAATGACGCCACGTACAATACAAGAAAGACCTTTGGAAGAGTTAACTGATAAGCAACAGCGACAGGTAACCGGGCGACATACCGCACATTTGACAAGACGCCTGTCCCTCGGGAACGACATGATGTAGAATAGGTATTGCCATACTGACACACCGTAGAAGCTAGAAAAGGAGCAGCTCTCTAGCCAACGGTAATGATATAGAGCGAACGCACGCTAGCCCAATTGTCATTCCTGCGAACACCTCAGTAGGATCAGGAAAGATTTAGCAAAGCAACTATACTCGCCGATGAGACCGGGACCCCACTTCAAAGCAATGGAGATGTCCGTCATAAATAAGCAAAAATCACCCGGGTAAAAAGCACGAAGGCTTTGGGGATGCTCAGCTTTATACCGCATAGGACAACGCCAACGGGTGGGTACCGGCGTGGGTACGTACTGCCCTTATCTCTGATGGACATGATTTTGTGCGGCCTCACAACGTACATACCTGGTCCGATCTAATACATAAGTCGACGCCACGGTTAGGATCCAAGGCACAAGCGTTGTTTCGGAAGGTTAGAAGAAGGCTGCCAAACTTGGCACGACGCCCCCCAGCTGATCAAGGAGGCTAACTCAGTGCAGCGCCCTGTCCGAATAGGCATGGTGCATAGAACCATCTCACAGAAGCTCCGAATTGGGTCCATTTTCCCAAGGCTTAGTCGAAACCCCACGGACACTGGCCCTGTAAATTACTCAGTATGTTGACACCAGGTGCGTGTATACACGTTTGCAAGAGAATGAATGGGAAGTATATACAGCACAGGTTGGAGGGTTAATGAATACTGGATAGGGTAGGAAGCTCCAATGAAGCATGCCGTTGGTGATCACAGCAGACAAGTTTCCTTGCGTTCAACCTTTTGTTGCCGCATGAAAGAGAGGAAAACAGAATGATTGACGTGAGAACATCATCTGACGAGACAAATGGCATGCTCTTACACAGCTAACATAGAGTTCGAGTATGCTATCAATATAACGAAGTTAAACACAAGACACATGCAACAGATCATAGAGGCGTACCTTTGCTCAAAATGAAAGCTGGCGCAACAGTGAGGTATTGTCCAGTCAATTGATCTGAATAGTACTTGGTAGGGTTCATCGATGGTCACCGAGGTGATGGAATTACGAGCACTAAACGAAATGACTCACTAGTACAGCGGTTGCGAGGGCGGTCGAGCTGATCACATGTGAAACGGCAGCGTTTATCGCAGCACCCCAGCCGAGTTAAATGCTGAAGGGCAAATGACGGACGATGGCACCCACCAGGTGATCAGGCCCATTTGAACAAAAACCAAATTGAGTTTGTGGATATAATTTTCCTTCCTAGCAAACGACGGATGGTGAGCGCTCATCAGTGCAACGTAAAGACACCTCATAGTTATTTGGTAGGTGAAGAACAAGACACATACCGGAGGATGCGAAATTGCGAACGACGAAGATATAAGAACACACTTGCCGTGATGATCGTATCACATATTGCACTTCCCATGGCATTGACCGGAGCGTACTGTTCCGTATATCCACGCTGTCCAGAAAGTTCATGTTTCAACTGACTCATGACATACCGGACTGTTAAAGAGGGTAGCCATGCTGCCAGTGTGACGCCTGTAGATGCCAAGCATAAGCGGATGAAATGCTTGAAAATGCCAACCTACGTTGCTTCCAATAATGCTTGGTAGTTCAGGGTAGTGATTGATCAATCGAACCTGAAGAAATGTAGGGTACATACCGAACCCAAAAACTGATCTGATCAACAAAAAAGAAACGAGTTTGACTACATAACCCACCCAATTGTACCAGCGCGGCGATAAGCTATCCAGAGAATGTCATCTATATCTATGTCCGTGGAGTGTGGAACAGAAGAGCATACCACAGCACCCGTCAGGAGCTTGTTCCGTTCGCCAACTGAAAAGTACAAGTTGAATGATGCTGGCAAAATATGGACAACCCTTACTTATCCAAACCCTATGGGCATAGAAGCTATCGTCGGGTGTTGAGAACAGGACAAGACAATAAGAGATATATCAAACCATTGCACGAAAAATGCAGCGAGGGACTGCAAAAAGATCCTTGTAAACCGGAATGAAATTTTAACCAGTCAGGTGGCACTTACGGTAGTAGCAAGGGTTACCTTGAGAAGTAAGGATACATTAATTCAGACAACCAACAATGCCAGAGTGACAAAAGGTTATTACTTACACTTAAATCCCTGGAAACTTTCCATGAAGCTTAAAACAAATAGTAAACAAGGAGAACTACCAGGGCATCTCGACCGTGCAAGCATATGACGTTTGCCATCGGCAGAAAATCAACTCTCGACAGAAAAAGCTTATCAAGGTGATAGTACCAAGGGTGTCGAGAACGCTGCCGAGAGGCGACAGTTTATGCCATGGACATAAGGCGAAGAATACACAACATACAAGACAAGGAGGACCTTCGGGGAGTTGACTGACGAGCAACAAGAACAGGTAAGGCGACGTACCGCATATTTGATGAGACGTTTGTCATTCGGGAACGTTGAGATGTAGTATAAGTACTGGCCAATGGTCACACCATACAAACTAGAAGAAGAGATAACCATTTGTCCAACCGACAGCAATAAGAGGCGGACGTACGCTAAACCGACTGTCATTCCTGCATGAACTTCTCTGTAGGATCAAGACAGGTTTGGTAGAGCGACAACACTTGCCAATAAAGCCGGGTCCCCAGATTGAACCAGCGGATACCTCTGAGTTCGCCATTTCTTGACCAAGCGAAAAGAAACGGACGAATGAATGTTGTGGCCTGGCAGGCCTTACTTGTCCCTAGCCGCCACTCAATGCGAGTAAAGTCGTTAGCGGAAATGAATTAGCTGAGATATAGCAAGCGTTGATGACATAATATACAATGTCTCGTTCTACGTACAGTTTTCTCGCCGGCAGAGGATGGGATGGAAGGATTGAAAGGGTGTCATGGCCTTTACTGTAACATTACTGAAAGTATCAGAACTGACTGAAAGGTGTGGTGGCTGCAAACGATGCCGTCGGTGGTGATATTTTCTAGCAGTACGTCACTATCCTCGATTGGGAGAGACCATTTATAGCCTGAGATCGACTCTCAAGCTGATGAGGGTCGGTCGATTCTGTTTTCGCTATCGATACCTTCCTTCGCGAGCTCATCTGCCCGTCATGGCGCCAAACTATGATGCCTGGTCAAAGGAGGAGCTTATCGCCCGTCTTAGAGATATTGAACATCGTTCGAAACTTATTCCGAGCCAAAAGAAAACCATTTCTTTGTCGACAACGGGAGGAAGCCCGTTCCACTCCGAACGCCATCCCCGCCGTAAAATCGCCGTCAAGTTCTGCTACTCTGGTTGGGAATACAATGGGCTTGCTTTCCAGAACGACCCCACCCCGCTTCCTACGGTAGAAGAGGTCCTCTTCCGCGCATTCGCGAAAGCAAGATTGGTCGATGCGGACGCTGGTCTTGACGGTTGCGGCTGGGAACGGTGTGGGAGAACGGACGTTGGTGTGAGTGCGGCAGGTCAAGTCGTCTCTCTCTGGGTGAGGAGCGTGTTTCACGGTCTGGACACCGAAGCTCCACCACGCCCTAGACTATCAGAAGCCCCTGTTCAACTGACTCAAGTCCATGCGGAGGATGCAGGCGAGGAAGATTCACCAGTGATTCCGGCTGTCATCGACGAGGCGGATTTCGCATTTACAGGGTTAGATATGTCTCCTCCTGATTCCCCTTCAGAGCCTCCCCGGCCTCCTGGTCGCGAACTGCAATACGTCTCCATCCTAAACCGTATACTTCCCCCCACCATTCGTGTCCTCGCATGGTCTCCCGTCTCCCTCTCCTTCTCTGCCCGATTTAACTGTAAATACCGCCACTATAAATATTTCTTCACCGCTCACGGGCTCGATATCCCCCTGATGCAACGTGCCGCGGACTACTTCGTCGGGGAACACGACTTCCGGAACCTCTCGAAGCTCGACCCAGCCAAACAGATCACGGATTTCCGTCGACGTATCCTTAGTGCTCGGATCAATGCTGTCGAGCCATCTCCAGATCTCTGTGGCATTGCCAAGCAATCCGGACGCGACGACCAGCTCTATGTCCTCGACCTTGTCGGGAACGCGTTTCTCTACCACCAGGTCCGACATATCATGGCCATCCTTTTCCTTGTTGGTACAGGACTTGAACCTCCGTCGATTATCCCAACGCTTATGAATATAGACGGATTAGAGTCCGCAAAGACGGGTCTCCAACTCCCCATCGTAGAGAGAAAACCAGAATACCAAATGGCGGACGCCCTGCCCCTTATGCTGTGGGAATGCGCTTTCTCAGACTCGGATGTCCACTGGCAGAGCGATAGTGACGTTAATGATAAAGTTGTCGGCGGAGAGGGCGAAGATAACGAGACCGGCGGTCCTGTCGCGGAAAAATACTCAGGGACGGGTTTAGTCCGTCAGATCCACTCCGTCTATCAACGTTCCCTAATTCATAGTGCTCTGGAAGGCCATTTCTTATCATCTGCCATGCGGTACCACCCAAATCCCCCACAGTACTTCCCTTTCAGCCAGACAGGTCTATCTACAAGTACTATTCCACGACTACCTAACAACACCTTACCCGTTATCGGAGTGCCGTTGGGAGGAGGGACATACAGGAGAGGTGCCAAATACGTTCCATTGCTCTCTCGCAAGCGGCTGGATCATGTGGATGTGGCTAACGCCCGATGGAAAAATGGCAAGGGTAGTAGGCGTGAGAATCGGACGGCGCTGACTAGTGCGGCGGAGGCAATTGGCGATGAATAGGTTTCGTGCCTTCGCCAGTTCGTTGGAAGTGTGAGGTCTTGCTATGCCGTATGCGTGTCAGCAGCCCTCATCCTTTTATGTACGAGCATGGATAACTACCTGTACAAAATTTTCACAACCTTCCCCTTACACATTGGAACGCGTGAGTTATCGCATGGAATGCAGTCAAACTGTCGAAGGCAAACATAGCAAGTGCATCCACCCCTTCACACTCAGATCCCTCACATGTTGGTTACCAATGCGTTGCCCAGGCGTCAGTTCACCCGAAACACCTCACGGAAGCTGCCCCTCCCAGACTCGCACCATTATCAGATCGGAACATATTGCGGGGAGTGTGCATATACATCACAGGTGGAGGTCAGTGAATACTCGGTAAGGTAGGAATTTCCGACGGCCGTACTTGGGCCTGTTGTTGCTGTTGTTGATCACGGATAGGTTTCCTTGCATTCAGCCTTCCGCAATCACATGCATGGGCATTGTGATGTGAGGATGGTAAAATGAAATGAGTAGTGTGCTTACACAGCTAGCATTGAATTCGAGTATGCTATTAAGATAGCAACGTCAACCGAAGAACCAACGCAACAGATCATAAGGAGCACCAACTTTTGCCTAGGATTGCACCTGGTGCGGCAGTTAGGTATTTTCCAACCAATTGATCTTGATAGTACTTCGTCATCCAACGATAGTCACTGCGTCAGTGAAACCGAAACCATATACAAGATTGCTCACAAGTATTGCCATTGCAAGGGAACTCAGGCTGACCCGCATGCAAGACAAAGTACGCCGTCCAACGGTGTTCGCATCCCAGCCGGCCAGGTAAATAGCTGCAGGTCAAGCCGTAAAACCCGACACGTACAAAGTGATCAGACCCATCTGAACGAAGACCAAGTTGAGTCTATGAATATGGTTTTCCTTTCTAAAAGAAGATCAGCGAGGAGCAAGAATCAATGTAATAGTAACGAGAGGCATACCGGAGAAGACCACCCGGGGGGCGAAGGTACAAGAATACACTTGTTGTAATGATCGCATCGCATATTGCGCTTCCCAGAGCATTCATCGGCGAGTACTGTTATCCATGCTATACAGAAAATCCAATTCTTTCGAAGAACCCACGACATACTGGACTACTGAAGAGGGTATCGATGATGCCACTCTGACACCTGTCGATCCCGTGGGTAAGCGGACGAAATGATAGCAAGCGCTGACCTACACCATTCCCAACAATACTTGGCAGTTCACAACAGGGATTGATTAACTGAGGCTGAAGGGAGGTGTATAAAGGACATACCAAGCCCAAAACCTAAACCGAATGATAAAAAAGAAGTTGAACTCGACGAGGCAACTCACTCAGTTGTGCCAGAGCCGTGATAAGCTACTCAGCGAAAAATATTTATATTCACGTCTGTGGATTGAGGGACAAATGGACATACCACTGCACCTGTCAATAGCTTGTTCCGATTGCCAACTGCAAAGCACAAAGTTAGACGATGTTTGCATAAAGAGGGATGACCTTACTTATCCAAACCCTATGGGCATAGAAGCTATCACCCGGCAATGAGAACAAGACAAGAGGTGTAAGAGGTATGTCAAACCATTGCACGAAGAATGCGGTAAAGAACTGCAAAGAGCTCTCTCCTTTTAGTCCTGAATGGCAGATCAGCCGTTGGGTGGCACTCACGTTAGCACCAAGGGCGCACTTGAAAAGTAGAGATGGGTAATGTTGCTAACAAACCTCGAATATCGGAGTGACTCACACTCATACTCCTGGAAGGTGGGCATCAAGCATAGGAACAATCGGTAATAAGGGAGACCTACCAAGGCACCCCAACCGTACAAGCATACGACGTTTGCCATCGGCAGAAAATCAACTCTTGACAGTAAAAGCTTAACAAAGTGATAGTACCAAAGGTGTCGAGAACGCTGCGGAGCGACGAGAGTTTTTTTTCCATGGGCGTAAGGCAAAAATGGTACGACATACAAGACAAGGAGGACCTTCGAGGGGCTGAGTTACGAGCAACAAGAATAGGTACGTGTGACGTACCGCAGTTTTGAGGAGACGTTTGTCATTTGGGAACGCTGAGAGGTAGAATAGGTATTGGTAAACGGTTACACCATACAAACTAGAAAGAGGGTAACTATTTGTCCAACCGCAACACTGAGAAATGGACATACGCTAGCCCGACTGTCGTTCCTGCGGACAACCCTGGGATCAGTAATAATTTGGTAGAGCAATGGTACTTGCCGATAAAACCGGGTCCCCACTTCAAACCAGCGGACACCTTTGAGTCCGCCATTACTTTTCTCGGGCGAAGGGGATGAATAGATGGATTTAAATGTGTGCCTGCCGAGCCGCCCTATCCCCCAAGCCACCTCGGCGGGACGGCTAGCTAAGTCAGGGTACGATTATCCCGTAAAATATACAAGCTGTGTCAGGGGCGCACGTCAGCAGACATGGAACATGCTGACATAATGTACAATGTGAGCGGATAAGATTGAGGGGTTGGCATGGTCTTTGGTGAATACAAACTGCGTAGTGAATCTACGTACTCCTTTCAGACCTAGATGCCTCATATATGCCTACTAGTGCGTCGTCCAGCGGTGACCAGGTCCGCCTACCCGATAACCTCACCCTCCGAGTCCCTCACCATTTTCGTTCGGAGCGTACTTGTGGGGAGTACGTATACATCAGAAGTGGAGATCAATGGATACTCGGCAAGGTAGGGATTTCCAACGGTTGTACTTGCGCCTGCTGTTGGTCGCGGATAGATTTTCTTGCATTCAGCCTTCCAGAATCACATGCATGGACATGGTCCAAAGAAAATACAGGTCAATGTAAGGTGATGATCAAGTGAAATAAGTAGTGTGCTTACACGGCTAACATGGAATTCGAGTATGCTATTAACATGGCGAAGTCAACTGAAGAACTAGTGCAACAGAGCATAGTGAACACTAACTTTTGCCTAGAATTCCACCCGGTGCGACAGTAAGGTATTTCCCAACCAAATGATCTTGATAGTACTTCGCCATCCAACGATAATCACTGCGTTGGTGAAATTAAAGCCATATGCAAGGTTGCTCACAAGTATAGCCATCGCAAGGGAAACCAGGCTGACCGCATGCAAGACAAAGTACGCCGTCCAGTGGTGTCCGCATCCCAGCCGGCCAGGTTAATAGCCGCAAGTCAATCGATAAAAGTCAATGCTTACAAGGTGATCAGACCCATTTGAACGAAGACCAAATTGAGTTTCCGAATATGGTTTTCCTTTCTAAAAGGGATCGGCAAAGGGCAAGGGTCAACATAATGGTAACGACAGACATACCGGAAACGACCACTCAGGGGGCGGAGGTAAAAGAATATACTTGCTGTAATGATCGCATCGCATATTGCGCTTCCCAGAGCATTGAGCGGCGAGTACTGTTCCGTATATCCATATTGTGCAGAAAACCCAAATTTGTCAAAAAAACCCACGACATACCGGACTGCTGAAGAGAGTATCGATGATACCAGTGTGGTACCTGTCAATCCCGTGGGTAAGGAGGCTAAACTGTTATGAGTGCTGGCTTACACCATTCCCAACAATGCTTAACAGTTCACGACAGGGATCGATTAATTGACGCTGAAGGGAAGCATATAAAGGACATACCAAGCCCAAAAGCTGAAACGATTGATCAAAAGGCATCTGAAATTCACGACGAAACTCACCTAGTTGTGCCAGAGACGTGACAAGCTGCTCAGAGGTGGGCATCTGTGTTCGTGTCTTCGGAGTGAAGAGCAAATGAACATACCACTGCACCCGTCAATAGCTTATTCCGATTGCCAACTGCAAGCCCGATGTCAAACGATGTTTGCATAAAGAGGGACGACCTTACTTATCCAAACCCTATGGGCATAGAAGCTATCATCCGGCAATGAGAACAGGACAAGAGGTGTAAGAGATATGTCAAACCATTGCACGAAGAATGCGGTAAAGAACTGCAAAGAGCTCTGTTTAGTCCTGAATGGAGAGTCAACCATTGGGTGGCACTTACGTTGGCACCAAGGGCACTCTTGAAAAGTAAAGATGGGTTTTAGTAATACTACTAATAAAGCCCAAATATCCAAGTTACTTACACTCATATACCTGTAATGTCGGCGTCGAACATAGGGACAGGCAGTTGTAAGAGAGACCTACCAGGGCACCCCGACCGTACAAGCATACGACGTTTGCCATCGGCAGACAATCAACTCTCGACAGTAATAGCTCAACAAGGTGATAGTTCCAAAGGTGTCGAGGGTGCTGCGGAGCGACGGGAGTTTATGACGTGGGTGTGAGGCGAAGAATGACACAACATACAAGACAAGGAGGACCTTTGAGGAGTTGACTTACTAGCAACAGGAATAAGTAATTGCGACGTACCACAATTTTGAGGAGACGCTTGTCATTCGGGAACGCTGAGAAGTAGAATAGGTACTGGAAAATGGTCACACCATACAAACTAGAAAGAGGGTTATCATTTGTCCAACGGCAACGACAGGAAATCGACGTACACTAGCCCGACTGTCGTTGCTGTGAACGACTCTGTGGGATCAGAGATGGTTTCGTAGAGCAACGATACTTGCCGATAAGACCGGGTCCCCACCCCAAACCAGCGAACACCTCTGAGGCCGCCATCACTTTTTCCGAGCAACAGAAATGAAAGAACGAATGAACGTTGTGGGCCTGCCAGGCCCCTTCCACTCATCTACACTGCTAGCCGGCTCTGCGGATCGATGGGACTAACTAAGTATAGCTATCTCGTAAAACATATGTGCATGCTGTTACGTAGTATTGACATAATATACAATGTCCCTTGCTGGATGGGTTGGTATGGTCTTTGGTGGGTACAAACTGCGCTCACAATGCATGTAAGTACGATATCAATAGTCATCCGCGCAAAATTCGCAGCATTGCAATGTGTCGGTTATTGCGTGAACCGCTCAAGGCAAACCTATGTGCATCTGTCATTTGTTCATTTAGGCCCGGATGTCTCACATGTTGGGCGCTAATGCGGTGCCCAGTGATGACCGAGTCGGTCTACCCGAAAACCTCACTATAGGGTACTTGCGAGGAGTATGTATATACACCATCATAAGTGGAGTTTAGTGGATACTCGGTAAAGTGGGAATTTCCAATGGCAGTGCTTGGGCTTGTTGCTGATCACGGATAGATTTCCTGGCATTCAGCCTTCGCAGCCACATGCATGGGCGTCGCGCAAAGAAAATACAAAGGTGGATATGAGGTCACGACCAGGCGAGATAACTGGCATGCTTACACGGCTAGCATGGAATTTGCATATGCTATTAACATGGCAAAGTCAGACGAAGAACGAGTGCAGCAAATCATTGAGAGCACCAACTCTTGCCCAGGATTGCACCCGGTGCGGCGGTAAAGTATTTTCCAACCAATTGATCTTGAAAGTACTTCATGATCCAACGACAGTCACTACGCTGGTGAAATTAAATTCTACACAAGATCACTCACAAGTATAGTCATTGCAAGGGCACCCATGCTGACCGGCACACAAGACAAAGTATGCAGCCCGACGGTTTTCGCGTCCCAGCCGGCCAGGTCAATGGCTGTAGGTCACACAGTAAAAGGTAACGCTTACAAGGTAATCAGACCCATCTGAACAAAGACCACATTGAGTTTTTGAATATGATGTTCCTTTCTACAAGTGGTGAGTAAAGAGCAAGAGTCAATGTGAAATACACGACGCTTTCATAATCCCTGCAAATGACAAATATGGAACTAGTAACAAGAGACATACCGCAGACGGCCAGTTCGCGAAGGGCGAAGATAGAATAGTACGCTTATTGTAATGATTGCATCACATATTGCGCCTCCAAGAGCATTGATCGGCGAGAACTGTTTTGTGTTTCAGTGTTTGCAGAAATTTTGTTTCACACAACCCATGACATACCAGACTGATAAAGAGAGTACTGATAAGGCCAGTATGACACCTGTCAGTCCTGGGCGTAAGCGCGTTAAACGCTCGGAAGTGCTAGCTTACACTGTTCCCAACAATACTTGGCAGTTCAAGGCAAGAATTAGTTCACTAACGCTGACGGGAGGCATATAAAGAACATACCAAGCCCAAAACCTGATATGATTGATAAAAAGAGATCTGAACTTGACGAGGAAACTCACCTAATTGTGTCAGAGCCGTGATAAGCTGTTCAGAGAAAAATATGTATATTCAAGTCTGAGAAATGGGGGGGAAATGAGCATACCACTGCACCCGTCAATAGCTTATTCCGATCGCCAACTGGAAAACCCACGTCAGACCGTGCTCGCATAAAAAGGGGTTGACTTTACTTATCCAAACCCTATGGGCATAAAAACTATCGTCCGGCAGTGAGAGCAGGACCAGAGGAATCAGAGATAATATGCCAAACCATTGCACGATGAACGCGGTAAAGAACTGTAAACAACTCGTTTTAGTCCTGAATGGGGAATGGAACGTCCAGTCCCACTTACGCTAGTACCAAGAGCGCACTTGAAAAGCAGAGATGGGTTCCATTAATACTGCTAACAGTGCTGGAATTTTGAATCTACTCACACTCAGATCCCTGAAAAATCTCCGTTGAGCATAGGAGAAAGCCGGAATATGGGAGACGTACCAGGGCATCTCGACCGTGCAAGCGTATGACGTTTGCCATCGGCAGAGTATTAACGCTCGGCAGTTGAAGCTTAGCAGGGCGAAAGTATTGAGGGTATCGAGAACGCTGCGGGAGAGTATGTGCCACAGACATAAAGCGACAAATGGCACAACATACAAGACAAGGAAGACCTTGGAAGAGTCAGCTGACGAGCAGCAGCAATGGATAAGATCTGCGTACTACACTTTTGAGGAGACGCCTGTCATCCGGGAACGCTGGGACGTAGAATAGGTACTGGCAAACGGACACGCCATACAAACTGCAAGGGTGGTAGTCGCTTGACCAACACCTATGATAAGAGGTGGACGTACCCTAGCCCGACCGTGATTCCTAGTACGAACAACTCGATGGGATCAGAGTAGGTTCGGTGAAGCAGCGATACTTGCCAATAAAACCGGGCCCCCACCTCACACCGAAGGGTACAACCGACGACATCACTGTTCAAGTGTTCCCCCGAGCAGGCCAGTCTGGCCCACAAAAGGTACTGGGCTTATGAGTGGCTAAAGCACTTGTGGGAATTTAGGGGTGACGGGTCTATTAGTCTAGCCCGACTAACTGATCATGACAAACTCGTCGCAAAAAGTGACAGCTCTCCCTTTTTGGGACGAGGAAATGACCAGGTCTTTGTATGTTCCTGGTCAACTCTGTTGGGCTGGAGACTACTCCAGTGCACAGTGTTGTCTGCTAGGAAAGCATAGAAAACCGTCTCACAAAAGCTCCACACTAAATCGGTTTGCACAAGATACGGTCTGAGAGTAACCATGCAACCAATTGTCCTTACGATTGCTGGAGAGCGGAGGAGGGGGTTCTCCCAGAGAAGTGTATATATACTGTTTACATCGAACCGAGATTACAGGTCGGTGAATACTCGGTAGGGTTGGAACGTCCAACGGCGGGACTCAGGTCTGTTGCTCATCGAGGTTGCGTGGCGGACGTGAGAGTGTTATCTGAAGAAATGAGCAGTACGATTACACAGCTAACAGGGAGTCCGAGTATGCGATTGATAGGGCTAAGTCAACTGAAGCAGTGACAATCATGGAGGGTGCTGACTTTCGCTCTCCATGGTACCTGATGTAGTAGTAGCAGTTTTCGTAACATCCCAGCTTGCCAGGTTAATAAGTGGGGACCTGTCGACAAAAGGTGATACTCACAGGGTGATCAGGGCCGCTCGAACAAAGACAAAATCGAGTTTTTGAATATGATTGTCTTTCCTAAGAAGGATGGGTAAAGAGCAAGGGTCAATGTAAAAACACGACGATTTCATAATCGCTGTACACCGAAGAAGACCAGCTCGAAGAACGGCGAGGGTAGAAGAATACACTGGCCGTAAGGATCGCATCACATACTTCACTTCCCAGGGAATTGACTCGTTGTATTGTTCCACATGTCCGCACTATATGATCCGAGCGACCCATGACATACCGGACTGCCAATGAAGGTGCCGTATGTCAACGCCAGGTGTAAGCAGGTGAGATGCTTGCGGTTTCCAACTCACGCCACTCCCAACAATGCTTGATGGTCCAGGGCAGTGTTTATTCAACTGATCCTGAAGGTATGTAAAGCACCTACCGAAACCGAAAACTGATCTAACTAATAGGGGAAAAATGAATTTAACTACCCGACTCACCCAGTTGTACTAGCGCAGCGATAAGGATAAGCCACCCAGAGAAAACGTCTATATCCATGTCTGCGGTGTGAAGAACAGACAAACGTACCACAGCACCCATAAATAGCTCATTCCGATTAGGCGAAGCTGGCGAAAGACAGTGACATCCCTTACTTATCCAAACCCTGTGGGCACAAAAGCTGTCGTGTGGTGTTGAGGACACGAGAAGATGTGTAAGAAATGTTACATACCATTGTATGAAAGATGGGACCAAAAACTGTAGAGAGGAGCTTGTAGCCCGGAATAGAGAACTAGGTGGTCAGATCGCACCTACGCTGGTACCAAGGGCCGTCTTGTAAAGTAAAGATGCTTTCAGGAACGTTATTAACAAACGATGCACAGTTGCAGAAGATTGTTACCTACACTCAAATCCTTTCAAGACCTGCATCGAGCATAGGGACAGGCGGCAACAAGGGGAACGTACCAGGGCATCTCGAGCGTGAAAGCGTACATCGTTCTCCGTGGACAGGTTATGAACGTTCGACACTGGTGACGAGAATAATGTGGACTAAGAGTTCATGTCCCAAGCACAAGGCGACAAATGACACAACATACAAGACAAGCAGGACTTTTTCAGAGTCAGCTGACAGGTAGTAGGAACGCATGGAACTGGCATACTGCGCTTTTGAGGAGACGACTGCCATTCGGGAACGACAACAGGCGGACCCACGCTAAACCAACTATTATTCCTGTGAACAACTCGGTGGCATCAGGGCAACGAATCAACTAAGTGCCTGCGTGGGGTCTTGAGCCACGGGGTTTAATGATCGCGTGCACCACGGCGCACGCCGACAGTTGATGAGAGGGATGAGCGCTATGAGTCCTTAGTGTCCGATATCGAGTATAGAAGTAACTTGATGTAGGATAGTACAGTTCCCCCAACGGTATTACAAGAATTCAACCACCGCCTTCTCGTTGACGGCTTTATACAACGCTGAACAGATTTCAGCCAGATGTCGATCATGGACCCATTCTCTGTTTCTTTAACGGTCAATAGCTTTGCCTCAGCTGTGAGCCCAGCCTCGCAGGAGCGTATTGACCTTAGCATCGAATGAATGTGTCACATTCTGTCCACATGTCCATTATTAAATGAGTTGTACAAAAAAAGGAAAAGTGGTAGAGAAAGGGAAGTAATCAGCCAGCACCGGTGAGGCCTTGAGGACTGTATACGGACAGGTGCACCCAGTCTTCAAAACCTATCTTAAGGGGTCTATCTATCTCTGGGACAGAGTAACGGCACATTTAAGCGTGAGGCCCGTTGTTCAGGTACACATATCCATCTTCCGTGGGTGGATTAGCAGAGAACAATCTGCCAAGGCGCTCATCTGAAAACATGTACATCAGAAGAGGGACGAAGAGTCAATGGCGATGCTTATCAACTCACACACAGGACAATTTTCGATATGCCTGAAGTGCTTAAGCTCCCACTTCGTTCCTGCTGCGCCCTCATCCCGCCGTCTTTGTCTTTGCTCATTCTTGATTATCAAACGTTAGTTGATCAGAGTTCAGAAATGCAAGTACTTCCTTACCTCAATCCTGCTCTTATCTTTAGCTGCAGTCTCGAAATCACCCTCTCTGATGCCTTTTGCAACCACGCTCCACAACCGCCTGCTCTCCCACTCGCCTTGCTCTGTGATGGGAGCGACGGTGACTTCCTCTTTGGGGGCAGTCACGTCGTGGAAGACAGCACCAATACGAGTGTCCCGCGATGTTGTGTGCCAAGTCCCTTCGATCACGTGGGGTTGGCGGTGGAGGTGGGGCGGCGGTGTCACGGTAGCTTTGAACGAATGGGACTTTCCAGAGAAATAGCCCTTTCCTTTGTACTCAATCTACATTTGCGGGATCATCGATCAACAGGGCGTTTACGCAAAGCGCAGAAAAATCATACCTGAGACAACCAGCCCGAAGAGCTCTGAATGTAACTGGTATCGGTGAGTTCGATATAGGGCGAGCCATACCATAGCCCATCAATGCGAAGGCGGGGAAGGGTGATCAGGTACTCCTCAACGTCACCCGACGGAAGCCTAACGGTCAGAACGGCATGGCCGACCTGCTTGACGATAATACTTCCACCTGTAGATCACATTGAAGGGTTCAGCGCTACACGAGTGCAAGTATTGAGAGTAAGTACCGCTGAAACTAGTCTTCTGAGCATTGTGGCCGGTGAGGACGACACCCTTTGCCTCATTGGCAATACGGTAGGCAGTGATCGGAGGGTGGTGGGAAACCTGCTCCACAACTAGGGTGGTCTTCCCGCCGCGCCCCGCAGTGTCGGGCCAGTATCCGTAGAATAATCTAAATTGTGCGATATATGTGAAACTTGCATTTAAGGAGTCATGTGCGTTAACTTACTCGCCGAGAACGGGATTCAAGGGTCTTTCAAAACACCTGAGATAATCTGCGGTCGATAAGAGTGATTCGGCTTACTTCTTTTCAGATCCCATGGACTCGTTCCGTGATGTATATTGGCCCTTAAGGGTACTCTGTCGGGCATCAGCATCAACAAAGATTACCAAGGCAAAAGAGGAAAATTAATTACAATGAACCATTTGAGAACCGCCAATGCACGTTCTTCCTCACTCTTGCCGTCCGCGATCTTTGCAAACAGCTCGGGGCGTTCACACCAGTAAGCTGACGGCACGGATAAGAGATGGGGGATAACACGTTTTCTCGAAAATTCTCGTACCCGGAAATTCGGTGAGCGAAGTGGGGGAAAGAATGAACGGCGGGGCCGTCATGGACGATAGATCGCCAGTAAACCCCGCAAGGCTGTATTACGATACAAGGGGTAGGGGGAGGAGAGAACACGTTCAGTCATCTCCATACTGAAACTGGTAGTTCGGCATAGTACGAACGATTTCAGAAATGATGCCCAACTGCCCTTCTGGGCTGCAGGAACGGCCTATGGAGTGACGGAGCGATGGAGTGCGATCGGGAATTCAACATACATGCATGTTTGCGTTTACGTGGGTTACGGGGAGAACGAACAATATGCTCTGATGAACTTGCCTCGCCAGGTTGTTCAGACATTCTGGATGGGTTCTTGGGGAGTTTGCAAACTATTAGCTGAAATGTTTCGTGGTCGACTGACAGGGCCTCCACAGCTGTCGGGAAGGTTACCACCTGCCATCTTGATCACGTGAACCTCACCCCAAACCTGGACAGTCCTCAAAAAACTGATAAACCAAGAAGGTGCATGAATCAAGACAACTACTGTGACAGATGGCAGATATACACTAATGTGGTGTTGGAGTTGAGATGGCACAGTTGGCAATGCAACGAAAAATATGCTAATCCCACGCTGCTTCTGCAGACTGGCGGACTAGTCGCCGCACTTTCTTCTTGTAAGCTGTAGCAAACGGCATTAAAATCTGGGATAAGTCCAAAGACAGAGTTGCAAGCTTACCGGCTAGGTCATTGCGGATCTCCTTCGCGGCATCAACGTTGGCGGGACTATCAGTGTTGGGAGTGTCAGAAGACAAGAGAGAGATAACGCTGATGAGCTGTAATAGCAACAGACATCAATCGCAGAGACGTGCAAAAGTAATCAGACACACGATAGTCTCCACTGTATGAACGGGCAGCCATCTTTCACTTGCATCTTCATAACCGTACTGATCTTCCCCAGGGGCATGCTAGCAAAACCATCGAGAGTCATGAGCCACACATGCATGCCAGAAGTGTGATCTCAGTCTTACAAGAATTGAAATACAGACATCACCGTTAGGGTAGACTGTCCCAAGTAGGTTAGGACCCATGCAGCACGACCTGGCGAGAGACATACTGTTAGGGTGCCACATTGGCGTGATAAATCGCATCTTGGGGGGTTGCAATGGGTACTCTGGCGGAAAGGAAAGTCGAGTCTTAAGGATACCACCCTCACTGAAGAATTCGTTCAGATAAGCCCAAAGACCGTAAATATGAAACGATACACACTAGAGGGTATCGGGTGGACTGACGACAAGTCGTCAGCGATTGTCGTAGGCGATCTGGAATGGCACGCACCCGATAATCACGATTTCCCACTCGTAGAGATTGTCATCATCAACAAGCCCTTTGACGCCAATTCTGTCAGGCTTCTGTTGAAGATCGATGCTATTGAGAAACGCTAACCATACCTGCAGAGAAGCCCTGCACTGGACGCTTGGTTAGCTCTTGAAGTTGTCTACGGAGAAGTAGCGAATTGGACGGTTGAGGAGTCGAGGACTTCGACATGGTCGCGACGAGAGCGCCGAGATCGCTGAGGACTGTCAAGATCGAATTCTGAAAGGGAGACTACACTTGAAGCTTGAAAGGCTGCCCCAGCCGCTTCAATATCGAACGTGATCGTGCGAACTACACTTTCAATGCTTCCTTACGATAAGATGATACATAATTATCGCTACAGCTGGCAATGCGTGGGTTTAGTCGGATCGAGACTGCCTTGTCGACTCGCTCTCGAGGCCAATATCGATATGGCTCGTAAGCAGGATGCCTCCGTCAGTATACTCAGTCCCCCTCGGTATCGACAATTGCGCCATGTTTAAGATGAGACGGCTTCCCTACACTCGGTCATGTAGCTGGAGCGAAAAAAAATCACGTCATTGCACTTACACACGCTGAATGCATCGTTCCAGTCCAACTGTGTCGCGAAGGATAATCATCAAACCAAGCAGTGGATGTAGGGGAGACCAAGTGCGTACAAGAACATAACAAGTGGCGGCCAGCCCACCAACTTGACGATCACGAACGAACAACCAAGTAATGCTTAAGCAAGTTGAGCTGCCTCCACAAGAAATTTCCACGACGTACACACCAAGCATCAATAAGTACGCAAGGGTCCCGTCTCGAGTGAGCATCGTCACAACCGGGAGTTTTGAAAACCCTGCTCTGACTATGGCATAACGCTTCAGTAGAGTCATGGTAATCAGGGCGCTCTCTGTGATCAGTGAGAACACACTGAGAATTGTTATTGATTGCACCGAGTCTCCAAAGGATAACGAGCTCACCCATGGACTTTGCTTATGGGTAAAATAGGGAACAGTATACACTCTTCATCACAATCCAGAAGGTACCGCGACAGCAGGGTGAGAAAAGCACACGAGGCTTCCGCCGAAATCAAACAACCGAGCAAGAGCGTCACCCAAAGTTGCCGCCCGAACAGAGCATAAACTATGAATAGCAAAAGTTTCGAGTTCAGAATGTCGAACAGTGCGTGTCATACACCTACCTCTGAAAGCCAAGATGAATTCTACTGCAATACTTGTGAAAAGCACCAAACCAATCATAGACATGTGCCAGCTTTTGCATAGAGTGTAAAGTGTGCTTCCAGACACCATGTGCGACTAATACGTATTGGGTAGATCTGACGTGCGGTAAGTCTTAGTAGAATGCAAAAATGATTCGAAGAATTCTGTCACTCGCATTTGTGCAAACAACGGTATGTACCGCAAGAACAGGTATAACCATTTGAAGGTACACCCTGCCCTCATTCTGGAAGCGGTGATGAGCTCTGGTATGAACGACTGGTTCGGATACTGGTGTCCTCACGGCCATATGAAGCGGACTTCATTCTCCAGAGTCGACACACAATCCCACTGACAAAATAGACAATGCAGCGACTGCAACTCATCGGTTAGAAACCGTCAGATGTCGTGGAAATTCGGTAAAGAAAGCACACCACTGTGGTAGTAGACATCACGGATAGCTTTGGACGTAATTCGTAAACGGGTCTGGAGATCCCATTGAAAAGGGATCAGGGAAAAGTAGTTACCAGAGGTGATGGAGATTCCATCCGGGGTGTCAATATCCTGAATTTCCACCAGCAGTGCACACCTTCATTTTGCGCGTTATTGCCAGCGAGGATGTGACGTGTAGCAATAATACGGGGCGGGATACCTTGCCCGTGTCGGCTCTTTTGAATATCCGGTATACCTACTCCGCGAATCAACTACGATGCATCATGGTCGGGTATGGGAAAACCATCGTGTATTCAGGTGACGATGACACCAACTCCATCGAGTTCAAACTAGAGTAGTAACGCACGATAAACACCAGGTATGGCGGGGCGCACAGCATGCACTCAGTTTTCACATGGAGGCATTCGCAGAGCCGTTACTGAGGAGTCGGTGTCACAGTATCCGCTTAGCATATGGTGGTAAGTATACATTTACAGTAAGTGGTTGGGTACATACAAATTTAGGGACATGAAAGAAGCATGGGGATTGTGGCCGCTTGTGCCCTAAGTGAAAGCCAATCCTTCTACTTTTATATCAATCCAAATCCTCAGAGAGACAAATATCGATCTGGGTGGTGAGTAGAATGCTTTCGTCCTCCAGTAAACCTTGCAGGCGATCCTGTATGCGCGCCATATTTAATATCAGTCGACTTCCCTGTCACGTAGCATGTGAACAAGAGTTGCACAAATCTTTCACAGCAAAAGGGACTCACGCAGACAGAATGTACAGTCAATGCCCAGCTGTATCCGATGCATCATGAATTGAAGTTTGGCATAAGATATGGCACGCACAAAAATAAAATAATTGGTTCCGAACTCAACACTGTGGTTATGGTGAAACCAAAGCCAAGTAGACCTAATCATATAAAAAATGAACTGCCCATACAGAGTCGCTAAAGGCAACCCTTACCCGCCATGACGAGATAGGTGACAGCTCCGTCGAGTGTAAGTTTTGATATGGCGTTCCTTCTGGCACCTCCCCCCCAGACGATAGAGAAATACTTAACCACCGTGAGGGTAATGAGGGTGCTGTGTACGACCGCTGTACTTGCCCTAAAATTCTTTTGTCAGTATGAGTTCGCGAGCGTTCGAAATCAAGACCCAACATTTGGATCTTAGCATCGGGGGACAGCTGGAATAACATGCCACCTTCGTAACTCTTTAAGGTTAGAGTTGCATTAACCATACAGCAAAGCAGCTCGGCTAGCATGAGACATCCAAGAAGGCGTGATATCCATGGGCGGCGACCAAACAACACGCAAACTAAGTCATCAGGCATGAGACGAGTGGAAGTACTGTTAGGACTGAAAAACTGAGACCTACCTCTGAATGCCAGTATAAATTCCACTGTGAAATTAGCGCACTCCGCCACAAGTGCCATAGATGCGAGCAGAGCCCGGCAAATGTGAGAAGACATGACAGGAAAGAAAGGGAGAAGGATCTGGCACGCTCTGTTACACCATTCATGTGGTTTGGCAAAGCATTATTGGACACAATCACGCGACGTACATATGAGTAACCAATAGGAAATGACGATGGAACATATAAAGCCATTTGAACGTGTGTCTTCTTTTCATCCTGCAAGGGTGGGGAGATGAGCTCTCTGCGAACGCAAGAAGCATCGAGTCCTGACGGCCAAATATAGTGGACTTCATCTCCAAGCGTTGTTAGAAAATCCCAGAGCGAAAACGCGAGTGTGGCAACTGGCAGGCTCATCAGAACCGTTGCAGTCGAAATGAAAAAGAGGTCGTACCGCTGTGGTAATAGATACTTTGAACGGCTGCAGTAGTGCCCATACCGGTGTTCACTATGAAGACGGAGGGAAATAGTGATAGAAACCCCGGGCTCGAGTGTGTGCATATAAGTGGTTTACCCACACAAGGGGGCGCTGTATCGTAATGTAGGGTCGGGGGATATCCCCCGCCCCTGCAATGTTAGGCAATGCCAGGCATGAATCGTAACCATTGTAATCGAATGGAAGTCTTCCTCACCTAACTAAGGCCAGGCATCAGTAAATTCAGCCAAATTAAGCGCTTGAAAACCCAGGTTTTTGAACGCTTAGCTTTACTGATGGGGATGCTTCAACGTTGGGCTATTTTGCACAGTCACTGCGCTGACATCACGTCCGAGCATCACGCTTCAGGGACTAGTTATCACGCAAGTCACGTAATGGTTTCACTCAGGCTTTACATGTTCCGATCAGCGAGCCGTCGCGATGCTCAGCGTCAGACATGCTTATCGAGTCCAACCTTAACATTGAGCTTGGTAAGGCGTGAATGACGCCAGTCGATAGACATGCGGACCTCCTGAAACTTGTTCACATATCAACTTACTTCCCGGGGCTAAACCGCAGGGTGCCAGGCAAGCCACACACCTACTGTACAGTTTTGGTGGGAGAATGATCATATGTACGTCCAGACACCAAACCAGTCCGTATTGGTGTGTTAGAGCCCTGCTCGCGTCCAGCAAGCAGGACATGCTTTACTGCCACAGTCCAAATACCACCAAAGTCAGTTTCTCCGAATTATCACCGGGAATTTTACTGGAACCTAACATGAAGCAAACTCTCCCAAAATGCGGGTAAGCCGGGAAGCAGTGGCCAGCCCACCACGGAGTAGTGTGCACCCCTTGTGGTCGTGAATTGTTCGGTATTGGTACCTCGGAAAAATGTAATACATATGGTTGTATTTGGTTACGTACGGTCTGGTTCCCCTGCGCGTCCATTGCTGACTCAGGCCTGGGGCCTCTGAAGAGTCGGTGATACAGTATCCGCTTGGCACATGGTGGTAAGCACATATATATTTACAGTTGATCACATACAAACATGGGGCGAATGCGGGGACATGAAAAAAGGACGGGAATTGTGATTGCTTGTGCTCTAAGTGAAAGAAAATCCTTATGCTTTGAGATCAACCCAAATCCTCAGAGAGACAAATGTCGATCTGGGTGGTGAATAAAATGTTTTCATCCTCCGGTAAACCTTGCATGTGGCCCAGCATGCGCGCCACATTCAATATCAGTCGACTTCCCTGTTGTGCGGTATGTGAACAAGATTATCTTCTGCAGCAAAATAAACTCACGCAGACAGAATGTACAGTCAATGACCAGCTGTGTCCAATGCATTATGAGTTGAGGTTTGGCATAAGATTTGGCACGCACAAAAACATAATGAATGGTCCGGAATTCGGCACGGTGGTTATGGTGAGACCAAAACCAAGCAAACCTAATCATATAAAAGATGAACTATCCATACAGAATCGTTAAAGACAACCCTTACCTGCCATGATGAGATGGGTAACAGCTCCATCGAGTGTAAACTCTGTTATGACCTTCCTTTCAGCACCCCTCGCCCCAACGGTAGAGAGATACTTAACCACCGTGAGGGTGATGAGGGTGCTGTGCACAACCGCTGTGCATGCCCTAAATTTCTTTTGTTAGTATTTGCGAGCGTTCGAAATCAACGACCCCACATTTGTATCTTCGGGTCTGGGGAGACCTGGAACAGCATGCCACCTCTATAACTCTTTAAAGTCAAAGTTGCAGTAGCCATACAGCAGAGTAGCTCGGCTAGCATGAGACATCCAAGAAGGCGCGATACCCATGGGCGGCGACCGAATAACACACAAACTAGATCATCAGGCATGAAATGACTGCTAGGACTGCAGGACTAAGACCTACCTCTGAACGCCAATATAAATTCCGATGTGAAATTAGCGCACTCTAACACAGCTGTCACAGACGCAAGTAGAGCCCGGCAAATGCGAAAAGACATGACGGGAAAGAAGGGGAGAAGGATCTGGCACGTTCTGTTACACCATCCATATTGTGGTTTGGTAAAGCGCCATAAGACACAATCACGCGACGCACATATGAGTAACCAATAGGAAATGGCGATGGAACATGTAAAGCCATTTGAACGTGCGTCTTTTCATCCTGTGAGCGTTGGCTGATGAGCACTCTGTGAACGCAGGAAGCATCGAATCCTAACGGCCAAATATAATGGACTTCATCTCCGAACGTCATTAGGAAGTCCCAGAACGAAAGCGCGAGTGTTGCAGCTGATAGGCTCATCAAAACCGTCGCAGTCGAAGTGAAGAAGAGATCGTACTGCAGTGGTAATAGATACTCTGAGTGGCTGCAGTAGTGCCCATAATGGTGTCCAGTGGTGACAGGAGAGAAATAATGACAGGAAATGCTGGAGTGTGCGTATATACTTAAGTGCATAGTTTGCTTACAAAGTTTGAAAGGGGTACATCGTGATGTAGGGTCGGGAATAAGTATTCCCGCCCCTGCAAGAAGTCTGACCGTCAACCAATGTGCTATTGCGGCGGGAATGAATTGTAACACATGACAATTAAATGAGGGTCTTCCTTACCTTACTACATAAGGTCAGTTACTCTTCAACACGGGGTGCACATGACGAACTTAGAGCTTGGGCTATCCTGCAGGGATTCTCGTCATGGCTTCACCGTTCAGTTGCACTGCCACACTAAAAAGGGGTTCTTACGGGCCGTCGCAATATTAATGGCTGGTATGCGATCAATCATATTATGGTATACTTCAGACATCGTTATCGAGTCAAATCTTACCGGTAACTCTTACCAGTGAACTCAGTAAAACACCCAATCGTTTGTACGTCCGCGCTCAGTACTCCAAGCATGTGGTCCGGTTCCCGTGGCTCGCGGGTCCAATGCTGACTCATCCATCGCACTGTTGGCTTCTCCGGTTTATCTTTGCGGTGGCTCACAATGCTATGCAAAGCAGTACCCACCTACGGCCGAAACTGTGGAATCCCTTATTAGAGGACCGTTAATTGGGACTCTAGTTGGGCTTGTGTGAGTTAGCAATTGAGCTCTCCCTTCATGTCTGACGACACAGACCGGCAAATGTTTGCGTTGTCTAGATTGTATGGCGTTACGTTCCTACAAACATTCTTCTATTTCCAGACGTATGTGGATGATCGGATGGGCCTGAAATTAGTCGTACGTCCCTAATCCCCCAGTGCTTGACATTTCTGCACGGGCTGCTGAGGCCCTTATTATGTAGGTTGCGCTATTGGTGTACGTTCTGCCTTGCTTGATGGACACAGCGTTCATCTTTTAGGGCAGCATTCTCGAGACGGCTCATGCCGTGTTGTCCGTGTCGGTGATGGATTATTACCTGATCGCGCACTATGGTTAGGTACAAGTATTACAATCTGCAACCTGGTTTGTACGCTTGAACTTTACAATGAGTCCGCGAGCTCACTCGGACCCCATAACAAGGGTCAGCATGGTAAGTTACTGCAGTGCAAGTCAGACAACGCGAACTTCACTGTAAACTCCTAGGTCATGTATATCGTAGTGGTGAGTTTGACTTATGCTGTGCTGACTGTACACTGATTTACCTCGGAGTTCACGACCGATTTCGTTGCTTACCTGTGAGTTGATGCCCGTGATATTAGTTAATAGTCCTCACGTACAACAAGGTATTTCACCTGGAGAATATGGGCATGTGAGTTTTCTCGAAGATGTAGCGGGGCCATTCAAGGTTTACAGGCTTCTTTCGCAGTTACCAAGAGAGTGTGGATCGTAATCTTCATGGTAATGAATATCCAATCCACTCATGCTTCTGCTAAGGCATCATTTGCCAGATATTCATCGCTGTATCACGGACCAGTATGTGGATCGATTCTCATGATACCACAATATGATTGACTGCACACCAGTCATCAGTATAGTACCATCTGTTTGGAGGTGATACAGGGGCGATCCGTCCGTGTGCATTGCAAGCTCACTTAATATCCACAGCGTCCTAAGTGGTACTTGGAACTCATACCTCGTTCGATCGAAAAGATTGTTCCTGGCGGGAAATGCACTTTTCCTCTTTGGTGACTTTTTCTCCGCTTGCATGATGGCATATTATCTCGAGAAGAATCGCAACGGACTTCGGAGGTAAACTACTTACTTGGGCGGGACTAGAGTGATATTGACTCTACAGCCACACAGCACCCATACACTAATCAATCGGATCTTGATTTTCGTCGTCGCAACAGGTGCAATTGCAGTGTAAGTAGTGATGTAATGTATTCAAATTAAACTAAATGAATCGTCTTCCAGGTTCGTCGATATAATTGCTCTCGTTTTGGTGGGTATCACGCTGTTAAAATACCTTACTTCTTCGAAGACTTAGCATGGGAGCAGATAATAGTCCAGAGCGAGAGTTTGGCATTCACCAGTGCAATCCTCATTCAAACCCGCCGTGCGTAAATATCACTTGGCAAATGGCTTTCCAGGTTATTTTTTTAAACATACTCCTAGTTTACTCAAACTCGCTTCTGGCGTCGTGAGTGCACGCATGTTATATTTCACGAACCCGTGTCGCTGACCTGAGCAGGCTAAACGCAAGGAAGTCCCATAACCGCGTACTTCACGACTGTGGTGACCGACGAAGCGTTCCGATAGAGCTTCCCCAAAATTCCATACGATTTGCTCAACAATCTGACATCCGCGGAGGCGCAGCTCTGCAACGAAGTGTAAGGTCTCATGTGTCTGTATTCCATTTCAGTTATGTTAAGCTTATGACGGTGTATTTCAGCAGCGTACCAGTGGTAGCACGAAATCTACCGAGTCATGGCACACAGCTCCTGAGGTTGCTGCTTGACAGAACGAAGGTGGCCCGAGGGGACAATCTTCCAGCCAGTTGAACTGTGCTGATCGCTGTGTGCAACAATAAGCTTGGGATTACATCCATCCAGAGACAGTTTCTCGATGGCATCTGTCGTGCTTTAAGTAGTTGCTATATACGTACTGATTGTAACTAGCCGAAGGAAGAGCGCACTGGTTTGGTGCTGTGGCCTTACGTATTATCTGGCGTGATGGAAAGCCACTATCATACTAAGTGCTAGGAGCAGACTAGTACAGTGCAGAGACTCTGACACTCTCTGATGGGCCTCAGTCCCACCACACTGGTGACAGGCGTTGCCTGACTTCATAATGCAAGCACTATCGCCTACACCAGACGCTGGCATTCTCAACTCTTTCTTTCCATTTGGCTCGGAGAACGACCCTCAAAGTGGCCATGTCTACTTTAGTAATTTCGCTCGCAAGGGGACCCCTAATTGGCACGTGCCTAAGCTTATGGTGAGCACTCGGCGTTTTGTGCCAGGTCGAGAATGTTTTTACTTGGCTTTTGGTGTCTGTGGATCTTAGCCTGTACGGCATTACTTGTCTGCAGGCATGCTTTTACTTCCAGACCTACGTGAACGACCGAACGAGCCTGAAATTGACGGTAAGGAGAATGTTGTATCTTCTCACTCATCCAACGTACACATGAGAAGGTCGTGTCATTGCTGTAAGTACAGGCTTGCATTTCTGCCCGCATGATTCCATGATCCCATCCACGTTTGTTTCAGGACACTGGAAACTGCTCATGTTGTTCTGACAATGTGGCTAATGGACTATTATTTCGTCGCCAACTACGGGAACGAGCAAGTATTGGAATCTACTACGTGGTTTGTAACCAGCCCCTTGAGGACTTGAACCAGTTGACTCACAAGACACTGATTATTCCTCCAAGGGTGACCATGGTAATTATACTTATGCATCATGGAATTTTGACAAATCCTATCATCCGTGCCCTAGGTCACATGGAGTATCGGAGTACGTGTAACTCCCCTACGTTGGCGATGCCCGCCTGACAAATGATTCCAGTTCATCATCGGTTTAATCGTGTACCTGTGAGTACTTTGACTTCCGTGACTGAAGCTCTGTTTTGATGTAAGAGTTGAACAGCTATTTCATATGGAGAATATGCATGTGTAATTTGACTCCTCACGTACTATTAAGCTACAGTTGACAGTCTCACTTTTCAGTCACGGGGAAACTATGGATTGCTTTCTTCATGGTGGGCTGACCTAGCGACTATTATAACTACTACCTCATGCTCCTTCTATAGGTTCCCATTGGACTTGCGCAAGCGGGTAGGTATACTTGACACATCAAAGCTCCCACTAAAAGATGGCCCAGCGACTGGCTTCGTCGGCAGTATACTAAGGTACGTAGCCCCATTACCCCTGTCCAAATCTTCCAACGCTGAGCGCATCCAGCATGCTGAGTCCAACCTGGGACTCTTACCTTGAACGTGGCAGAGGCGTGATACTTGGGAATACCCTTTTCATTTTGGGGGACGCTTTGTCATTCTCCATCATGGCTTGGCACCTTAATAAGAGTCGCGATCACGGATTGAGGTATGCTGTATCTGACTTTGGCAGGCCTAGCGGTGCTCAGGGAACCCTCTTTCTCTAAAGTCCGCCTCGAACGAACCTACTAGTGAATAGGCTTATTGTATTCGCTGTAGCGACGGGAGGAATTACTGTGTAATCGCCCTTTCTCCAAAGTTTTCTGTACGTCAGTAGAACTGACCTTGCGTTATAGGTTGGTTGATATCGTCGGCCTCGTGTTGGTCAGTCTTCGTCTGTGCGATATCATCTCATGGAGGGGTTAAGATGCATGCTCTCAACAGATGTTAACCCAACCTCTTAGTCTCGCGTTTGTTGGACCTATGTTCGTCCAGACACGCAGTACGTAGCTTCCGTCGCCCTACCATAATTTATGACATGTTTAGTTGATATCCAGTCCGCACCAATTCCATCCTTGCATCGTGAGTCTTGTATACATAGCGAGGAGTGCCACAAACATTATGTCACTTTTTTTCAAGGTTGAACTTGAGAAATGCCAACAAGCGAGCCTATGAGGAAGCCTTGCAAGTACCGGTGGAGCTGCCTACCAGATCGATCGCGTTCGCCCCCCCACCTAATCAACGGTCGAATTGTGAAGAGACTAATTAGTTGAAGCGATATGTGCGCGTGTTGGTAGCTGGCTGCTGCTCATACTCTTATTCTCTCAGGAAAACCGCCCAAGGACTGGTGACATATGGCCTTGGAATGCGTAAATATTTCCAAAGGTCCAGATCATGTCACCCACAATAATTTATGATGTTCCTACACACCTTTTAGCATCATTGTATTGGGGGGGGGGATCAATAAGCAAACGGTCAATGGTCAAGGGTTTAGGTGCTCGAAGTATTTCTAGAAAATAAGTTAGTGGGGAAGACGGAGTGAGAGCCACACTTACCCAGATTTTGGATATAAGGTCAGCGGTTCGAAGCGACATCAAGCGAGTGTGGTGGCCAACTCGAGCGAACTCATGATGAGCACTCACTCCGTAGGAACCGTACCTGGATCCAGGGTTCGAGCGTTCCATTTCTGTGCCTTACGTACGTTTATACCGTAGTCGTATCGGCCGGACGGCCCAGACCAGCCTGGCATTCTCTCTTTAACTCATTTCATTGGGCGAGTTTCCTTGAAACCCCACGAACAATCCCCTCCAAGTGGCCATGTCAGACCTAGCAGTTTCACTCGTAAGAGGGCCCCTGATCGGCACCTGCCTGGGTTCGTTGTGAGTACTCGACGTCTTGTACCACGTTGAAAACGTTTTCACCTTGCCTTCGGTGTCTGGAACCACAGCCTGTACGGCACTACGTGTCTGCAAGCATTATTTTACTTCCAGGCCTATGCCAACGACCGACTGGGCCTGAAACTGACGGTAAGTACTAGTTGCAAAGTTTTCGCTCATCCAACATACATTGATCAAACCAACGGCAGGTCGCCTTATTGCTGTAAGCACGCGTTTGCTTTTTCACCTGCATACACTCGTGATCCCATCCAGTTTTGTTTTCTAGGACACTGGAAACTATCCATGTTGCTCTGTCAATGTGGCTAATGGACTATTATCTGGTAAACAACTATGGGAACGAGCGCGTACTGCAATCTGCTACGTGGTTTGTAACCAGCCCATCTGGGTCTTGAAATGAGACACTGACAAGTCCTTCAGGTTTGTTATGGTGATCATTTCATTCCTTATGTATTCTAGAAACCTGACGAACGCTATCACGCGTACTCTAGGTTACATATAGTGTCGGAGTGCGTCTAACTTCCCTTTGTTTCCGATACCTGCCTAGCGAATGATTCCAGTTCATCATCGATTCATTCGTCTACCTGTGAGCACTATGACTTCTGTGACTGATACATTTGATTTAAGGGTTTGATAGCTACTTCACATGGAGAATATGGATGTGTAATTTGACCCCTCATGTACTATGGAACTAAAGTTGACAGTCTCGATTTTCAGTTACGAGAAAATTGTGGATTGTTTTCTTCATGGTGGGTTGGCCGAGTGACTGTTATACTAGCTGTTGACTCGTACTCCTCTGGCAGACTTCGGTTGCTCTGGCAAGAATTGGTGGGTGCACATTCGTATTTCCTTGTCCCCACTAAAGATGGCCCAGCGGGCGGTGTTGCTGCCAGCACGCTGAGGTGTGCAGTCCTATTGTTCGCTTCCACCTATTCTAACACCGAACACATTTAGCGTGCTGAGTTCGACATGGGTCTCTTACCTTGAACGTGACAGAAGCCTGATCCTTGCCGCGAGTTCTTTCTTCCTGATCGGGGATACTTTTTCAGCATCCGTCATGGCATGGCATCTTAGCAAGAGTCGCGACAATACTCTGAAGTATCTTGCGTGTTTGGATTTGACAGAGGTGGCACGCTTACGGGAGACCTTTTTTTTTTTCTTTCTGAAGGCTGCAGCCAACGAACATGTTAGTCACCAGGTGCATTGCATTCGTCGTAGCAACTGGAGGGATTACAGTGTGATCGCCCTTTCTCCAAAGCTTTCTTAACGTTGATAGAACTGACCTTGTGCTATAGGGCGGTTGATATCCTCATGCTTGTGTTCGTCAGTCTGCTCGTGTCCAATTATCGCAGGGTGGGGCTGAGATACATGTTTCCATTAGGTGGTAACCCAACCTCTTGGCTTCGGCTTCGTTGGACCCATGTTTGTCCAGACACGCCGTGCGTCACCTCCATTCTCTAGGACTAATTCATGACATTTGCAACTGATGTCCAGTGTACTCCAATTCCCTCCTTGCCTCGTGAGTATTGCGTGCAAATCGACATGGTCTGCGGGCATCGTCTCACATCTCCATTCTTTATTTCGAGACTGAACTTGAGAAGTGCCCACCAGCAAGCTTACGAAAACGCCTTGTTCAACCCTGTAGAGTTGCCTACGAGATCGATTGTGTTTGCGGCCCCACCCGGTCAACGGTCGAATTGTGTTGAGACAGGACAGTTAAGTGACGTGGTATGTGTACGTGTTGGTGGCTGGCTACCGCTGCTCACCCCCTCGCTGTGACAGGATAATGGCATAAGCGAGGACTCACGGGATGCAGCTTTAGAAGGTGTAAACGTTTCCTGATCATGTCACCATAGTAGATGATTCTGCCGTATGTACCTTTCACTGATAGTGGTGTAGGGGCGGACGTATAGAAATATTGCCAGCCAAGGGAAATGTTAAAGAGTTTGGGTGTGGACAACTGTAGTTTAGTGGTTCCTACAAGTGCATTCCGCCTTGAATCTCCGTATGTTCAACGATACCCGCTCATTTCGAAACGGTAGTCTAATCCCAGCTTGACTCCTCTGAGGCGAGCAATCAGGCAGTTTATGCTCGCGTCGAACGCAGCGTTCGATCGGATCACTCAATATGAGCGGCGCCAAGTGTAATCCAGACAGAGGCTTAGTAGGAATGCTCCATCAGATGCGTATCTCGGGCAACCTGCCCGTATGTCACAAGACTACGAGCACCAAGCGATGGGCTTTGGCGCAGATCGCTGGACCCTGTTCACTGCCCCTTCCGGAGCTGCCGTTATCAGATTGATTTGAGGTTTTCTAGTACTGTTGTTATTTCTAGTATATAACTTGGCGGTGCACTCATTCGCGTCGGAAGACTTGTTGTAACGTCATCGATGAGTTATATAACCCCCGATAGCTTGTAGTATGTAGTACTTTGCTATTGTTATCAAAATAATACCCGATGTTGTCTTTTTGATGAACGTGTGCATCGTGTACCATGTCCGTAGTCGGACCTTCCATAGTTCCACGCCTGGCCCGGCAATCTCGTTGTCCAACATCTTCCATGAGGTTTTCTACATGAACTCCTCGACGAACAACCCGTTCCAGTGACCACATGTCTGTAGCTTCGCTCTTAAGAGGGCCTCTCATCGGCACCTGTCTAGCCTCGCTGTAAGTGCTCGAGCCTCGAGGTCGGTACGGGGTTGAGGATGGAGTTCTTACCTTGCTTTCTGGGTGTTTTTGGATCTTAGCCTGTATGGTATTACGTGTCTGCAAGCATTTTTCTACTTTCAAACCTATGTCAACGATCGGAGGGGCCTGAAATTGACAGTGAGTACGACATTCTATCCGTGTGATTCGTTTCAAGGCAGACCCTTAGTCGGCTGTGGCAGGTCGCGTTATTGCTGTCAGTACGCCTTTTCATATATCAGTGCCTGTGTACTGCCTACATACTCTCCCGTTCATGACATTATTGTTTGCGTGTTTCTAGGACACTGGAAACGATCCATGTTGCTTTGTCGATATGGCTCGTGGATAACTATCTCGTCGTCAACTATGCCAATGAGCGTGCACTACAATCTGCTACGTGGTTCAGTACTCACTCGTCGCTCACCCTTGGACAGAGAATGCTGATTGAGTTCTTACTTTCCAAAGGTTGACTACGGTAACTTTTTTTCTTCGCATGTTCTGCAATACCAGTCGAGTCATGCCCATCCATCTATTCTTCAGGTCACATTTTGTATCGGAGTATGTTCAGTTCCCCGTTTGTTGGCGGTACCCCGCCTAACGAAAGACTTCAGTTCCTCATCGATTTAGTCGTTTGCTTGTGAGTACTGGCTAGTGTCCCCTTTTTTTCGGTTTTTGACATCAGCGTTTAACAGTTACTTCACATGGAGAATATGGATGTGTAATTCGACGTTCCATTGGACAATCACGCTAGAGCTGACGGTCTTTACATTTTAGTTACGAGCAAATTATGGATCGTTATCTTCATGGTAGGTTGGCGAGTGACTGTCGTAACTGCTACTCATGCTCCTTGAATCTTGATAGATTTTTATGGCACTTGCACGAACGAGTAGGTATACTTGGTACACCTCGCTGCTGCCACTAACAAAAGATTCCCAGCGCTCAGCATTATTGCCTGTATACTGAGGTATATGGCCTCCCTCGTCAGCTCACCACTTTGGCTGATACCCGAGCCCATCTAGCGTACTAAGTTCGACATGGGTCTCCTACCTTGAACAATATAGAACCCTGATTATCACCTCGAATATCCTTTTCATTATCGGAGATGCGTTTTCAGCCTCCATCATGGCTTGGTATCTTAACAGGACTCGTGATCACACATTAAGGTACGTATCTTGTCACCCTAACTTTTTGGGAGAGCTGGTGGTGCTCAAGGGAACTTTCTTTCTCTCTGAAGAACGACCCTGATCCTCAATAGACTTCTTGTGTTCGCTGTTGCAACGGGAGGAATTACAGTGTAATCGCACTTTTCTCGGGGTATTCATGACATAAATCGAACTGATCTTGCATTATAGGTTGGTTGATATCATTGCCCTCGTATTTGTCAGTCTACTTTCTGTGGAGATTTCAGGGAGTGGCTAAGATATATGCGTGCTTCTATTAGACCCTAGCCCAACCTCTCAGCCTCGCTTTTACCGCAGCCATCCTTGTACAGACACGTCGTAAGTTACATAGATTATTCCCTTCCCTTCCCTTGTACTCACCTCGTGACATATGACCCCCAGTCTACGCTAATTCCCTCCTTGTATCGTGAGTGCTGCATATAAACTGACGACTTGGACAAACTTTGTCTCACTTTTTTTTTTTTTTTTTTTTTCATTTTGAGGCTGAATTTGAGAAACGCCAACAAGAGAGTTTATGAGAATGCCATAAATACTCCATCGGTGGAGCTGCCTATGACATCACTCGCGTTCGCGCCATATTCTACAGAGACGGGACGCTCAAGTGAAGGGGTACGTTAGACTTGTTCGATAGCTGGCTACTTGTTCTTACAAGCCCTTTTTGCTTTCAGGCGAGTGGTGTGGGCAAGGAGTCGTGGCATACAGCCTCTGGAAGTGGGAACGTTTCTTGATACTGTCACATCGACGATACCTACTACCTACTAGCGTAAATGCTCCCCACACTAGGGATACTTTTGTTGCATTGTCAGCGGATACTAGTAATTATACAGGTATTCCTGAATCGGGTGCGGAATAGCAGGGAAATGAGAATACAATAGGATTTGGGGCTTCGCGGACACGAAAGATAGGGCAAGCAAGCCATCCTTCAAAATCCTACAAGAAACGCAAATGCGTCGTGCACACACGTATTCAGCTCTACGACTACTGCTTGGCCCTGGCCGCCATCTACCAGAATTGGTGTGAGCGCGAGCGGGAATGGAGAAGCAAATCCACATACCAAGTTAAGAGCAGATCCAGCTTTGAACCATTCAATTTGACCCTCGTTAAAGGAGTGAGAGAGGGAAATTTCCTGGGAAACACGTCAGTAAGACATTCTTGCTACGAACCTTGGAGGTCACACTCACATCCTTGGTACCATCTGCGTGCTTAGCAACGAGGGTAAGGTTCTTGGCTGGAGCAAAGGATTCAAGACCCAGGATGTCGACTTTGTCGTCAGGACGGATCTTGTCGTAATCTTCTGGGTTGGTGAAGGTCAAGGCAAGCATACCCTGCTTCTTCAAGTTGGTTTCGTGGATACGGGCGAAGGAGCGGACGATGACAGCGAGACCACCGAGGTACCGGGGCTCAAGAGCAGCGTGCTCACGAGAAGAACCTTCTCCATAGTTGTGGTCACCGATAACAACCCACTTGATGCCCTTGGACTTGTAGTCTGCGGCGGTTTGGGGGACGGAACCATACTCGCCAGTAAACTGGTTCTTAACCTTGTTAGCCTCACCATTCTCAGAGTTGATGGCACCAATCAGAAGGTTTTCTAACAAAGACTCAGATTCGTATCTCCACTGTCAACAAGGGAGTGGTCTACGCACGGGAGATGTTCTGAAGGTGACCACGGTATTTGAGCCAGGGACCACCAGCACTAATATGGTCGGTAGCTGTGTAACGTTCAGTGAGACTACTGCACACATCGGGAATAACGTCAGGATCACTTACTGCACTTGCCCTTGACCTTGATCAAAATCGGAAGGTCGGTGGGAGTCTTACCATCCCATGGCTGGAACGGCTGCAGAAGCTGGAGACGGTCGCTCTTGGGATCAACGGCAACATTGACACTGGCACGGTCCGTGGGGGGTGGCTGGAAAGTATCCTGGCCAGGGTCATATCCTTGAGGGGGGAGCTCAAACCCTGAGGGGTCCGAGAACTTGAATGGCTTGCCATCGGCTCCGATCAGCGTGTCCTTCATGGGGTTAAAGGTGAGGTCACCGGCAAATGCCATGGCGGTCACAATATCGGGGCTAGCAACGAAGGCATGAGTAGCGGGGTTAGCGTCGTTGCGGCCTGTGAAGTTGCGGTTGTACGAGGTAATGACTAAAGATGGTGGAGTTAAAGAGGTTTGCCACGCCAATCAAATGAATGCCTACTTGAGTTGGGCTCGCCCTTCTTGACGTCCCTTCTGTCCCATTGGCCGATGCAAGGACCACAAGCGTTTGCAAGAACAAGACCTCCCACGTTCTCAAAGACACCTATTTGACCATCACGCTCAATGGTGGCCCGGACTTGCTCAGAGCCGGGGGTGATAGTGAACTGGCTTTTGACTTGCAAGCCATGGTCAGCGGCCTCTTGAGCAATGGCAGCCGAACGGGACATGTCTTCGTACGAGGAATTCGTGCAAGAGCCGATGAGGGCAACCTTGAGCTCCTCAGGCCACTCGTTCTTCTTGACTTCCTCGGCAAACTTGGACAGAGGCGTGGCAAGATCAGGAGTGAAAGGACCATTAATGTGGGGCTCCAGCTCGGACAAGTTCTGCGCGGTCGAAGGGTCTGAGTGAATGAAGTTAGAACCTTCTATGACAGACTCACGATTTCAATGTTTTGGTCATATTCAGCCCCTTCGTCGGCCTTGAGATTGTGTGCAAAGCGTTGAGCATACTGAGCAATCTCATGACGTTTGGTAGCGTTGAGATAATCGGTCATACGGTGGTTGAAGGGGAAAAGCGAAGTTGTAGCACCAATCTCAGCGCCCATGTTACAAATGGTAGCCATGCCTGTGCAAGAGAGGGACTCTACACCGGAACCACGATACTCGACGATGGCACCAGTTCCACCCTTGACAGTGAGAATGCCTGCGACCTTGAGGATGACGTCTGCATGATGATGATAATGAGCACGGAAGTTACGAGTAGACAACGTGTTCCATACCCTTCGGAGTCGTCCATCCACTAATCTTGCCGGTCAGGTTAACGCCAATGACCTTGGGGCACTTAAGCTCCCAAGGAATACCTGCCATGACGTCGACAGCATCGGCACCACCGACACCACAAGCCACCATCCCAAGGCCACCAGCGTTGGGTGTATGCGAGTCGGTACCGATCATGAGGCCACCAGGGAAGGCATAGTTCTCCAAGATGATCTGGTGAATGATGCCGGAGCCAGGTTTCCAGAAGCCGAGACCGTACTGTTGAAAAAAGGGTTGTGTATAACGTTAAAATGAGAGAGGGCGTCGACAATACCTTGGCAGTAGCGGTAGCCAAGAAGTCGTACACTTCCTTGTTGATGTCGATAGCTCGTTGCAAATCCTTGACACCGCCGATCTGAGCCTCAATCAAGTGGTCGCAGTGGACAGTGGTAGGGACGGCGGCTGTGTCCATTCCGGACGACATGAATTGGAGGAGGGCCATCTGAATGACGTCAGTATTGTTATTGTATTAGGTTTGGAGATAAGCAATATACCTGTGCAGTCGCATCCTGACAAGCTACGCGCTGGAAAAGAACGATGGCTGAGTTTGAGGGCGGGAATGAGACGAGACAGAGACGTACGTCTGGACGAAGCTTGAGGTAGCTGACACCGCGCTGAATGTCCTGGTTATGAGGATCGTCCAAATGACCATATACGATTTTCTCCGACAGCGTCAAAGGACGACGCAACCTGAGCCGTCAAACCGTGGTCAGTCGTCATTGCGCTACACACTGTAGTACCACCCCCACGAACCTTTCTCGGACGATGGTGAGGTTGTCCTCGATTCGTTGGTAGTTGATATAGGCGTTCTTTTCGAACAACGACATGGGAACTTTGGTGTCGCCAATTCTGGGTGCAGCGGTGGCCAAGCCAGCAGCCAGGCGCTGCAGGGGGCGCACGCAGGCATCGCAAGCTGTGCGGGTGAGTGTCAGCATCGTCGGACACGGCGGCCAAAGCTCGTCTCTTGAGTGAAGCGCGAAATTCACCGGGAGCGGCGCATTATATAAACACGTGACTCAGCCAATCACAGCCATTGTTTTACTATCTCCGCATCAGGCTACCCATTTATGGAGACACATTCACACGCTACGGGAAAACATCGACGGCCGACACTCTGAGGCACACAGGACACGATCCCGTCGCGTTCCGTGCATCATTCACATGGTCACTGACGCATACCCGAAACTAGTCCCCTCCAAGCCTCGGGCTATCAGCGCAAACTGCTGCGCAGCTTCCCTGGTCTTCTTCGGTGACCTCGATCTGTGTTAGCCAACGTGTCAGGATCGGCCGCCAAAATGATATGAGGTCAACCAACCCTATCACAGCCTTCACAAATGCCCGTTTCGCCTCTGGTGTGGCTTTCGACTCGACAAAGTCATCCTACCACCGGAAAAATTAACTCCGCAACACTGATGTAAATATAGAAGCATACAGCAAAGAGTATCCCATTCATCCACTCTCTCGTCTCAGCTGGGTACTTTGACGCGATCGTGGAAAGAAGCTCGATGAGGTTGGCAGTCGCAGATCGGGGGGCAACGCCTGCAAACCCGGACAGCACTGCTCGAAGAATTGGCTGACCGTACTGGTGGACCAACACTGTGCTTGTGTCTCCTAACTCATCACTACTTGCAGTTCGGCGTACGAGCGCTTCCTATACCGTGTTAGACCAATCTTGTATTTAGGATCATTACCCACCAGAAACATGCACGTAGCCACAAGGGAGTAACGTTCCTGCATCGAAAGCGACCTTACCGCACATTGCATCAGAGCATCCAACGCTCCTGGAGGCAAACTATAAAATATCGTGATGAAATGTTTTGCAACCTTGCCACGCTAACTTGAGTGTGCGTCACCAAAACCTGGGACACCGACCACTCACAGAGTCCAAACAGCCAAAGAACGCTTGCACGATATCTGGATTCTGTCAGTCGTATCAGAGGCGACCCATCATGACGGAAAAATGCGAACAACGTGACGCACCGACTCTAATGCACCAGGTTGACCCAGCATAGACAATGACGTCTGCAGTATCACCGGAAGCGCGTCAGACAAAATTGCAATAGCTTCCGCATTCGGACATGGCTTGATGGTCGGTGCCACAATCGGAGGTGGAGGATCGAGTTGAATGATAAGCGATTTCGCAAGTGACAACCAGACAGCCGTCAAGTGTCGTTGACATGCTATACATATCAATCCCAACAACGGACCAGCTGGCAGGGACAGCAATGTCGTGTCCGATGGTAGAGACGTAACGGAACGGATGAGGTCACTGAGTGCCTGGTCTAGTGTCACAGGAAGGAACAGCAAGCAAACCGCGATTCCTTACATCGCTCACGCTTGCATCCCCTGACCAAACCTCAATCGTGCTCCTAATTGCAATGAATATGTCTTCTCGGAGTTTCATCATACGATAATCATTGCGAGCTCGCTGCAATCGTTCCGCTTCAGCTTGATCAGCAGGAGACGACTCTTCAAGGACAAGTAACGAGTCCGTGGTCCGCGTAAGACCCTTGGATACTCCTGTAAGAGTCTGGAGCTGAAGTATCATTACCGCACGCGCTTCCTCTGGGAGCTATAGCAAGTAAGGAACAAGCCCAATAGATAGCGCGAGCACACGAACCTGTGAAGAAGACCCAAGAGCCTGTCCCAACTTCTCAACCACTTGGTTAACGATGGCAAGTATCGGCGGAATCTCTTCTTCCGGAGGGAGTGCTTGGATAACACTGGCAATGGACTGCAATACCTTACTCTTCTCCGTATCCTGTTTACGCTCAGTTTTCAGGCGTTCCACCACAGCATCATGTCCACATGCGCACTCACCGGAATTCCAGTTAAACCCGCATGTAATTCGCCAAATGCACCAATGTGCGGTGCCAGCGCAACACGGTTGGCATCACACAAATCACGCAAGGAGTTGGCAGCTGGGAGACATAGAGAGGGTTCTGGGAGGGCTGCAGCGACGTACGAAATGGCGTTCATTAGTAGCGAAGGACTAGACGCGGGACTAGCAGCCTTGTTTTGTGTGGTGAACCATGATGCATATGTGCCTAGAAGAGAACGAAGGGGAATAAGAAAAAGGGTTCCAAGGAAGAAAAAAAAACACTCACCAATAAGACCGAGCATCGTTCGTCGGACCCTGTCCTGTCCAACCCTAGGCAAATGGCCCAAGACCTCCGAACCAAATAACTGGGACACCAAAGGATTGTCTTCTAGCGGCAACGCTTCCTGGACCGACATAATGCAGTGCAAAGTTGCCTCGATTTCCTGAGGTTCATCAATCCCAGGCATCCACGCATTCAAGACGTATACAATTGCATACCTCCCATTCATTTTGCGCCGCTGAGTGCAGGAGACGTTCTTGAATGTCGTTCAGGTAATATGCGAGCATGTCATTTCGGAGAATATAGTATCTAGTTTTCGGGTCAGAGAATGTCTCGATGTCCAACGTCGAGGACGTACGCATTTATAAGCGTATCTCCAACATCTCGTCGATACCTGATCACCGGTCAGGACACTTATTGAAATCGCAAGCAATACTTACACCTGAAACTTCTCCACCTGATCTGATAATAATCGCGAGTCAGCCATTGAAATGACTACTACAAGCTTCATTCAACAGACCTTTCGTCCAGGATGTAAGTACGTTTTGAGAAGGCCACGCAACTTTCCTCCGTAGAACCTTGACAAGTTCAGCGTAAACAGCATGTACCACAGCCATCCGATTCTGCTCCTCTACCGCCAATGGTGATGAAGACGCATCCTCGCCCCTGCCGTCCTCATCGAAGTCGACACTCCATAGAGACTCTTGTAAGAGATACCAAAACCCGAGCGTCATCTCACTCTCTTCCTCATCAACACCGTAGTACCCAGGCAACCCAGTATAACCCAACAACACCCGGAGGAAGCCCTGTATCAGATGTGACCTCGTCTGCTGGGAGCCAGGTACGAGCTTATGTGATGTCATATTAGAGGCAAAATAGGTGTTGGAATGGTCACCGAGCGTAGTGATCAGCTTGCACAACGAATGAGATGCCTCGACCAAACGTTCAGCTAGACGTACGAATGATCGATCACCTGCCCAGGCTTTGTGAGGTGTGTAAACGTACATGAAGTACTCGATTGCAGTATCCGGGTTCCCCATATATCGAGCCAGAGGAGTAGTGGTTCTGTCAACGTTGCAGTTCCTGCTCCAGCAACCAGAGGAGAGCGGGACATGATTTCTTGTAAGGTGTCTGAAGCCGGCGTAAAAATGTCGGGGTCTAGTTCGGCATCCGGCGTCGAAGGGTTGAGTAGCAATATCAGCAATGGTATCACAGGAGTGATATCACTGAAAGGGAACCAAGATGAATGGGGGTTCGACCACAAACAAAACGAGTGCTACGCTTATTACTCACTCCGCACGAAGGATCGACATCCATGCTTGTAAACATTTCAACGCAGGTTCTATTTCGCGAGCGACGATTTGAGAACGGGGTTGAGAGATCGTTCCGGTGACGGCTCGGACGACCAGCGGAGACGCGTCGAGAAGCGTCTGTTTCATTTGCATCCTACATAACAATGCCATCGTCAGCAGGCTGATCTTTGTCAAACTGAGAGAGGGCCTCAGCTGCTATGCTCACTTCCTTGGTCCCACCAAATCAGCCGATTCCACCTCCTCCGCAACGATAGAAAGGAATTCGAGGATACTGCTTGTCGGTGCCCCTTGACCGGACAGAAATCTCACAGTCGAGACTATCCAGTCTGGCCATCCTGAAGGCGTTCCTGCGGCAAGCTTGAGAGCCAAGGACGTGATCTGCACCACCGCATAAAAAAGCGCTGAAAACTTTTAGATCGCCGTGTACCTACAGCGACGAACAGTTTCCGTAGAATAACCTTGTTTTTCCCCGACAAGACGGCATGCGATGTAAGATCTAAAAGCAAGTCACGCAGAAGAGGCGCATTATCTGGCGGAAAGGACTCCCTGGAAACGTAGATATTTATTAGATACGTTATTGGTGATCGGCGAAAGGCTGTCTGTCATTAAAGCACACTACCCACCAGTCACGAGCGATCTTGACTTGGATAGTATGTGCACCGAAGAACTGCACGTTGAAATCCTCATGATTCAAGAACGGAATGACGAGTCCCCAGGCCTCGTATCGCTTCTGGATGTCGAAAAGCTCCTGCTGCAGTCTGCGCTGCGTATCGGACGACACCTGCACGCCACGAGCTGGGGAATAGGCTTCCTGTATCAACTAACGAGCCTCCTAAGCCAACGTCGCAGGGGTGTGGGCGCGAAAGGATTCACCTGAGCCGCTTGGACGATGTCGGACTGAGACTAAGGCTGTAAGAAAGCTCGCCTGGGCCATTTTCAATGTATGGTGGATTGCTGCAAAGACGCAAGCAAAGGATCACACTGCATCCACAGCTTTTCTGATAACCACATGGATGGAATACAGCGAGTATCGATATCTAACCAATAGCTGGGACAGCGTGAAGGACTTTCCAAAATACACGCATTTCAAGATAAATCCTTTGTCGGCCCTCGGCGGGAGCTGCACCAGCGAAAAGCAACGCCATCGCGGGTTTGAAGCCACCGGGGATCTGTCCACAGCAAAACGACCTACTTTCGCCCACTTGTCTACCACCGGGAGAGCCAAGAGTGCCATCTACGAGAACGCCCATAAACTATTCATAAACCGATCCTCTGAGGCGTTTCGTCCAAGCTCGCTCCAGTAGCACTCCGACCCATTCAGAGCGACAAAGTCCACTTGTACCAACTCTATGCTCCGCTCAACTGTATGGAGTTCGATGTGGAATGTTCGCAGAACACCGCCAGGACGGCCGAACAGATTTACTGAAGGCACCCCTTCCCATGAAACCAAAGGAAGGAGAAGAAGCGTGTAATGACGAGAGAATGATATGCCCCAATTCCAATTCAGCATGACAAAGTAGGTCAACCAAAGCGAGAGATATAATATCTCCAGGGCACGCAGATATCTAGGCACGAGTGGAAGAAGATAATCAAGAATGGAATCACCCATCCACCAGCCGAAGTTGGGAGAGAAATTTCAAACGGTTTCTGTGAAGGTGTGGAAAGCGAGTCCATGGAGGAACGCGCGTTTCGCGGCCTACACCAAGATTCGAGCCCTTGAATTACTGGGATTCCCCACGACCAATTCGAACCTATAGCCCAAACGGTCAGCCCACTCCGCACATGTCCTCCGAGGATGTAATCGTTGTGTCTACGCCGCACGGGACACAATTTCCTGCAGAATTCGTCACTTCCCTGGACAGGTACGAACTACTAAGCAAGGTTTGTTTATTCACTCTTTCACTACGATCGGCATTGAATCTCGTTCGTGACCCGTGAAAGCTAGGATTGGCGCATAGCTTCCTAATGTGTGTTCAGTTTTAAGCTGTACCACCACTCATCTTGGTTGAACACTTGTATAAATGTTTTCACAGCGACACACAGGTGGATGCCAAAACCTACGTTGCTATCAAAATCCTGATTAGGGGTACGAGCAAACCCAGCGAAGGTGCTGAAGAATGTAATGTATTTACGAAGATCAAATCTGTCAATCAAAGCCCTCGGGGTTTCAGTACTATCTCTCTTCCTGGACCACTTTTTCATCGAGAGTTCCACCGGAATTGGAAAGCATACATGTGTTTCGTTACGCATGTCTTGGGCATGAGTTTAGAAACGTTGCGCCCTTCTGGCCGGAAAACATTCGCAGTATCCATTGCGACGCGCATCATCAATGTGGATACGCTCACACAGGTAGTGTCTTGTGTCTTGAATGGTCTGTCATTGGTTGATTGGGCGTTATTAAGACCTTAAATCTGACAATGTTCTTGTACAACTGGGAGATGTGCCTAGCACAGTGATTGACGACTATCTACAAGCCAGCTGAACTGTCACTTACGTTGTCCACACGCCCGAAGAGCCGTTGTCCCAACCTGTCATCTTCACCCAGTCCCAACTTCTTCCAAACTTCGGCCTCAGCACGTCCTTCGAACATTTCCGTGTGCCTCATCAATTACAGTGAAAGTACGGATATCATTTTTGTGTTGACACTCAGCGGGAGCTGCGATTTGAACAGCGTTACCCGTCACCCAGCTCATCCATTGGCATGGCATGTACCAGCCTGCGGTCGTCCATGCGCCAGAAGTCATTCTCGGCCACCCATGGTCCTCATCTGTCGACACATTGACCATTGAATGTCCGGTGCGTTGCATTCCCTCACTGGATTCTGATTGCTTCTCCCAACTGAGTTGTTTGAGTTTATTACCCACTCCGGCGAGCCCAGCCACTTAGTCTATTTACACTTACAACGCGTGGTAGACTACTCTGGTCCATTTCCTCCTCAACTTCTCAAAGCCTGCACATAGCACTCTCACTTCTTCGATGAAAATGGTCCGTGGTAGGCTTCCTGGGATTCTGGTGTCGATCTTGGCATTTTGCGTGCAGGAACGCTTGGCCGAATCACGAAGAATACCCCAGCCGAGCTCGAAGACATTTGATGTGGCCTTGGGGTCGATAAGGAGGATGTACCGGGCGCTGCTGCGTTTATCTGTCGCTTGTCTGACATTGGATCCTACCTTGCGGCCTAACACGCAAGAATTATTGCATGATGCATAGCTGGAAACTATATAGGCATCCCGCTGACGGATTTTGGAGTAGGAAGATAGATGCTTCATCAAGGGGATTCAGTCAAATAACATGATAATTTTGTTTGTTTTGCAAACTTTCGAAAAACCTGAATGCCTTGGCCCCCGCTGCAGTCTGCGCTGCGTATCGGGCGACGCTGGAGCCATTTTCAGTGTATGGTGGATTACTGCAAAGACGGAAATTGCATGGATGGGATACAGCATTTGTCGATCTAACCAACAACTAGGACAGCGTGAACAACGAGTACGCGAGGAATGGTAACGACGTTCCGAAACACAGACATTTCAAGACAAACCCATTGTCAACCCCAGGCGGGAGCTGCACCAACGAAAGCAATGCCATCGTAGGTTTGAAGCCACCTGGGAATCTATCCACAGCAAAACGACCTACTCTCGCCCACTCGTCTACCACCGGAAGAGCCAAGAGTGCCATCCACGAGAACGTCCATATCCATCCGCAGACCGAACCTTTGAGGCGTCGGCCTGTCCTCTTTGCCCAAGCTCGCTCCAACAGCACTCCGACACCGTTCAAAGCGAAAAAGCTCACTTGTACCGCAATGTTACTTCCTCGCCCAACTGCACGGAGTTCGATGATGTGGAAGATGGCCGACATCATGAATGTTCCCAAAACACCACCAGGACGGCCGAACAGATATGCTAAAGGCACCCCTCCACAAGAAACCAGAGGAAAGCGGAACATCTGATGCCATCGTCTCCCCCAGAAGTCGCTCAACGATGTGGATAGCCACGGTCTATCGAACAATGGCGGCCACTGTGATGGACGCTGGCGGAAGACGATGATGCACACGATAGCGAGAGAATAATATGCCCAGTTCAACGCAAAGTAGGTCAACCAAACCGCGAGATATAATATCTGCAAGGCACGCAGATATCTGGGCACGAATGGAAGAGAATAATCGAGGATGGAATCACCCTTCCACGAACCGAGGTTGGGAGAGTAGGTGCAAACGGTTTCTGTGAAAGCGTCGAAAGCCAGTCCACAGAAGATCGCACGCGCCACCGCGTAAACCAAGAACCGAGCCCTTGAATTTGTTTCGAATGATGGCTTTGCAATGGGGATTTCCCGTGACCAATTCCAACCGACGCCAGCGCGAATTTAAAAGTAGATCCCACGCATTCCAAAAGGCCGTAGGAATGCTAGCTGGAACACCGTTTCGGAACGTAGAGTTCTCGTGCCAGAGCCCAAGGTATCATCCGTCCAGATACCATCAGGATATGACTCTGTTCCATGAATTTACTATCCACTACATCTGGATGTAAGTGGACGGACACTCACGACGAAAATGGCATTTGCCTGAGCTTTTTCATGGTTTCCACAAGAGAAGTCGAGTGCCGAAACAGCCCGCCACGCAAGCCATAGTACAACGGGTAGCAGGGCAATACGAAGCAACGCCGTATTCTTTAGTTGCACCAACGCCCCCATAAAATACTGCATGGCAAAGATAGGAAGGACATAAATGGCGATATCCTCGCCTATTGGGCAAACCTTTTCTGTTGTCATTGTAAATTCTGTAGTTTGTCGACGAGCGATTGAGAGAACAGTGGGAAACCCACAGTCGTTATGGTTAACACAACGAGAAGTGCTTGCTATCGTATCATTCTTATGCTCTGACGTTATTCGCCTCCCCCTGAGTTCTGAATGCTGTGTCGAATAGCCGGATGGGAAGTAACCTAGACCGTCGACGGCCCTGCATATATACAGAAATAGCATTAAGTACTGCAACCATGGATTCAAACCAAAGCAAGGAAATGCAAAAGTTGACCATGAAGCTTTGAAGTAGCACTCAAATACTGAGTGCAGAAGTTCGCCGTGCCATCAGATCTAGATCTCAAGGTCTCACACATGATGCACACTTGAGAGCGGACCAGGCGCTCAAGCTTACTCGCAATGGTCACGCCAATATATCAGAAAAAGGTCAAGCCTGAACCCATTGTGAAACTTCCATCCACACGCTCAGACTCAGCACCAGGTACGATCCCATCTTTGGCGGGAAATTAAGCCTAGCTAGTCCAGAAGAGCTTACAATAATCCTTGCGTACAGCATCTCTAACATTGCCCAGAACACCATTTCGAATAAAGCATCAGAATCAAGGGGGTTTGTCGGCGCATTAGATCATGAATGAGGCACATTCAAGGTCTGTTAAGATACCTGCGACACTAGTCGTATCTACACGCACATCTGTGTTACGTTCGTGCACGGCCTATCAGAAGCAGTCATCATTGCCTCGTGGGGTTTGCATGGGGTATTACGCTTCGTTAGTTGACAGCCACGATGAATATGAGTGCCAGTTCCGTTCGTATTGCAGGTTGAAAGCGAAAAAAAAACTAGGAACAGGGTAAGGCGGTCCAGAAGCTCCATCGTGGGCTCCCGCAACTTGAGCTATGCACATGCTGGTTTTGCATGACCAATGACCAGTTTAATTGCAACTTGTGGCCGAAAGTTCCAATTGGGACTTTCCACACACTTTGCAAGTCAACGAGCAATTGACATGGCAGAACCTGTACATTCCCATGCAGTTTCAAGAGCACCAGAAACGTTGACAAGGTGAAGGTCTCCCCCGCCTTCTTCTATGTCACAGAGTGGGAGTCGGGGGGGCGGAGAAATGAGCAGACCCGGACATCACCGCGACCTTTGTAGCTTCTAGCACCGCCACCTGCATATCAATTTCTGGAGCAGTTCAGATCGTATTAGGCTGAAATTTTGGCTTGCCTTGGTGTTTAAGGTAGCACCTCGTTAATATTTATTGTTTGGTCGGAGCACAGAATATCAATGTGACCGACGACTAGACCAGAGTCAACAGGGAATACGCAAGAAACGGTATCGACGTCCCAAAACACAGACACTGCAAGGCAAATTCTTTATCGACACCCTGCGGAAGCACCAACGAAAGCAAAGCCGTCGTGGGATGAAACCCAGGGATCGCATCCGCTGCAAACCGACCTGCTCTTGCCCATTGGTCGACGAGTGGAAGACCCCAGAATGTCATCCACAAGAACGTCCATATCCATCCGTAGACACCTTGGACACGGCGGCCCACTTTCTTGGACCAAGCACGCTCCAATAACACTCCGACACCGTTCAAGAAGAAGAAGCCGATTTCTGCCGAGGCACTACCTCCCCGTCCGACTGCGATAAGCTCGATGTAATGGAAGATGCCGGATACCAAGAATGTCCCGAGAATACCCCCCGGACGACCGAATAGGTATCCGAAGGGTATCCCACCGCACGAAACAAAAGGAAAGCGGAGCATTTGTTGCCATCGTCGCCCCCAGAGATCACTTAACGAAGTGGACAGCCACGGCTTGTCGAACACAGGTGGCCACTGCGTTGGATGTTGGAAGAATACGGTGATGAATACCATAGCCATAGCATAGTATGCGAATTGGATGGCTAAGTATGCCAACCAAACTGCGAGATACGCTATCCCCAGCGTACGCAGATACCTGGGAATCAGCGGAAGTGAATAATCGAAGACGGTGTCGCCTTCCCACGACCTGAAATTCGGAGAGAAAGTGCGAATAGGTTTCCGTGCACGCATCGAAAGCCAGACCGTAGGAAACTACGCGGATTGCCGCGTACACCAAGAATCGGGCTCTTGAATTTAGCTGCGCTAGATGGCCGGACAGCGGGGATTGGGGTTCTTCGCGACCAATTCCACCCGATACCGCGAAGATTTATAAATAGATCCCACGCGTTCCACAAGGCCATAGGAACGCTGGTCTGTCCTGATTTTGGAACATTGTCGCGAACGTAGGGTTCTTGCACCATAGCCCAAGTAGTGACTCGCATGCATGTGGATACCATATGAGCCTAGCAAGCGAGGTTGAGTTGACAATCCACTTTCTTCTAAAGATGCATAGAAGGACTCACGAAGAATAGAGCATTGCTTTGGGCTTTCCCAGGGTCCCCACAAGAAAAGTCGAATGTCGAGGCAGCCCTCCACGCGAGCCACGGTAAGGTGGGTAGCAAGGCGATACGTAGTAGTGACGTGTTTCTAAGTTGCACCAACACTCCCATAACATACTGAACGGCAAAAATGGGGAGAATGTGGGTGACGATATCCTGCCCTGTCGGGCATGCTTTTTCTATCATCACCGTGAAATCTGGGATGACTGGAATCAGTGGTCGTAGTCCTCTAATAAGCAACCCTTGCGGTTTACCTATCTCGACGGTCGTTCGATGACGACAAATGGTTGAAAGGATGCTCACAGAGGTCCCTCTGATTCTCCAGCAACAATTTTATATCTCGCTATTGTTCGTTTCCCTTCTTTTTTGATGGCCGTTCACGGAGACAAGGTGTTCAATTGAGTAACCGAACTTGGATTGGTCCGGTGCGGCGCGGCCCGGCGCACCACACTCCACTAATCCGCTGGTACTTACTAGTGTCTACTTGTCATGTCGCACTTTGTCAAGTCGTTGGCGTCGCTCAGAGTGTGGTCGACGCGCATCTCAGCCCATGCAACGACGCGCCAGTTGGCAACAGCCTCAGCGTCCCACATTCCGCGCTCGCGGGTCCTCAAGCTTAATCCTGTGGTGCTGTGGGGAGCTGCCTCCGTTCTCGGTGTCGCATATGCTCTGCATCAGACCAACAAGGTGCACCTCGAAGCACCGCAGGCCGTCCAACAACAACTTGACGAGGAAATCGAAAGTAGGGTACATATACTATTCTTAACTCTCTTGACGTATTAACGCGTTCGACGCACGTTTCATTCGCCGAAAGTCGACCCAGGGACTTCGATTGCATTCCCAAAGACACTGCAAATACCCTCCAAATTTCCCCTCCCAAAGTTCTCGCTCGTCGGAGTTGGCACGCGAACAGTATCTTTCATCGGGATCAAAGTATATTCTGTTGGCTTTTACGCAGATTTGAACGACCCGAAATTGAATGTACGGCGAGGTACATTTTGCTGAACGTTCTTACCCACTTCTTCTCAGGTGCCTCTCGCAGCTACCCCAGAGGAAAAGATCGAGCATATCATCCGAAATACTGCCTGTGTCATCCGCATAGGTACGTCATGGATACCTTCTATTTTTTAGTTCCCTCTTGGAAACCCCCCGCGCCCAAAGTACCGACCCGGAACACCTCCTACACCCACCTTCGCGACGGCTTCGTACGAGCACTCACCGGCCGGATTCAACTTGAAAAATCTCGCGGTGCACTCACGCCAGAAATCGAATTTGCCATACAATCACCTCTACGCAAGCTCAAGACACTCTTCCCAAACGCCGCTCTCACCAAGGGTACCCCTCTCGACATACTAATCACTGCACCAAGTGGGGACCAGAAACAGCCCAGAAGACTAGTGTTTAGGGACTTGGGATCGATCGAAAGTGATTGGGTTTCTGAGCAGTTTCTTCTGACATATTTCGAAGGGAATGGAATCAGTCCACCGGTGAGTTGATCGTGGTATTCGGACAGACGGTGTCGCATTGCTAAAGTACCACCTAGCTAAAGAAAGCTACAGCAGAGCGACTGAAGTCATTTGAGAAATAGCAAGTCTCTTACAAACATATATGTAGTGGACGCACATTTACTCAATATGTACGTCAGGCAAAGTTGACAGCAGCATCGTGGATAATCGAATGAAACTCGAGAACGCGACGACGACATGTCAAACAGATAATGTAAATGTATGGATGGATGCCAACGGTGACAAACTGAACTCAAATGCGTCAATCATTCCTTCTTCGACCCCGTCTCGAAATTCGGCGGAATATCCATGGCGATAGTCCCTCATAATGCCTCCAAAATCGAGATCGTTACGCTTGAATATATCAGAAATGATATTGTCAACTTCCGCCGGTACGGGCTGAGGAACACCGTCTGTGTACACAGTGTGTGCCCGAATGACTTCGGTCATCTGCATGAAAACCTGCTCCTGGCCCATCTCCCGTAGTTTATCCTAGATTTCATGGATCCACAACAACAAACAAAAATTGGATACGACTCGACTCACTTTGAGCTTTTCCATCATTCCAAGCTTCATTTCGTAGTCCACCTCGCTATTTTGCTGAATGACCGACCACGCCGATTTCATCTTTATCCAGGTGCTCACATCCCACGTCTTGGAACTGATCGTCCCGTTCTTGTTTGCCTCACACGCAGCTGTCATTCGCCTTGTAGTCGTACGCCCACTCTTCCCATGGGAAGCCAAAGTTTATCTCATTCATTTCTTCCGGGTCGACGGCGCGTCGTAATAGATCCTTTAAGAATGTATCTTTCTTTTGCGGTGCCTGAGCGGCGATGTTGACCATGGTTGTAAGTGTAGGTCTCCGGAAGACAACTTCCTCCTGTGGGAAGCCATACCGAAGTCGGAACATAGCTGGACCTCTCGTGAAGTCAAGTACTATAGGAAAAAGAGTGACGAAAATGAACAAGTCGAGAAGGATGTTGCCGAGAAGCGCCCAGCCGAGCGCGGGGGCGGTGACCTCGAACGGCAGAGGGAACACCTGGCTGATGGCGAACAAGATTCCATAGCGGCATAGACCGCCGTATGTACGTCGCAACAGGATGAAAGCAAAACACAGATTTATGCCGAGGAGTCCAAAGAATCGACTTCTGTGCTGCAAGCTGACACAAGACGTCACGGTGAATGTGAACTGCACGGACTCACTTGCGATGGGTGGGACTACATGCATCAGTATGGGTGACATATATTTCCACCCTCGGGTCGCACTTGGAGAGAAATGCGTGGACAGCGCTGCTCTCGGGAATCTTGTGTACAGCTGGCATCCTCGTACGCAACTCACTACCCTCAGCCAGTCGGACATCGGGTTTTCTACCCGAGATCACGTGAACAATCACACGCTCCCCTGTATATAAACTCGCCCTTCGATTTTTCTTATTCTTTTCTTCATTGATTCTTCCACTATCATAACGCCGATGACGAGAACCGACGGTGCAGAGCGTTGAGTCAGACCCACGCTTCGTCGTTGTGGTCGACGTTGACATCTGCCCGTTCGGCACCTTTACCCACCCTTGTTACGAACAAAAGGAACGGGCTGCCATTCCTCTGACGGCGTCTCACGTGGAAGATATCATATTTCTCGCTCTCCTTGTATCTATGCTAGGCTTTCTTCACCGGTGCAATTCTATGAGTTGGGCAGTGATATCCCGTTGGGTTTTTGAACAGGTACAATTGGTGGTAGTCCCTCTGCGTCGTACTAGGGTTCAGCATCTTGGATCTATATAGATTCTGCGGTCCGAAGAGAATTGCTTCGATTGCACCTCTTCACTGATATGTTTTGTGATAGTTCGCTGTTCTGAACTGTGAGTGAATATGGCAGAACGCTGTAAGCAACAGTCAAGTTGACAAGCATCTTGAGAGAGAATGGTTCGACACACGGGTCCCCCGTTACAGTCTTGTTCACCGTCGTCAGGTTGTGAGTACGATAGAAGAATTCTATGACCGTGTCATATTTTGATAGGGCGAGTGCTCTGTCGTAGCAGACTCACCTACGAGCTCGGCTTACGATACTACCGACGGGTCGAACTCGATCCTGATCGCTTCTGTATGGCCTATGTTTCCCATACAGACCTCTTGGTAGGAAGGGTTAATGGAAAACTCCTTCCCCCGGTGTATCTTACACAGGTCCTCAGAATTCCCCCGTGCCTCGCAGGGAGGCATTGCGTCAGGAAGATGTGCTCGACTCCCCAGAAACAATCACTCATACTGCACGGACATGGCTGGCGTAATAGTTATGACCATTATCGACAGCTGCTGGTAGTGAATTCCTAGGAGCAACCCAAAAGTACAGAAAATGTATCGGTGGAATACGGTATATTTGAGGTTGTCCCTATCGCATCGGACGCCACGTTACACATCACATTTGGGCTACCGTGCCTCTCAGGTCTCGGTGTTCCCTAAAATATTTGCAACACAATCTCATCCATGCATGCAACACCCAGATTCCTCACCGATGCAGGTAGTGGGTCGGGCTCGGGTACCTGTTCGGATTTTTGAACAGGACTTTTGAAAAAGTATAACTGGTGGTAATCCTTGGCGTCGCACCAACGTTCAGCTTCTTGGATCCCCGTCGCAATCATTTCGCCCTTGGGGGTAAAACGCCTATCACTTCTCTTGCTGCATGCCCTGCAATAAACCGTTGTTCTTGGCTGTGCAGTGCGAAGATCGCAGATCGATACTCTATAATGTTAAGACAACGAGGTCAGTGCTGGTAAGATCTCAGCTGTTTACTATCCGGCGGTGAGATATTGGGTTTTTAAATAGGTACAGTCAGTGAAAATCCCCAGCATGGCACCAAGGCCCAGCATCTTGGATAGTGATCCTTTGGTCTTCTGCAGGCAATTGTCAATCAAGTTTCTTTGACAGATAAGAATGGTTTGGTGCACGGGTGCCCTGGTTATGACCTTGTTTGTTCAACGTCATCGGGACGGAGGAATTCTATGTAAGACCGTCCATGAGGCGCGCCGTGAAAGCTCTCTCCTAAACTCACCGACGAGTTCAGCTAGTACGACACGACGGACAGGTCGAACCCGATCCTAATTGCTGCCAAACTGCCCACCAGATGCAGTTGGTGACCTCGCGAAATTGATATTTTGCATGTGCATGGTCTAGTGGAAGGCCGGCGATTGAAACCAGAAGGCCAAGTTGCGCAGACACGCCAATCCATTAACGGGGGGATGGAATTGGCAATGCCGAGGCATGGCACTGCGACGGCCATAGAACCTACTAAACAGTTGCCCCAGCTGATGAGGTGGCATGGTGCGCATTTGCTCGTGCGGCAACAAAAGTACGTTGCCAGAGGAGTACAAGCCAAAGTCCAGTAGATCCAGGACAAGGTTGTTATTTTTCCTGTTCGCCTTTGTATTCAAACCTGTTTCAAGCACAAAATTGCAGATACCAAACGGTGATTCCTTGGGCCGGAGCAGTCATATGCACAATATTAATGAACTTACCACCGGAGTATATAGTCTAAGAAGGATGCGCCTTCTCGTCATTCGATCCATCAATTTGAGAGATGTTTTTGAGCAGCAAGGGCAGCGCATTGACCATAGGGTGGCTAGCGGCGGATGCGATGACTTGCCGCTGTACGTGTTTGTGTGAACCGGTTAGCAGCACATCTGCCCAACTTCCCGAGGGGATGAGCAGCGTATGGGTGCCTCCGTTTGGAAGTGACTTGTCGTAAGACTTCTTTCGCGCTTGGTAAAACACTTCTTGGCCAATGAGAGGGCTTGCTCAAGTGCGGGAGAGTTGTCAACAGCCGCGCCGCGTAGCTGTTTCCCAGATGCATGTCAATCGATGCGAGTGGTGCGGGAGACACGTAAAACGGTGAGGGACCAACGAGTGAAGACAGAGGGCAGACCAGTCGTGCTGAAATCGGGAGGAGTGCCTTACCAACACAACTGTCGTGCCATGTCACCAACTTGATCCAAGACAACTGAGGAGGATCGTATGATGCGGCGTCCACGGGATCAATGACGCCTATGATTCCGTCGGTATTGTTGGAATCTAACGCGTGTACGCGTCGCTAGAAGAGTACACGTTTTTGGGCTCTTGTACCGTACCTTTCCTCGGTGACATGTGAATATTGTTATGCCAGTCAAATGCCTCGTAGTTTCGGCGTAGATCGCATAACACTTCTTCTGGCTCTGCCGGCCGATAGAAGAGGGACCTGGCAAGTTAGCCACTAAGTCTCACTAAAGTGGTACAGACCATCCTGCGTCAGAAGGTGATCCTGCTGTTTTGGCCGTCGGTATCTGCCGGCATGTCAATGGCAGGTGATTAGGTGGGAACAGTCTTCGATGCTTCGGCCTACTATGAGAGTCGGTAGCCTACCAAAGTGATGAGCTTCCGCTGACAGTCGACATTGAACGACTGTTTAAGTACGCAATCGTCGGGCCCACTACTTGAAATCAACAGAGACAAGGACGACGTATCACTGACACAAGAAAGTATGAAATGTGCAGAGACCTGATGACGATGCCGTAGACATGGCCAAAGATGCAACGGGTCTGAGAAACCTGCTCGCTGTGGTTGGGGCAACTCGATACCCGACTCAGATAACCAGCCACACACTGCAGATGAATTCGCCAGAACAGTTTCTATATCATAACGAGATGACTATCTACACGATATTGAATATCCTAACTTTGCTTTTCAGAATGCTAGCCCTGTTGGTGGGTTGAGCAGTAAAGAGAATAGAAGACGCGATCCGTTTATACTCGTTGTGAGGCAATGGGATCAATAGGAGCGCATTAAATGGCCTCTCAAGTATAGAAACCAGCTGCTCTTCAGTCACGGTATCTAAATTGGCAGACGGACCAAGCAACTTCGAGTGCCAAGGGCGTACAAGCTGCGGAGCGCCCTGCAACCTAACCTGATTTTCTAGCTTGTCTGGCAGTGCGATCTCCAGTGGCCTCAGACCGGACGCATGGATCTTGTACGTGTACCTCGGTGCAGATGGATCTGCCCTTTTCAGCTGAACCACTGTTACACGATGGGCGATACATGGCAGTATAAGGCGACCATTGAGGAATCGCGGGGGAGGTACTCTAGTGAGTGAGTGGAAATCGTATGCTTCATTTGGTGCGTATAAACCTGGGGTTCGCAGCCGAGCCGCCGAAACGCGATGGCCGATATTTGACGATGTCAGGGAGCGACTAACAAATTGGGGGAGGGCCGAAGTAGTAAGCGAGCCGCGCAACTTTCGCAACACTTCGAACGATGTAGGCTGTTGGTTCATCGCCGACTCTCCTTCGACATTAGTTTGGGGTGGAGGCAATGGTAGCATACGATACGAGGTGATGTCAACAGGGAAACAGCTATGATAGGGTGATGACTCTCCAACCCAATCCAGAACTGAGATGTCCCCAGACCGCGATATGATTTCGGCCAGAAGACGGCCAAGCGCGTTCTCAGCTGGTTCGCCATACAGAACGGGTAGATGGAGATCAAAGATCCCGAAAAGTGAGTAGGCGATATCCTCAGGCCGAGTAGTACGGCGCTGTGACGCCCATTGGAGCTTCCAACGTGCATCATCCATACCTGGTGAAAAGTTAGTGAGGAATTCGGATTCGATCCCAGTTGCCCTCTCTAGCTCCTGCAGAACACTGTCATCAGTCTTATGGTTCGAAGATGTGAGGTTCTTGTAGGGTGACCAGGTTTGGGTGTAGAATTGTATGTGTTTTGGGGCCAGCAGTTCTAGGAGGGTCCAGCCGCGTGTGAACCATTCGCTGCTCTCGAACGAACCGGTATCGGGAACGTCGGAAAGGTACACGATGGTCAGGGCGGACCGTCGATACCACGCGAACATTGATCCTATCGCATCTTCCAACTCTGCACTGTTACCCCTGTCGATGCAGCACGTATCGCTCCATGCCCACAAGTAGTCCCGCTCGCAAGCAACAGCACTGAAGGCTTGGAGCTTCCTAAAGCCTCCCTTTGCAGGCAAATCATAAATCGGGCGGCCCTCGATGTCGCGAAATGATGGTTCGGCTTCACCCCAGCGGTGAGAAAGCATCACAAACTGAAAGTATCTTGAGAGGACAGTATGGATGAGTTCCATTCGCTGAGCTGGGTTGCACGTTGTGCATAAGGACAGCAGCTGCTTGTACTGTTGACTACGCATAAAATGGGATATCTGTGTCTCCTGGTCGCACAGAGCGCCAGTGTGCGTGTGCAGCAGCCTCGTCGGCATGGTTTTGAGGGTTTCAAATGCAACATCACGGATGACTTGCTGGACGCCAAATTGGGTAACAAGTGAGGCATTGGGCGACGCCACGGCAACTCCTGACCTGATCTTCATTTGGAGGTAGGTTGTAAGGCAGCGCCGAGATATGTTGTAACCTGGATCCTCGGGTGTGAATAGTTGCAGGGCTTCTTGTTCAAGCGCAATGGCCTCATCCAGTCCTGCTGCTGCAAGTTGTTGACGAAACCGGTCTGCAAGACACTGTGCAAGAATGTGGAGAGACGAAGCGCGACTGGGGTGCCCAGTTGGGCGGAATTGCAGTACAATTCGGCACAGTGTGATGGCCTCCTTCAAATCCACAGTTGCGTGCTCGCGTTCGCTGATAAAATAATTGGCGAGGGCACCTAGATTGTCTACCGCTCGACCAAGCATGACAAGTTCATCTGAGTCTGCCTTCTGGGCCAGCCTCTGAACCCATGCTCCGTCGTGCTGAGAGTTTCGCGGTAATCGAAGCTCCAAAGCATATAAAACGAGAGAAATGATCTCGTCTAAGTCGATCGTGGTGGCCTGCCGCTGAAACCTGTCCCAGAGGTGTAGCGAGAGCTCAAAAAGCAAGGAGGCGAGATCAGCCTTGCTTGTTGGACGGTCCACCAACACAGTTTGATGATGAGAATTCGTGCTGGGCAACCCAGTCATGTCAGGTTGCTTCTGAAACTTCGCCCAGAGGCCACGAGCGAGGGTGTAGAGAGATACATCACGTTCAGGGTGCCCTGGTGGACGGAGCTCCAGTGCTGCACGTCCAAGAGTCACGGTTTCTTCCAAATCGGCGACTACCCCCTGATTATCATATCTATCCGAAAGACAGACAGCGAGGGTGTGAAGCAATTCAGACCGATCAGGATGTCCAAAAGAACGAAGTTCCAAAGCCGCACGGAGCAACGCAACCGCTTCATCCAAATCATCCAGGTCAGCTTGTTTCTGAAACCTCTTCCTAAGGTTGTAAGCGAGATTGTAGAGAGATACGCCACAATCGGGGTGCGTTGGTGGACGGAGCTCTAGTGCCGCACGTCCGAGCGCCACGGCTTCTTCCAAATCAGCAACTACCTCCTGATTGTCATATCTATCCGACAGACAGACAGCAAGGCTGTGGAGCGATTCAGACCGATCAGGATGTCCGGGAGGACGCAGTTCCAAAGCCCCATGGAGCAGCTCGATTGCTTCGTCCAAGCAGTACAGCTTAGCTTGTTTCTGGAACCTTTTCCTGAGGTCGCCGGCGAGATTGGAAAGAGATGCGCCACGATCGAGATGCCCCGGCGGACGGAGCACTAGTGCTGCACGTCCGAGTGTCACGGCTTCTTCCAAGTCAGCAATTACTCCCTGATTGTCACATCTCATCGAAAGACAGACAGCAAGGCTGTGGAGCGATTCAGACCGATCAGGATGTCCGGGGGGACGCAGTTCCAAAGCCGCACGGAGCAGCTCGATTGCTTCGTCCAAGCTGTGCGGGTCGGCTTGTTTCTGGAACCTTTTCCTGAGGTTGCCAGCGAGATTGAAGAGAGATGCGCCACGATCGAGATGCCCCGGCGGACGGAGCTCTAGTGCTGCACGTCCGAGTGTCACGGCTTCTTCCAAGTCAGCAATTACCCCCTGATTGTCATATCTCATCGAAAGACAGACCGCAAGATCGTTGAGTGTGGAGGACCGCTTGTGATTCCCAATTTGTTGGAGTTCCAAAGTAGCTCGGTGGAGAGTGATTGCCTCGTTCAAGTCGTCGATTTCACGCTCTTTCTGGAATCTGTCGACGAGAGCCTCCGCCATGTCGTATGTAGCAACATTGCAGCCACCTTGCCCTGGAGGATAGCACTCTAACTCTGCTGGCTCGAGGAAAATGTCGTCTGTGGAAGCCATCGATTGCCGTTACACTGAGATGATATACACGGTGCCGCCCTGAGGCCAGTAATCAGCTACAAAAAGACAGGAACAGTATAGATCTTAAATGTTGGAATGCCACCCAGATCAGTGAGGCTAATTAAACAGTGCCAGAGAACTCACAGATAAAGGCACAGAGTGCAAGGCGGGCGGTCTTCGGAGTCGATATGAAGAACAAAGCTACATGCTGGTCAACGCATATAATGCAACTATGGACCCACAGGAACTCACTAGTGGATGCGAAAAGTATAAGTTGGCAGGATGAACTCTTCGGCTGTGTTTGTTGAGTGAGCCACGAAGGGTGAAGAAATGGGGAGGAGCTCACCGGTAGACCAGCGGTTGGTGGACGTCTGTGGGAAAGAGAGAGCAGGCGGCTTGCCAGTAACTTTTTACATAATCACATTGCGTGGGAGCCAACTCACCGGAGATCTCCGGTAGATAATCGGGGTGCAGGTATTATTACATAAGTAAGTGCTTGCCTGATATCATAATGCCATTACTACCTACACGATATTGAATACCCTAACTTTGCTTTTCAGAATACTTGCTCGGCTCATGGGCTGAGCAATAATGGGGGTAGAGGACGCGATCCTTTTGTACTCGTTGTGAGGTAGCTCAATTAACAAAAGAGCGTTAAACGGCCGTCCCAGTGTATAAAGTAGCCGCTCTTCAATCGTGGCATAAAGCTCGGTAGATGGACCAAGTAGCTTTGAGTGCCAGGGGCGTACAAGCTGCAAAGCACCTTGTGTCATTGTCGTATCTTCTAGCTCGCTCGGCAACGCGACTTCGAGGGGCCTCAGACCGGATGCCTGGATTCCGTACATGTAACTCGGACCATGCGGATTTGCCCTTCTGCGCTGCACAGCAGTAATATGATGGACGACGCATGGCAATATAAGGCGGCCATTGATAAATCGTGGTAGGGGCGCCTTAGTGAGTGAATGGAAGCCGTACATGTCGCTTCGTGCGTATGAGTCGGGGGTTCGCAGCCGAACCGCTGGACCAAGATCGGTGCTAGCTGATGGTGTCCGGGGACCACCGAGAAATCGGGAGAAGAGCGGCGTAGCGAGTAATGCACGCAACTTCTGCAGTGCATTGCGTGGCGTAGATTGCGGGCTCATGGGCGATGACTGTTCGCCTGCATTACACTGGGATGGAGACGAAGGTACTAGTTTTTGATACCAGTTGATGTTAGCGGGGAAACAGCTGTGATAGGGTGATGGCTCTCCAACCCAATCCAGAACTGAGATGTCACCAGATCGCGATATGATTTCGGCTAGCAAACGGCCAAGTGCGTTTGCAGCTGTTTCACCATACAGCAGAGGCAGGTGAAAGTCAAAGATGCCGAGGAGTGAATAGGCAACATCCTCAGGCCGGGTAGTACGGCGCTGTGATGCCCATTGGAGCCTCCAACGTGCATCATCCATACCTGGTGAAAAGTTGGTAAGGAACCTGGATTCGATTCCAGTTGCCCTCTCTAGCTCTTGCAGCACAGCATCATCGGTCTTATGGTTCGAAGATTTGAGGTTCTTGTAGGGCGACCAGGTTTGGGTGTAGAATACTATGCGTTTTGGGGCCAGAAGTTCTTGGAGGGTCCAGCCGCGTGTGAACCATTCGCTGCTCTCGAACGAACCGGTATCGGGAACGTCAGAAAGGTACACGATGGTCAGGGCGGACCGTCGATACCACGCGAACATTGATCCCACCGCTTCTTGGAACTCGGCACTGCTATCTTTGTCGATGCAGCACGTGTCGCTCCATGCCCACAGGTAACCCCACTCGCAAGCAGCAACACAGAAGGCTTGGAGCTTCCCAAAGCCCCCCTTTGCAGACATAGCATATATTGGTTGGCCTTCGATGTCGCGTAACAATGGTTCACCTTCAGCCCAACGGTGAGAAAACATGACGAACTGAAAGTATCTCGAGAGGGCAGTATGGATGAGTTCCTTTCGTTGACCTGGATCGCACCTGGTGCAGGATGACAGCAGCTCATTGTACTGTTGACTGCTCATAAAATGGGATATCTGCGCATCCCGGTTGCACAAGATGCCATTATGCGTGTGCAGCAGCCTGGTTGGTATGGTTTTGAAGATCTCAAACGCGACATTACGGATGGCTTCCTTAATGTCAACGTGGGTAACAGGTGAGACACTGGGCGATGCCACGGCAACTTCTGACCTGATCTTCATTTGGAGGCAGGTTACAAAACAGCGCCGAGATATGTCATAGCCGGGATCACCGGGTATGAATAGTTGTAGGGCCTCTTGCTCAAGGGCAATAGCTTTGTTCAAATCAGTTGCTGTAGGTTGTCGACGAAACCGCTCTGCTAGACACTGTGCAAGGTCGTGAAGAGACGAAGCGCGATTGGGATGCCCAATGGGGCGGAATTTCAGCACGTATTCGTACAGTGCGATAGCTTCTCCCAGATAGGCGATTGTGTGCTGATTGTGAGACCTCTCCCTAAAGTAGTTGGCAAGGGTGCCTAGATTGTCTACTGCCCGACTAAGGAGGGCAGCTTCGCCCAAGTTCATTTGCTGGGCCAGCCGTTGGATTCCCTCCCTGACAAAGAGGGCAAGCTGTTGAAGAGAATCAGCATAATCAGGGTGACCTGGTAGTTGGAGCTCCAAAACGTATGTTGCGAGACAAATTGCCTCATCCAAGTCGGCCAATGTGGCCTGCTTCTGAAACTTATCCCAGAGGTGTAGTGAGAGCTCGAAGAGTGAGGAAGGAACGTCAGGATGACTGGTTGGATGGACCACTGACGTGGCTTGATTTGCTTTGTGCAACTCGGGTGCGTCAGCTTGTTTCTGAAACCTCTTCCAGAGGTCACGAGCCACGGTGTGAAGAGATTCGCCACGATCAGGATGCCCTGGTGGGCAGAGTTCTAGTGCTGCACGGCCGAGTGTCACGGCTTCTTCCAAGTCAGCGGCTAACCCTTGATGGTCATATCTATTCGAAAAACAGAGAATGAGGCTGTTGAGCGATGAAGGTCGGTGAGGATGTCCAGCGGGGCGTAGTTCTAAAACTGCACGATGCAGCTCAATCGCCTCATCCAGGTCATGCATCGCAGACTGTTTTTGAAACTTCTTCCTGAGATCACAAGCGAGATTGTTGAGGGATACATCACGATCAGGATGTCCAGGTGGACGGAGTGCCAGCGCTGCACGTCTGAGCGCAACGGCTTCTTCTAAGTCATCAGTTCCCTCGGATATGCCATATCTATCAGAAAGACAGAGAGCAAGCAAGGAGAGCGATGAAAAACGATCAGGATGTCCAGGGGGGCGCAGTTCCAAAGCCGCACGTGACAGCTCAATCGCCTCTTCCAAGTTACAGATTGCAGCCTGTTGCACGAACATTGCCCTGAGATGGCCAGCGAGATAGTGGAGAGATACGCCATGGCCAGGATGCCCCAGTGGACAGAGTTCTAGTGCTGCACGTCCGAGCATGACGGCTTCTACTAAGTCGGCTAGTACCCCATTGTTGTGGTACCTATCTGCGAGACAGAGAGCAAGATTGTGAAGGAAGGAATGCCGATGAGGATGTCTAGGGGGACACAATGCCAGAGTTTCACGCAGCAGCTCGATCGACTCTCCCAAGTCGCGCATGTCAGCTTGCTTCCGGAACCTCCTCCTGAAGAAGCAAGCGAGATTGTAAAGAGATACACCACGATGGGGATGTCCTGGCGGACGGAGCTCCAGTGCTGCACGTCCAAACATCACGGCTTCATCCAAGTCAGCAACTACCCCTTGATTGTCATATCTCTTCGAAAGACAAGCTGCAAGATCGTTGAGTGTGGAGGACCGCTTGTGATCCTCAATTGGTTGGAATTCCAAAGTGGCGCGGTGCAAGGTGATCGCCTCGTTCAAGTCCTTGATTCTACCCTCTTTTTTGAAGCTGTCGTAGTGGGCCTCCGCTAGGTCGCTGAGCGCAACATGGGGGTCTTCATGCCCTAGAAGACAGTGTTCCAAATTGGCTCGCCTGCGGGAAACGTCGTCCATTAATTCCATTAAATGCCGTTGCGCTAGGAGGATATGTGGGCCTTCGCACCGGGTTTGGTTATCAGTTGCAATAAGACAAGAACAGTAGAACCACACACGTTTTCCTTGGAAACAAGAAGGAAAAAGGGTAACCAATCTTGAATGTCCGAGTGATCCACAAATCAGCGAGACTGATTAAACAGTGGACAAAAACCCACAGGTGAAGAACGTACGGTGCGATTTTGAGTGTTGGTATGAAGAACGAAGTGTGGATAACACTACATGGAGGTCAATGCATATATAACGCAATGATGGACCGATAGCCACCCACCGACAGATGCGAAAAGTGTAAGTGGGTTGGAAAGGCCAGAGGAACTTCGGCTGTGCTCCCTGTCAGGGGAAGGAGCTCACCAGTAGCCCAACGGTTGGTCTGTGGGAAAGAAAGGGCGGGTGGTTACGGCGCCGGCATACGAAAGGTACATACATACATGGTTACGGCCGATGCTGTAAGTACCCTGTGTCAGTGTGGCAAGCACGTATTCGCATTTCTGAACAATCTCTGAAGGCTCCATTCCCAGCCTTGAAAAATCAGTTCCCCCCTCCGTGGCCGACACAACAGCAATACTTCTCGATACCGCTTGTAAATTGTTCGCTATGCTCGCCCTCCTGAAAATGGTCTCATTACGTATCAAGTTGATGGACTCGCTGATCGCAGGACCCAGGTGAGTCGCACCACTCATGCCAATCAACAACTTACCTTGGTTACTCGCTCCGCTCGTTTTCGCCGCTGACGGGAATTCTCTCATAAAAATTCAAGGCTGCGGAGTTGAACTATTTCCCTTCGCTTGAGTCGTAGTTGCTGAAGCATCCTCAGTGCTGCTCACGTTCGTGCAATCCACTCACCAAGTTCGTCGGACTGAGAGAGTCTACAGGACTTCATATACATAGATTATGTTAGAAGGGGAAAGTGAGTTTCCAAGATTGCATTCGGAGCTGCTGCGTATGAAGTCGCATTCGGCCCCTCGAAGAGACAGTGCCGAGCTCGTATCATATACATCTCGCTTGCACACGAACGAAGTGAACATATTCCTAGTGATGAACTTGTTGTCAACCAGGCGCAGGGCTCAGCATGCGTACCGGCCCTGTGTGGAGTGAACACCAGGACCACACACAGTCAGGAGAGGTCCACCAAAGGTATCAAGGGAAGATCGGAAGCCCGCTAGGACCGCGATTGTGCTGTCACTCAGAGGCCTCACACATGGTAGAGCTGTGCGCCCATCCCGGCTTTACGTATCGCGAACGAGCTCCAATGCCGGTCGTGGTGTATAAGTGAAGAAACAAACCTTCAAGTGTGCAGTAGTTCGTATCGTCCATCGATGCCCGATCGATGGACAACCTTTGCACAAGTGTAGCAACCGTCACAGTCCATCAAATTCAGGAATTCTTCCGGATATTCTGTCTTGCTACCTGTGTCTCATCGCCAGACAATCGATGTGGCGAGAAGAATCCGTAGATAGAACTGGTTCGGAGGTCATGTAACCTACCCTCTGATGGTTTAGACTGTCCAGTTTTGACTGGGGTTCAGATGTGGTCGGCTCGCAGCCACCACTGCAGTTGCAAAGACACCTTTTCCTGGTGAACTTTTAGCGATTTGGATGGGAGTGGGATGCAATTTGGCAGACTAAGAAGGGGGTGATCAAGGTTTAGGGGTAACGTGAAAGGGGCTATCAGCTTATGGACGCCGAAGTAGATCAGCCAGTGGCGACTCACATGCCTCCGCATCCTACATTCTCCGGTCACATGCTGCAATCTATTCTTATGTCCACCGGCGCGCTCGTCATCACACCATCATCGCCGCCATACGCTCAGCCCTCCCAAGTAGATCCCACTACTCGGACATAGAAGAACATGCCTCACTTAATATCATTTTATAGCTTCATGGCAACTGGGACTGCATAGGTAGAGATTAACGTCTAATGGAAGTCTCGAGCCACCACCACTCCAAGACAGAGTGTCTAAAGCGCCCGGTGGGGGCGGCGGACCGTTGGGGGGCCAAGGACCCTGCCAATAGGGTACTCACTCGCTTGTGGGAACTGGAGTATTGGCAGGCCACAGGGGGCCCTTTGTTAGACCGTTAACTGCGTTAGAATAGTGCGACGTAGGGAAAACCTACCCTCACACGTTTAAATACAGAAAAAAAGGCTATACGTGTGGTCCTCAACACTCATAACATACTTTTTTTGTTCCTTTTGGCGGTCACGCAGTCATTCCATCACGGACCTTTCAGTATACTGCTTCGTGATAAGATTCCCCTGCCCAAAGATGCTAACTAGTTATGGCATTCTCCGTGTGCGTCGTGAAGTTTTTGCAAGCTGCGTGACATGATAGTGCGATGGCTCAGACAAGGATATTTACGCTGAGCAATGTGAATGAGGACTCGCGGTGAAAATGGAAACGAACAAACCTCATCCATTTTCCGACTAGTAGTCGTCGTTGTAAGCCAAGATTTTATGGGTGCTAAAACAGCAAATAGTGGGGGTAGAAAACGGTTCCCAGCTTATGAAGATATGAAGATGTGTCGGAGTAGGCACAACCGGAAAGAAGCGTTACAGATCCGTAGGGGATGAATGGTAGAAATTACTGACGCACTTTTGAGTGCGTGGCTGTCCGAAAGGTCATGTTAAGACGGGCGCAGTGAAGAGGTTATATGGGCAGAAGCCTCGCTTGATTCTAAGGACAGCAGAGTTTCCTCGTGTGGCTTTGTCTGTGAACTGCACCATGGCGATGTCGTTAAAGGATAGCACGCCTTCTCCCCGCAATGCTCACTAGTATATCATTATGATCCGTTGAGTATAAAGTCAGTAGAATCAGCAGCGACTTGCTGCGCATCATGGGAAGGATATGCCTACTAATTTTCTTGCGAAAGCATGGACGGCCAGATCATTGTGCTACACGAACCGCGTACACGGAGCTTCCTCAGGATTGAGGTTCCAGAGAACCCGGCTGCGGGTTGGGCTGTGGTATCATCCACCTTTTTGTTTGAAACACACACATGGTGTTTCTCGTCCGCTGTAATCCCACTGGAGCTGTCCGAACTCCTGGGACCAGATTGTCAGCACCGTACTCCTGCTACCGGTCTCTCGTTGCTGCAAAAGCGGTCCCAGTACTGGTTCCGGTGGATAAGTCGCGGGGCCACTGGTACGGCTGGGCGAAATTCCACCAGAGTTATGGTGTTCCCGGCCGATGAAAGAGTGATAACTGGGGATCCGCAGTTGTGGCGGAGAAGGAAGAACAAAATTCGCGGTCGTCGTCGGATTGTGGGCATCAGAGTCCTTCATTTTTGGCCACCAAGTGTCCCACAAGATAAGAGATTTAGGGCTAATAAAGGACTTTGCTGGCCGTCCTGTGTGTCCGGAGAGCGACGCCAAAGCCAAATATACGGTACCCTCCGCCTCGTGCGGGCGGGCACAAAGACTGGTCAGGCAGACGGTTGAGGCTCTCACGCCAGAGCAAGGTGGTTAACACGCGCGGCGGGAAAGTGGCGGACCACTGTTACAGCCCGGGCCGGTACGGCACCCATACACTCGGGGAGATAGCGGGGCACGCCGATCAGATTGCTATATGGACACGCTTACATAAGTGTACCTACCTCAAGGCACATACTGAACTGGAAAAAAGGATAGATAGTGTTGTTTCTAAAGATCGTCCAAGGAAAGCCAGATTGTTCACGGTACTCGTTACCTTGTGGACTTATTTCATTTGCGTCGCAGGATTGGCTGTATATGCAAGAAGTATCATGGCGTTCACGTTACAGGGCTTTTTGACTTCCGGTGCGTGATGTGCCAGTTGGCCGTCGATTCTTCGAGCTTCGCTGTTCACGGTGCGTAGCGTAGGGTGATCGATGGACAGTGTATCTGCACTGCTTCCGGTTCATCGCCCCTCTGAGTATTGTCCAATCACTGCCCATTTTGCTTTCGGTTGTCAGTTTCTCATGTTGGGTCATCCTGCTTCTTTCAGGCATTGTCGGTCATTGTGGCGCCGCTGTATTTGCTGTGGCCTTTGACGCTCCAATTGTTGTCACCAATCACCGGCATTCCGTCTCTCGTGGTACGCGCGGCGGTGCTCACTCCATGCTCGCCATTGTACAAAACGATCGCGGGCCATAATCCTTTCAGTGTGTTCTGTGCCGTAGCATGTATAGCTGGTGTTGTTTCGGGAATTTTTGGCCGCTACATCATGGTCATCATCGTTGGCGTGTTTACCATTTCGAAAAACCTGTTTCATTGCAAGACGATCCAGACTCAATTACCCAGATCCAGTCTCGTGTTGTTACCTGTGCCTCATCATCGCCTTTTCTCTGCTGCAGCCCTATTTTCTAAATTATTGCGTTGTCAGCGGCTTTTCGTCGGAAGTGTTTGCTCTGCGTCCTGAATCACCCCGGATGACACGAAGATGCCGGTGGTCCAAAGTAAGTCAGAAGGTGACCCCCATTCGCACGAACCGATACTCTCAGTGAATATATCTTACGTCACTTGTGTACCTTCAGGTGCTGCGGAGCCCTCTGTAATCAATTGGGCCATACCATTGGCCGAATCTCGAGCATGCATGATCTCCGTCATGAGAGGGTTGCTACGTCGTTGAAGCATGTCCCAGTTGTGGCGTGCCCGGGCCGATCGGCTGTTGATCACCGGGAAAATCATACAGGAGGAAAGGTCTTTCCAGACCTACACTAGCCGGCGTCCAGGAATGGTGTCCCGCCGTGCCATGGAAATATCGGTGTCGTACCAATACTTTGGGTACTCAAGTATATCATCACTATGGGCCCGTCATGCTGAGTAAGAGTACAGTCGATTGTCATTTAGAATGACAATTGAGAAACCCCTTGGGTTGTGAGTATATATACGTCGCCTTTGAATGCATCTGGGTAGCACCCACCAACTGACGAACTCACAATCCAGTCTACTCAACGCTTTACTTTACCCTCCTATGACTCTCACCTGTTATTACTTGGATGACTCCTCTGCCGACCCCCGCCTTCCCCATGACTCTGGGAGGCCCGTGGACTACTCCCACGTCCTTGCCCTTGGGGTCGAGCACTGGAACGTTCCCGTACCAAGCGACGGTAAATATGTGATAGTTGACCACATCATGGAACAGCGGGGCTACCACTACCATGATTTCGTCACTCTAAACAAGGAGACGCTGGGAGAAGCTCTCGAGTCCGTGCTCGATGGGTTCTATGAAGAGTAAGCTTCAATCTTTGGGATAAATAATCACAGTCATCAATTCACGACTCGCAGACACATGCACGAGTTCGAAGAAGCTAGGTACATCCTTTCTGGACACGGATACTGGGACATTCGTGGTAAATACTTAACCCACATCCGAAAGTTTCACAGCCTAAGTTTCTCCCCAGAGCACCCCACCGAGACATGGATCCGCTTCAAGGTTGGTCCCGGTGACCTTGTCATCCTTCCCCCTGGCATGTTCCACCGCTTCACGCTCGACGAGAAATCCGACCTATCTTCGATGAGAATGTTCCTGGTCAGTGACCCTTCCCACTCTGAGGTAGTTTTATTTGCGCTAACTAGGTGCTGCAGGAAACGCCCTCTCGCCACGCCCTCCCCCGCGGTAAAGTTGCAGACGAGAACCCCTACAGGGTTGATTACCTCAAGACGATTGCCGTTCTCTAACTTATACCAAGTTCTCGTAGAATCGGGGAGGCTGAGGTTCCCACATTCCCCCGCTGCATGTCTGATATCACTCGAGTTCGTGACGCAATCAACGGAACGCAAAACAGTTCGACTTCAAATTTCTACAGCTCAAACTATATAAAAAAACCGTAAAAGATAACCTGCGTAGCCCAGCTACCCTGATTCTCGATCCACGAGAACTCTATGAGGTACGATTTGGAGAGCGGCAATTGTCTTAAGGTAATCAACCCTGTAGGGGTTCTCGTCTGCAACTGTACCGCGGGGGAGGGTGTGGCGCACGAATGGTTCCGCCCTTTGTCTTCACTCGTTGGCCCCTCGCTGTTTCACGTGTCGCCTCGCACCATTCACATAGATATCGTGGTGCAGACCGATTCATGCGAACACAGCGGCATGTCATCACATTCGCCGCTACCCACCCTGCAAACATCCCTCAAATCGATGGATCGAATGATGTGAAGACCCCGCCTTCTTAAACCACGTAAGGCCATCAATACTAGTGAGTGTGCATGTGGTTGCTCCAGCCTGACAAATCACCGTTCGGTATCCGCAGCTTTGGCCTTGAACATGTTTTGACCCAAGAAGGCAGGGATGGGGTGCACTCTTTTACTCATCGCGTCTATCCAGGTCATGGCTCATCCAGGAATCATCTGGTGAAACAAGCCGTTGCATGTGGTAGAGACTGACAAGCAGAAATGCTCTAACCAGTGACCAACGAACGGATCGCCGTGCAGTGCCAATTTAAATTACTTATGTAGGTTCATGGTAAAGGCATTAATCATGATCATCAGTTCCCTCATCGCCTGATGTTACGCTGCGCGCCTGATATCACCCGACTTTGTGGCACGGTCAACGGAGCGCAAAGGAGTTTGGCTTCAAATTGTTGCAAACTAAACTAACCGTATATAACAAACCCACGTAGCTCCTATAGCCTTGTGCGCTGGAGGTCTCGATACATACAGAATAATCAAAATTAATGCCCTTATCACGAAGCCACATAAGTAATTTAAATGGCACCGTGGTCCGTTCGTCGATCATTAATTGAAGGGTTTTCGCTTGTCCGTGGTAGCGCGACGCGCAGCTTTAACTTGTATTCGGCGGCGACTGCTGACAAGTCACCCTTGATATCGCAACCTCACCTTCTCAAAGACTTCTCCCAGATTGATATTGACTCACTCGTTGGATAACCTGCCTTGCTATCTGCATCTCTCTTGTCGCCACTAGTGTGGCGAGAATAATCAGGTTCGGAGGTCATGTTTCGGTAAGAACCTACCTCCTGATCGGTTCAGGTGGAACAGTCGACTCACTGCCATCACTGCAGATCGGCAAATACACCTCGTCTTGATAAGCTTCAAGAAACTTGGACAGGAATGGGAGGGGATTTCGCAGGATTTGGCCGACTAAGGGGCGGCGTTGCTGATGATAAATGTTTAGGGTGAGGGATTATGCGTCAACCAAAAAAGCGTCTCATTTTCGGGCTAGAGTGACCTTGTAAACAAGGTGATTAACCATCATTTGTTCAGCAGGGCTATGTATCAGGATCAGAATTCCTAACTTCCGAGAGTCATCCCCACAATCCAAATACGACCACACATAGTCAAGTTCTCCGACATATTACCGAACATTCGTTGGCCCTGAGATACCAAAATGCTAACAAGCGTTCAGTAATCCTGTTAGAGCCAACGACCGTTCAGCAATATCTCGGATAAATTATGTGTCGCAGGTCGTGTTTGGATTGTGGCTAAGTACTAACGCAGACCGGTTTGGATCCCGTATCACGCCATTGATCTCGCTAGCTTTTCAGTATTCCAGGCCGCGGAAGCAGATTGCTGGCAGGTGTTTGTTCCTATCATGTACGTTTTACACACGGGGCCAGCGCCGGTGATCCTTGCTTTGCAGGTAAACCCGAGGTGATTGCTATGCTGCAAGGAAGTGCCAAGCCGCAGTCAATCGATCCTAATCACATCCGCATGTCTTTGTTTCTCATACAGGTAGGGAAGATTGGTGGCAGCCTCCTTTCCCCCACTGTATATTATACACAAGTTTTCAGGATTCCCTTGTCCCCCGCAGGCGGGCATTGCATCAGTAATATGTGCTTGACTCTCTAGGCGCAAAGGTTGCAACTTCATACTACACGTGCATGGCTGGCATTATGGCATATATCGACAGCTGTTGAAAGCTCCCAAGAGTACTGGAGATGTATCTGTGCAATACGGTCCCTACCGCATCGGACGCCACGTTACTAGCATCCATCTAGCCTCGACGTCGCACAGTCTATACCCTCCAGAAACATATGCAAGGTAATCCCATCCATGTATACCAACACACACGCTCCTCACCAATGCAAGTAGTGAGTCGGACACTGGTACCCGCTTGGATTATTGATCAGGTATAGCTGGTGGTAATCCTCCGCATCGTACCACGGTCCAGCTTCTTGAATCTCTGTCGCAATCATTTCGCCCTTGGGAGTAAAATACTTATCCTGCACTTCTTTCGTTACTCGCTCCGCAGTAGAGCGTTGTTCCTGACTATGTGTGAAGATCGCAGACCGGTACTCTACAGTATAAGATAACGAGGTCGGCGCTGGTAAGATCTCAGGTTTAGTATCGAGCGGTGACAACGCACGGGAGCCAACATCTGGTCCTTGACGATTTACAGCTATTGGGTCATGAGTGCGGTAGAAGAATTCTGGCTATAATGTGAGGATTACCATCCAAGTAGCAGGGATGGAGGTCGACTCGCCTACAAGTTCCGAATAAGACACGATCGAAGGGTCGAATTCAATTCTGACCGCCTCGGCATGGTCTGTGGTTCCAGTGCAGACCTCTCGGTAGGATGGATCGACAGAGGTCGCCTTGCCTCCGGTATAGCCCACCGAGGTCTTCAGGATTCCCTTGTTCTGGGAAGGAGGATAGTGCTTGAGGAAGATGTGTTCGACTCCCCAAAAACATCCAGCCGCAAACGTTGCGATTTCTGGCTTCTGAGATGCTACATAGACAAGTTGTTGGGATTTAGGAACGGCTCCCTGTGAGGATCGGGACGTACCTGAGGTCATGGCAGAACGATATTGGGAGACGTCAACGGGTCTCTTCGATATACCCGACGGGATCAAACCTAACAGCGCAGTGCGAACGTTGTTCAACCGACCAAGCATGAAACAGCACCGCAACGATGATCACTCAGCGTCATTCCAGTGGCGGGACAGCGGAAGCACCGGTCCGCCGTAGTCCGTTCCGGTGCGGAGATTATTGCTTTCAGTCGCCGACCAAAAAGCCGTAATCCATAATTTCGCGAACAGACTTGCGGCAAGAAAAGTCGGGACTCGATCAAAAAAGTTTACCACCGCAACATGAGCTTGTCCTCGTTTTTCTCTTCCTTTCTGAACGTCGTTCACGCAGACGCAGACGTTCCGGCAGAACAGGAAGAGAAGGTGGAATCTACTACAACACACCAAGAAGAAACGGCCGCCGAGGCAGAGGTTGAAGAAGCGGCAGCAGAAGAGGAAGCGGAGGAACCAGAAGATGTTCGAGCTAGTCATTATGGGGTATTGGAACTTCAAATGCTGATACTTGCGTTTCTAAATAGCCACATCCTATAATCCGCGAGGAATGCAAGAATGTCGCAAAGTGCGCACCCCTGACACGGCACTTTGAGCACTGTCAAGAGAAGGTGTCATCCGGCCAAGGTCACAAGGGTGAGGATTGCGTGGAGGAACTGTAAGTGCTTCCGTTTCCTTATTGGTTGCCTGAGTGTCCTGTCTAATGTCGAGCTCTATAGTTGTACGTACCACCCTTGTCGTCTTCTTAACTGACTTAGCTAACCGTACACGCCCGCTATATATATATTATAGTCCAGTACGTCCCGACGTCCTTTTTTCTTCAGTTCGACAGTTCCGCTAATGCCGTTTCCTAGCATGATGCACTGCGTCGACGTAGGTCTTGAATCTGAACTCCCTCTTTCATCGATGCTTACATCGGACCCAAGACATGTGCAGCACCAAAGCTGTTCGCCAAGTTGAAGTAAATAGTTTGTGGTCGATTCCATCTAGGTATGCTCATATTTTAATCTTCGTCACCCGCCATTTCAGAAAACAAACGTTCTACAGATTAGATAGTTGCATGTCCACTTTGTTCAGCTCGGCTGGATGCGCATCTTCATGTGTCACTGGTTATTGTCAATACCCTGTCGAATACGACTTGAGACACTCGCCTGTGATCAACCATTCAATCCTACTTATTGCGTATTCATTTTGATGACCATGGGGTCATTTCATTTGACGCGTGACACGTACCTTCCAGTATTCTGCATCACAGGTGCCAGGTGACGACTGTACTCCGTGCCGTCGCTCCCTGGCACCTTTGGGACAGGGGAATCGAGACATGTAACGAGGTCTTGACCATCATGCAGTAGTGCATCTGCGATCACCTGGCGGTCATAGAAGTTGGGTGTGCCGGTTACTGGCAATAGAAAAACATATGTGCAAATGGATGCACAAGCCACAGATATTATCATATAAATCCATCTACTTATGAGCAACGCTACCAGTAATTGGAAGTCCTTCAGGTCTGGGCTCACCGTCTTTGAGTATTCCAGATAGTCTTCCTAGTGCCCAGCGCCAAAACCCCAGCGATCGAAGCGTGACTATAGATTCTCCTATGTAATACGTAGTGGAATGAAAAAAGTGTTATCATTACAGTACGTATCTGAAGTCACGGTTCTGGCGATCCGTTAAGTCCATGAATTCCTGCAACGTACAAAGCAATATCAGTATCCAATAGCCTGCAAAGAAATAAACCGAGCAATCTGGAGGGTTCGCTTCACCTTGTCGACCTTGACCTTGATCTGTTTACCACCTTCCGTTACCTTCTCGACATAGTACTCTTCGACTTCGTCCGAAGGCTCCGACTCCCGCCTTCGGTTCTCCCCGTCGAGAAGAACGCGGACGACGAGGAGAATCATCGGACAAACGGAATAGCAGGCAGCTATGACAGCCCAGGGGACATGATTGCTGTAAATGTGTGGATAAGGATGAGCTAGCTGGCGGTACAGGAATGTATGTACCGTGGTTTATACTGAGCTTTCCACATGAGGGGGCCAGTAGCATTTCCGATACAATAGGCCGATAACACGATAGCATTGGTGACCACCTTTACGGACAAATCGAGATGAAATGCCTGTAAAGATCCACGGAACAATGCTCACCCTCTTTGTATGGCCAGCCGTTACATTACCGAGCCAGGACAAGGCAAGCACAAATCCCGTGCCAGAGATGACGGCTATAGAAACGTCAGCCGCTGTCCATGTAACGATGTACAGCTAGTACACATACTCATGCACTGGCCCACTAGTAAACCAGCTGTGTCGTTCCATGGCAAGAGGTTCACCAGCGCAATACCTATCAATGCCGGCACAAAATATATAGCACCGACATACGCTCTCCCATTCCTGAAGCGTGCCGCCAACTTGACGCCAGTGTAGATGGTCAAAATCTCGATGACACCCGGTATCATCGTGAAGAGAGTCGTTTGAAGGTCCGTAAACCCAAGCGAGGCCACAAGGAGCGATTGTTGGTTAGTAAGTGAGTTTGGGATGTTGTCGAATGCTGAAAAGGCGGCAAAAAGCCATGTCTTCGGGTCACAGATGGCTTCGATGAATCTGTACCACAGGGTATTTCAATGCTTGGTTAAATGGAACGGATCGCGAATCGCTCACTGTCCCTGCTTAAAATGCTTATTTTCGACGCCAGTTTGGTTTTCCTAGAGCAACTTAGTACCACAGCAGTTGGTGACATTAAAGACCCACTTTGATCCGCTGTACTGCCTTCACGCGCTCGTCAGGCGTGAGGAACCATGCAGTGGTTGGCGAGTCTGGAAATAAAAACCTAACTTCAAAGTCAGGTACTATAATTGTCAACGATAACTGGTTTACCAATAGGAAATTGCCAGTATTAACGTTATGATACCAGTGATTATCATGAACCTACAACAAGGTCTTCAGCGGCTATACATCACGAATGAGCAAATACACCAACCACTGCCATGGTTCGAAGCCGCTCGTGTGGATATGCAGCGCGCCAAAAGCAAGGAGTCCAGAAAAAATCTGTGCTGCAAATCCCTCAGGTCATTGCAATGGTCATATTGAAAACACCCTCACCAACGCCGTTCATCAAGACTGAGCATGTTCACATGGGTCAGGAGCGACAATTTACGGGATGTCATTGTACGTACACCAGTATCTCACCCTCAAGGTTTGTTCTTTACGAGTGTAAAACATCGCGCTGACAATCAGGAAGCCGGCTGTAATCGAACCCTCGCACATGCCAAGGATGAATCGCACGATAAACAATCCCGTGAAGTTCTTGCAGGCGGCGTGACATGACAACGCAATGGCCCAGACGAAGATATTTGCGCTGAGGAATGCGGATAAGAACTCACGTAGAAAGTGGCAACAAACAAACCTCATCCATTTTCCGACTGGCAATCGTTGTAAGGCGAGATTCTGTGGATACTCAAACAGTAGATAGCTGAGGTAGAAAACGGTTCCCAGCCTATGAAAATATGAAACCATGTAGGAGCCGGCAGAGTCAGGAAGAAGTGTCTCCCTCACCAGTTGTATCTGTGTACGGATGTCAGCAGATTTGTAGGAGATCAATGGTGGGACTTACTGATTCACCGTAAGGCCTGTGGCTGTCCTGATGATCACGTTAAGACGAGCACAGTGAACAGGTTATGCGTGGAAGCCTCACTCGATCCCGAGGACAGCAGAATTTCCTAGCGTAGTTTTGTCCATGAACTGCACCCTGGCAATAACGTTAGTGGCTAACATGTCTTCTCCCAGCAATGCTAACCAGTATAACACTATAACCCATTGAGTATAAAGTCAATAGCTTCAGTAGCGACTTACGGCACATCAGGGGAAGGATATGCCTATCAATTTTCTTGCTAAAGTCTGTTCAAAGATAACCGAATAGCCAAACCATTTTGCTACACAAACCGTATGCGTAGAGCCTCCTCAGGATCCAAGTTTCCGGAAAACCCAGCTGCCAGTTGGGCTGCAGTATCGACCTCTTTGTGTGAAACAGACACGCCATGGTGTTTCTCGTCCATTATAACTCCACTGGTGCTTTCTGAACTCATAGGATCAGACGGCGCCGTGTTCCTGCCCCTGTTCTCTCGTTGGTGTAGAAGCGGTCCCAGTTATAGTTCCGGTGGATAAGTTGTGGAGCCACTGGTGCAGGTGCAGTTGTGCGAAAATCCACGAGAGTTACGAAGGAGTTCTTGGCGCTGGGGGTTCTTAACCGATGAAAGAGTGAAAAGTGGGGATCCACAACTGCGGCGGAGAAGGAAGAACGTCGCGATCGTCACTGCAACTACACATAAATAAGTGCAGGGTCCTTCATTTTTGGCCACCAAATGTCCGGCAAGGTAGGAGGAACACTAAGGGATATTTAGGACAATAAGGGACTTCGCTGGCCGTGAATGTGCCCGAAGAAGCTGAGATCCGTATATGTTTACGTTTCGAAGTTCCACGCCAAATATAAGAGCCTGTGATTTTGCCTGATACACCGATTGTTTCTCAGAAGATCGGCCAAAGAAAGTCAGATTGTTCACACTACCTTGTGGACCCGCCACGACGGCGACAAGTACCGCAGCCGATAAGAGGCATCGTTCGAATTGGTAGCGTTCACGTGACAGAAACTTCTGATCCGTCACATATTACGCCAGCTGGCCGTCGATTCTTTGCCATTCATGGGGTGTGTATTGTACGCTGATTGAAGAGCGTAGTATCTTATTCCAGCTTCACAGAAGCAAAATGACATCTTCTTTAGCAGACACGACGGCCAGTGTATCTGCTGTGCCTCCCACTGCTTCCGGTCCATCGCCACCCCCGATCGTCCAGTTATTGCCCATCCTGCTTTCGGTCGTCAGGTTATCCTATTGGGCCATCTCACTGCTTCTTCAGGCGTTGTTCGCTATTGTAACGCCGCTCTATTTGCTATGGCCTTTGACGCTCCAATTGCTGTCACCAATCACCATTATTCTGACTGTCGTGGTGCATGCGGCAGTGTTCACTCCGTGCTCGCTCTTGTACAAAATGATAGTGGCTCTTTATCCCCTCTACGTGTTCTGCGCCACAGCATGCATAACTGGTGCTGTTATGGGAATTTTTGGCCGCTACATCATTGTCACCATCCTTGGCGTGTTTGCCCTCTCGAGAAACTCGTTCCATCGCAAGACGACCCAGACTCAGGCTTCTCCTCCGGCTAATCATCCACTCCGCAGACGGAAACGACGAAGCGTACGCATGCAATAACGCAGTGGCAATTCTCAACTACCCAGGCCCAGTCCCGTCTCGTTACCCGCGCCCCGTCTTCGCCTGTTCTTTGTCGTAGCCCTATTTTCTAAATTATTGCCTTGTCAGCGGCTCTTCGCCTAAGGAGTTTGCTCCACGTCCTGAACCATCCGGAATTGCGCAAGGATGCCAGTGGCTGAAGTCATGTAACGGTTGGAGGGTGGTCCCCCGTGGTTTGCTCGTAAACTGATGGATATATACCATATTTACTTACAAGTTACCTTCGGTGTCCTCATGAATTGTAACGTGTGGCTTCACTCTGCATGCGCTGTTCTTAGAACTGATACCAACAACCCTTGGAAAAGTATGAATACAGCAAAAAGACGAGAGTATCGTAGTAAGCGCTGAAACGGATGGTGAGCACTTGAGCTCTGCAGATCCGATTGATCGTAGTCGTTCTTCGCCAGTGGATTATACCACTGGATCGGATGTTTGTTATACTGTCTGTCGTCGGGACACCTCCGTATGGGCCCTTGCAGTGTACTGTATGCGGACTCTTTCCGCTACCCCACACAACAGACCCACCTGTCTGGAAAAGCGAGCAGCGCTGAAGGACCCAATGCCTTGTGGTGTCGTCGCAGGTTAAGTAAAGCTTACGGTGACTCGCAAATCACTGGCTCAACTTCTGAGGTGCATTACAGCGGGATTCCAAGGTATCGGGCTGAATTGTGCAATATGTGTGATCTCCCTTGGGTTCCATTTTTAATTCCGCATAATATTTGAGCCCTTCCTTCTTTTTCTTAGGTACATTGTACACAGCTGGCAAAGTGATTGCACTGCCATTATATCATGGACACGTTTGTGTCTCTGAGTGGGCCAAGTGTACCACCACCACTGGCCCATCATGCCGAACGAGAATTATAATTTGAATGACTTCCCTGTTGACCCCTGCCTTCCCATGACTCTGTCAAGCCCGCGGACTACTCCCACGTCCTTGCCCTAGGGGTCGAGCACTGCCACATTGCCCACCCAGTGACGGTAAGTATGAGGAAGTAGACCATACCATGAAACAGCGGGCTACCACTACCGTGATTTCGTCACTCTAAACAAGGAGGCGCTTGGAGAAGCGCTCGAACCCCATGCTCGATGGCTTCTATGAAGAGTAGGTTTCAATCTTTGAGCCGGATTCACGGCTCGCAGATACATGCACGAGTTCGAAGAAGCTAGGTACATCCTCCTCACCGGACATGGGTGCTGGGACATCCGTGGTAAGTTCCTGACCTATATCCGAAGATTTCACAGCGTAAGCTTCTTCTCAGAACACCCACCGAGTCATGAATCCGCTTCAAGGTTGACCCAGATGACCACGCCATCCTCCCTCTGGCATGTTCCACCGCTTTACGCTGGACGAGGAATCCATGGTCAGTGACCCCTCCCACTCTAGGATATTTTTATTTGCCCTAACTGGTTGCCGCAGGAAACGCCCTCTCGCCACGCCCTCCCTCGTGGGGAGGTCGCAGGAGTTAACCCCTATGGGACTGATTATCTCAGGAGCATCTGCGGTTCGCTAAATTGTACTTCCCTATTGAGTATTCGTAGGTCGGGAACCAAGGAGGCCGAGGCAGATTCGGAATGTGGGATATAATGATGTTTCATAGTTTGAATTACGGTAATTTAAAGCTGAGTTGCTTTCCCTTTCGTCGATCGCTGCGCGAAGTCGGGTGATCTCAGACACGCAGGTTACAGTGACACATGTCATCATTCGGGGAATGTGGATCTCGAGGCAGTCCGGCACTCCGTGGTCTCGATACATATAGAATAATCATAATTAATGCCTTTAGCATGAAGCCATAGAAGTAATTTAAATGGCACCGTCGCCCGCTCGTTGATCGCTAATCGAATGGTTTCTACGTGTCAGTTTCCACTACCTCCAGCGTTTTGCTCCACTCGATCACTTTGGGATGAGCCATGACCTGTACAGACATGATGAGTAAAAGGGTCAATACTCTGTACCACATCCTACCTTCTTGGGGTCAAAGCGCAAAACTTGTAGCCCATCCATTGATGCAGCCCTCGATAGCGCGACGTAGCTTTGACCTGTATTCGGTGTCAACTACTGACAAGTCATTCCGGATCTCATATTCTCACCCTTCTCAAAGACTTTCCCCAGATCAACTTTCACTCGTTGGATGGTTTGGCCCTGACTTTTGTGTATAGACATTGCCCATGCCAGAATAAGTGGAACCTACGCGGAGCTAAGGACAAAGTCCACGTGTTTAAAAATTGGGAGGGATTTACCTGCATGCGTCGGGCCAACACTTTTCCTTCGGCGTCTTCGACCTTGAATTCCTCCCTCATCACCAGGACCGCTTCCTTACCCCCATCTACCGTGGGGAATTCGACTATAGGAAACTTCTCCTCTTCCTTTTGAGCGTGCGCAGATTTCGGAGCTTCTTCTGAACCCTTCTTTTCTGCAGTATTACTCTGGGCATTCTCCTTACTTGCATTCTCGTTGACCCTGAGTAGAGCGCCATCCGGTCTGATTCCCACGTTCCTCACGAAACCCGTCGTCTTCGCAGACCCTGCACGCTTTTCACTCTCATTAATCAGAGTGCTCATGACTTCTCGATAACCATAAAAGCCAGAAACTCTCCCAACACAGCCATTGACAAGCATCTCGTCTACGTTCTTGATAAGCATGACCTGCGCGCCCTTCTTAAGCTGGAGAACTTTTTCTGCCAGTACGCCACTGAGAAGTCCCTCACGTGGTTTATGGCCGCCTGAAACTGGGGCCGAGCTCGTAGGTTTAAAGGGGGCGGGCGCTGCATTTGCAACATGTCCCGGGTTTTGGGATGCGGAGGAATGTGGTTTTCTGTCATTGGGTAGGTTGGGAAAAGTATCGTGTGAATGGAACGTATGAAGCGGATGGGGCAATGCTCTAAGACGCGTGGCATTGGCGTTTGACACTTCATGCCTCATCGGGAACAGCTCTGTCGGAGTAATATTGGGCGTGGAAGGGGGGAGTGGAGGCAACGGTCGCGAAAGCGATTTGAACGTTTCACATGCCCCCGGGGAGAGCGTGCCATGACGCAATTGATTTAGTATAGATATGAACTCTGCGCAGAAGTGAGAGAATCAGACCCAAGATTGCGGAGCAAGTAAGGAGACAAACGGTCATCCTTCTGACGAAAGACCTTCGTGAGATTGACGGTATGTTCTATACACTGCTTCCACGATGCACTTTCAAAGGCAAAGAATGGATCACCTTTGGAGACTGGTGGGAGCTGGAAGAAATCTCCCGTGATCACAAGCTGTCATAAAAGCTGAGACGAGATGCGGACTGTTGATAGCGCTCATTATACCTGAATACCCCCAAACGACTTGTCCGTTTTCTTGCGTAAACGGTCAGCTATCTTCGCCAATGTGTCGAACAAGTGTCCATCCAACATCGATACTGAGAGGCATACATGAGAAATTCGGGCGTTGAGGACGAATACTACCTTCGTCAATGATGAGGACCTTGACATTTTTCCATCGTTGAAGAGCTGGTTTGCATGTCCTAATGCACTTGATCTGGCTGTCAATATCGTTACTACCTGGGGTCACTGCACCCCAGGAATGTACGGTCATTCCTGAGGAAAAGTTATCCAAATGGCACTAGCAAACATTAAGGGAAAGCTAACCGCCTATGTTGGAAGCAGCCATTCCAGTACTTGCGGTTACGGCCACATAATCTGGCCTTCCATTGTGCTTCCTGCGCAACCGAGATATAATGGCACGTAAAAGAAGGGATTTGCCCGTTCCTTATGGAACGTGCTGTTAGCATGACGAGACGCCCTTCGAGGACGAAACGTTACCTGCAGACCCAGTGAAGAAAATATTCTTTCCCTCTTCTACAACCATCTGCAGCACCTTGTTCTGCTCATGACTTAACTCGGCAACGGAGGTGGTTTGGTCCGTACCACACGTTGCGCTGAGTGATACCCGCGGCGCGAAAAACGACTGGATTTTGGATTGCTTTGCCGGATTCAAATCTTCCAAGTCGTCCGCAGACTTTCGTTTCCTTGAATTCGTCGCAGTAGTCAGCTTCAGGGACTGCTTTGGAGCCATTTGCCCCGGACTAGGAACCCAGCTCAGGAATCGGCGTCCAGAACGAGAAACGAGACAAAACAACACGACGACAACGCGTAATCACGTGAAACTGACATTGCGTCTTCCACGCTCATCGCAGTTCCATATGTAAGTAGCTACAAAAAGTCACCGAACTTGAAGCTTGATGCATGATGGCTGCATGGAACGGCCATTAATTGTACCACATCTGAATCGAAGGCAGATTCCAGTTGAGTTATTGGCAACCTTACATATTTGCAAGGAAATTTGTTGCGGGTCCTCGTTGTGAGCCGCTGGCAACCCCGAAAGTGCCTCTCGTACTACTCGGCCACCGTCGATTTTGTTTTTCCGGGATCGCTGACTTCTGGTGGGAACGAGTGCTTAAACTTCGTTCCCCACACGCACGTAAACCGCCGTAACCCGGGCAAGGGCCAGTATGTAAGGCGTTTCTTCCGACCTACCGTGGAGCAAATTCCCCGCGCTTGACAGAACCGAACATTGTCCCTTGGCCTCTTCCACGATGCGAGGGCCGTTGCTGCCTACTTTCGTAGGGATACTGCGTGCGGCCGTGGCAAGTGCTGACACTTGGTAGGCTGCTCGTTTCACTGTCGTTCACAGTTCTCAACCGTGCTCCTCCAAAGGTGCGGCAAAAACTACATGTCGAGTCTGCCCCCTGTTTCCCCCGGTGGCAATTTCCCTATACCAGCTCAATCCGATGACCCACTTCTGGCTTTTCAATGCGTGTCTGCCATCCGTCCTTACCTCGCAGAAGACACCTCCGCTGCTGTGCTCGTCGACACTCCCGTTGTGCACTACGAAATTGCCAATGCGAGAGTCATAAATCTCGATTCCGATCCCATCTCAGAAGGCGAGTTGGAGGTGAAGATTAGCCTGAACGGCAACACGCTTGGGACTGCAACTGTACCCCTCAACGCCACAGCCTACGAAATTCCGTTCAGCCTGCAAGGAATCCAGCCTCAAACTAGTCCATATCTCCTCTCCTGTGAGGGGGTCTACAATTCTACAAGTCAGGGGGACACTCCACAAACATTTAATGCAACTGCTCCCTTGTATGTCTTGCCGAATCCTCCAAGTGGTTCGGTCACGAAAATGGACTACCGCACTGGGGCACTTCTGGCACGTCCCGCTACAGGGGTGGGTGGTAATTATGAACCTGTGTTCCCCATTGGGTTTTACACACAGTTCGACGGGTATTTGAATGGAAACCTATCCGTTGTCGATGAGCTGAAAGCCCAGGGGTAAGTTTACCTTTCTCAATTCTCACATTCGCTGACTTCTTCGCTTAGGTTCACTATCGTACGTTCCTCGTAATTTGCACTAACGGGTTTTGACTTTAACGTCCAACCTCAGATACATCCAGTACCAACGTTCAGTAATATGACGGCGTTTCTGGACATCGTTGATAGGATGCAAGAAGTTGGACTGTATCTCATGTACGACATGAGGTGGACCTACATGAATTCCACATCCGTTACCGAGCAAGTGAACGCCCTCAAGGACCGTCCCAATCTCCTGCTTTGGTACACTGCTGATGAACCAGACGGCACCTCTGATCCGCTGGATGCTACAACCAGCACATATGACCTAATTTATGACCTCGACGGGTACCATCCTGTTAGCTTGGTACTCAATTGCCAAGACTACTACTGGGAGAACTACACTGCAGGGACTGACATTGTCATGCAGGACGTCTACATGGTTGGCAACAATGTTAGCTTCTCAAACGAATGGGGCACTGTATGCACGCCTGATTATGGCGACTGCGGTTGCGATAATTGTGTGAGTATTCCAGCAGGAGACACTCAGGCAGTTCCCCCAAATTCTACGTTACCTCCCGGTCCCGTACCCGCTAACAGCGGCATCGGCTCGTATTTCAACATTGCCGACCGTGTCTCCAGTTTCAAGAGCCGGTTAGAAGTTATGGGATGGCAGCGCACGAAGGCTGTCTGGACCGTGCCTCAAGCGTTTGGTGGATCTCAGTAAGTTCCATATCGTGTATGAGACACTCCACGCAACCATAGTTCGCTTCACAAGGTACTGGACTCGCCCTCCGGCAGGCGAAGAATGGGTTGTAGAAGCCATCTTGGGCATCAACCACGGAGCGCTTGGTGTTGTACCTTGGTCTGACCCGACACCGGATGACATCAAGGCCTCAGCATCCGCATTTGCGAAGAGTCTCCCGAATATAACACCTTTCCTTTTCGACGCTCAGTCTGCTCTCAACAGAACTAACTACGTCATTGGGGGAATCGACATTGCGACATGGACCAATGGATGGCAGACGCTGGTTCTTGCTGCCAATACTGACTACACCAGCGAGACGGTTACGTGGCAAGAAGTGGGCTCTACGGTAGTTGGTATGACTGTTGCGTTCCAGAGTGGAGGTTTGGAGACGACCTCAGGAGGCTTCACGCTCGGTCCCGTCGCATCTGGGGCGTTTGTCTTGTCTGGAATGCAACAAAAGGAACAAGAACGGATGTATATTACAGGTAGCAACTAGATACATATTGCCCTGACGAGCTCTTGTGGGTTGGTCAGCTCAACGAGCAGTGTTTGCCTTGAATCCCAAATCAATCTCAAACCTGCCGCCGATAACGTTCCTCCGGCAGATGGTGTGCAATCGTGCGACCTAACGCACGTCCATCCTGTAGCACTCCTCCGGCAGAGACAATGTACTGGCACCGTCATCCTCTGACTCTGATCAGTACCACTTACAGGGCCGAGCACTTCTGAGTCGCAATGTCATTTATGATCTCAGAGCAGTTGATCGACCACGTTTGTGTTGGATGCAGGTCTCGTAGTCGCTACCCTGTCGTTGCCCGAGCTGCTGGAACGGGGTGCATGTAACTTCGTTCGTCACCTCGCGTTTGCGAAGTTGCCGTAGATGGCAAATTTTGCCTCTTATTTCTCGTCACCAGCGACGAGCGTAGCCGCTTCAATCAGCTTTTCCCTTTCCAATCGCGCGCCTTTGATGAGAAAGGAGTTTGGTGGGTTGGGCCTCGAGCAATGACGCTGAAGATCGAATGTCGTTGACTTTTTGTTACCTTCGTGGATTGGTCGTTCCGATACCGTCATCGTGAGTCGTAACAGATGGTCGAACCTTGCAAGATCGCCGTTGTCCATAGCAGATAACGTTCAGTGTGAGCGGCGAGACTATTCCAACATACACAAGTGAAACAGCGGAGCCGTTTCTACGTGCCCGTTGTGCTGGTTGGCATGCTCTCTGGCAGCAATCTCTGCATGTCCATAGCCCTCACTCAGCCTTACTCTCGCAAACCTCAGACGAAAACCCATTTTTCAATATCTGCCGAAGAACCGTCCGTTCAGTGCCCATCCAGTTCTTATACTCCCTCAGTAGGGCACCCGTTCTTTTCTAGAGATGATATCTACCAAAGTACTCATTTCTTGGCGATGGCCCACAACAGTCCAAGAAACCTCGCACCAGCATCGCGAACCCACCCAACTCCGACCCTTCCTCTTCCTTGGTATGCGCATTGCAGATCACTCCTTTGTAGCGGTGATATGTGTTAATCAGCCAAAAACGAGGACCTTCTAAGGTTACCGCTGAAAGTTTATTCTTCAAGCATCGGGGAATGCCTCTCAAGAGCTACTCACTACAATGTGGGACCTCTCCCATTCGTCAGAGTCAGGTCACTTAACTTCCGTGATGGGGGTGAGTGCTAATGCTCCTACTTGTGAGGTGGCTCACGAGCAAAAAGAGCAATTCTAGGCTGCCCCAACCCTCTGAGTAGCCTCGCTGGACAGTGCCAGAGGTCAGCCAACGAGATGGCATCCGACGGTATGGATTCCATGTCATCAACATTCTTCGATAGGACCCCGTGTCGCGTATCGGCAAAGACACTGTCGACCTTGCTCATGGTGCAAATGTCGTATTCAACCAGCCTCAATGTTCTCGCGATACATATCTAAAACCTTTCAAGTCTTTCGACGAAGTTGTTATCACTCTTACCGAGACCATGCTGGCACGATTCCGTTCTGTATTGCAACAGATTATGAATCAAAATTCATATGCTGACTGTAGGCTTCTGTGTTACTATGCATTGCTTGAGCGGCTGACGACCATAACTCCTTAGCGCACTCAAATAAATCCCATTTCACCTACCAAACATAGTTACTATGTGAAGAACAAAAATAGTCCATGCAATGAAAATATTCCACTGCCAAAGTCCGCAGAATCTGGCCATCCGCCTTAAGAAGATTGGATTCTGGATTCCAACACACAATCAACCCATGTTACCTTCTCACTAGGGAGGAGCTACTCACTGGATGAACCAGGTCTGATCACTTGCGACGCAGTTACCGCCATGAGCGTTCTGCTGTGACTGACAATTGAATGCGACCCATTCAATAACGCTCGACTGTTGACCGTGTCGTTCAACAGAATTGATTGGGCAGGGCAGGGGCAGAGTTAGCATGTCGACTGAGCCAAAAGGGGCACCCTTACCCAATCGTCCCTACAGTACGTTTCGTTGTAGCTAGCTTGATTGACAAAGAACGTCTCGCAGCTAGCATACTGCATAAAGATAGGGTTCCCCTTTTTGAAGGTATCAGCTAATGATGGCATTCTCCTGCAGGGTCCACTTACCACAGTGATGTTGAACAGCTGGCCTTGAGGAAGGTAAGTTTCGTCCTGGCCAAGTACTCGGTGTGAACTGCGTAATACGTACCGATGTTCTGATTGTCATACAGCAGCGCATCTGCGATCACTTGGCAGTCATTGGGGTCGGGTCCTCCGCCAGCAGGAGTGAAGCAGTTGGTGTTACCTGCAATAAAAAGATGCGTGTTGGTTACTTGACTAGCATGCAAATGGAGGCGACACCCACAAGTATTTCCACACACATTCGTCTGCCTCTTTTGAGCAACGCTACGAGCGGTGAGGCTGGGTAGGTTGCTGCAAGAGAGGACCTGTGCTTCCACTTCGTTGTTCTTACCAATGAAATGAGTAGCTAGAACCTTCTCATTTTGGCAGACGAAAGCTAGTAGCATGCGTTCAGAAGATCAGCGTCGAGAGAGAAGAGCAGCATCACCCACGGGTAGGAGGGATCGCCGTGGCAAAAACGCCGACAGCGAACGTAGACAGGACAGCAATTAAAGCAAGGAGTTTCATGTGTAGGCAGAAATATCAACCTGAAGGAACTGCGAGGGGCTACAAGGTACTAGCGAGGACACTCTCCAATGTAACCCGCTTTTATATGCAACTGGCTGGCGTTTGACTGACCAGCAACTCGATGTAGTAGCGCCCTGATACGTCAGAACGCTCCAGTAAACCCGACTGAGGCCTAGGGGGTTTCCCACCGCGGCGTTCATTCGCCACCCGTAAGGTCATCTGAGGTTGGCCCGGAGATCATCTAATGTTGGCTGACACAGCCTAGTTGAGTTCCACATGCGTCAGAATGTGAGCAAGAAACCATGTCACTTTGGTTTGGACACCGGTAAGCTCTGCATGCTTGACAGAACGAGCACTTAAAGCCTTCATGAACGTCAGAATAGAACACCGTAGTAACCGGGAATCATGTGGTTTCGATGCAATCACAAACCTCTTGACTGTACGGTTGTTATATTCGGGGTGGATGTAATGCCTAGTTCCACACCCCAATGGAATGACGACATCGTCAGTGGAGGTGAAGAGGTTAAGTCCTAATTGCACCGGTGCGTTCAAGTCTTCATGACATCAGATGCATTTCACATCGCTGTTAGTGTACTCGACGAAATGGAAGTATGTCATCATGTAGAGAAGAAGGTTCGAAAGAAGGTTGTCAATTACTGGAGTGGGACGTCACATTGTCACTTGACACGCCTAATATTATTAGAACAAGGCTGTCCACGGCGTCAATTAGCCTCAACTCCGGACGCGTTCATGTGGCTCCTGCCATGGTACCCCTAGCCATTCGTAAGCTGTTGTGAGGTGCTCAACATATACAGGACATCACTTGCCAAGTATCTGAAATATCTCCTCTTCTGTTTCTGATGCTATAATACTTCCTGTATAGTAAGCTGTCAAAATGGAAGAGCCAAGGCTAATAATAGGCAGGGAACGCTCTAGTAGCTCACCGTCGGAAAGCTTTACCCGTCGGTTCTGTGGATCCCGTACGACCCCACCATAGAGCCCACGTTGGTTCAGTGAATAGCCCATCACATTGGCCTTTAACCTCATCGCGCGGTTAAACTTGAACCGTTCCAGTCATTCTCTCTGGCGGCCATCTTACAGAGAACGCTACTTACGATGTCGTCGCCCTACATCCCACGATGTCAGGTTAGCGAAGGTAGCACTTAACCCCAGTTTTATAAACGGACCGTGTAATAAAGCAGAGCCGCTCCTCTACTTTTCCAAGGAACACATAAGATGTCAATTCGTCTGCGTTTCGCGCCAGGATCAGGAAGTTTGCACAAGCCCCGGTAGGTTAGCTCCAGTTCCGCCGGATTGGCCGGTAAAGCCAAGTCCTCAGTCAAGATCTTGGCCGCCTGGAGGCGGTCCAACAATCGCGAGAGCACGCCTAGGGTATTGTCGTGAGTCGTAATGATTTGAGGGGGGGCGAATCGACGTGCCTGAGTGAGTGTTGCCGTCGGCAACAGGGCGAGTTACGAGGATATCGATATCCCCACAGTCGGCCTTGCCTCTGCGAAACGATTAGGACTTGCGAGTCTTGACATTTATCATCCGCACCTTCGATAACTCCCCATTATCCCAATGAATAAATTCTTATCGATCTCCAGTGCTGAGTGCCGTTATCAATACCGGGAATCAAATATCGGGAGATAGCGAAACCTATTGATTTTATGGTACTGAAAATCCTTGCAGCCTCTTCTCGCGGCATTCTCGAATTGATGTCTGTTATCAGCCTTGTAAGTACTAGTGGTATGACAGGGGTGAGACCATGCCTACCATCATAGAACTTCAGGCCAATCTCTTGCGCCGGTGATAGCCGCAAACTCTTGCTGTTTGCTTTGATATCGTCAAGCGTCCTGTGCCCGCTAGCATACCATGCAAATGCCGTGCTGCGACCTGCAAAACCAAGATTACCAAGGAATCGGAACGCAGCCGGCGACACAAATTACTTACCGACACCATAAATACCCTGAAAAAGTCTGGTAACTTCTACACCATCCGTCCGCTCATGTTCTATTCGTCTCAAGTCACCGGTGTTGATTATTTCCATGATCTACTCCTCTTAAGAGTAGAGAATCCAGAGCCTAGGTGAAACTTACCTTGAGAGCCGTCTTCTCACCCACACCACGAATAGAACGAGCTTCATTGAAAGAGGTGATCTGCTTCGGATAATTTCGTAGCGCTCGAATACCTGGGAGTGAGTGAGTTAGCGACCACCACATGAACATGCAAAGTTCTCATGCGACATTTTCCATAACTGAAAACTCGCCAACGATCATGATCAGAAGGCTTCGACTTGTGCAATTCCATAAGTTCCTGCAACTGAAACCTAATTAGCAATATGAGTGCCTATGGCCAAGACAGTACTGACCTTTTCGATAATATCTTGGTTGGCACAGGTCGTTCGTTGGGGCTCCTTCTGGTCGCAAGTAAAACCCTGGATGAAGCAAAGTTTTCAAACCATCGAACTTCGTAAGAGCCACCGTTGCCTACCTGTCTTTGAACATTTTCTTTGCGGAATTCGAATCCTTCGTCCCCGTCGTCCGATTCGGACTCATCCATCGTCCACTAGAAACAAAAAAGCTCTGCTCAAACGCTTTGTACGTCCAGCGATGATTTCCCTACCTCTGCCTCGCGCTGCGCCTTCGCTTGAGCGTAATATTCTGCCAAAGGGTCGTCGGCACCCTCGGGTGCACCAGACGCAGCTTTCCGTGTGGATAATATAGCTGGCGGACCACTCTTGATACGGGACGGCCTTTCGTTGGGTTGAAGATTGAGAGGCGGAGGCGGAAGGACCTTGGCCACGTCAGAGCACCCAACCACAACTTCTTTGCGCCTCTCCTGGGAAAAGTCGCTGCAGTGACAGTCATAATCCTGGTCTCTAAAGCCAGAAAGATACATACGAGATACGGCTGACGTCATCGTTGACGTCAATTGACGGACTGGCATTCGGAATGCGTGATCCTGGTTGTTGTCCCTGCTTAGCCTTCCGGCCGGCATGCTTATTCCACTGTCTTCCGGCATCAATACGCTGCGGGAATGCCGCATGCATGAACTCGAAGTCGAGGAGTTGCTCTTCTTCATCGCGGTCGTCCACATCCCGTGCCTTTCCGTTCCCCTTCTTATCCGTAATTAGCTTCCCGTTTCCGTTGGTTGCGCGTCCATAACCTGATAAGACCCAGGACCAAGTGACGGTAGGGATATGATCAGGTATTTCCGACAACGACTTCAACGACAAGGCTCGCAGGGTAATGTGAGGGCCCGTATCCGTCACGATGTGGGTGACAACAGCTTGGTCGTACTTAGGAGCTAGAGTACCGCCATGCTTTATGATCTACGAAGCGAGGTGTTAGATTTTCAAGAATTCGGAGTATGCATAAGCTCAACAAAGAAAAAGTGGTAAATGGGTCGAGCCAGTCATGGTGCCGTCTAAAACTCAGAGCGCGCACAGGGTGCACGATATAGAATTGGCGGGAGGATCTTACTCACATATTCCATCCGACCCCTCGTTCTGGTACTAGCGTACTGCATATCTCCACCAACATAAAATATGCATTTGCCCATCAGATAACTCGTCTTGGGGGTGACAGGAAGCATATTGGACTGCAGCTTCAGAGCGTACTCGAGGGGCGTAACGAGTGCAGGTTTCTCCTTTCCTTTCTTGCTACCTTTCGAAGTGGAACCAACCTTCTGCCTGCTGTTCACGGTCCTACGAACCTTGGCAGCTGTGCAGGTCGATCTAGAAGATGACGGTTTTTCGGCATCGGGCACGTCAGATCCTGCCTTCTTTAGGAACCTCTCGTGAGCAGGGGAGAGTCCAGGACTCGTAATGTTGCTCAAGTCTGTGTCCAATTGTGGAGGCTTAATTCCCGGTGAAGGCGTCGATAATCGTTGCACTTCCCGTTTCTCGGTGACACTTGGTGGCCGAGCGACCAACCTTACATCAGACGGAGATGGCAGAGTAGCTGGGGAGGGCAATGCAATCTGTGAAATGTCACTGTCCCTCGACTGATGTGGTGGTATATTTAGTGATCGATCTGAGCTTTCATTGGTCCTGGGCCGTTTCCCACGGGTCCTATGGGGCAACTTTTCTGTAGGAATGACGTAGGTCTTCGACCCAGTGGAAGGCGACTCTATGACGTTGAGTACAATGACTTCGGAAATATTGACTGGGCTGTGGGGCAGCTCTACGATCTGTGGAATTTCTACCCTAAAACGTGAACGAGAATGTGAGAGATCAAATTCTTGCTCCTGCGATGATGTAGCCTCTGGAATTGGTTTTGTCGCAGAGTCCTTGGGCGAAAGCGATGTATTAAATGCCATTTCGCTCCCGCACTTGAAGTCCAGAACAGCAGAGGCGTTAGCTAGGCCTTGTACACACGGTTGGGATTGTCGTTGCATCCTCATGGTCGTCCTGTCACCGAGAGCCGTGCCGAGGTCACTGGTATTCAGTGGCTTGGATACTTCGAGAACGGCGTTGCGCAACATTGCGCCCTCATGTGAAAGATCGTTCGATAAATGGCCAGCGACATTCTCGGCCATTGTCGAAGCTGGGGTGCTGCCATTCCAAAACACGGCATCTCCTCACCCATCACATATTTGAGGTGAGTAAGGACCGCGCACCTCGTGTGTAGCGGAATGTCGTGGTCCCGAGTAACACAGGTGAAAGTAATAGGAACTATATCGGGCATTCCTTCTGTTCTCATTCGCTTATCATCCGGAGGATCTTGATGACCCTCAACCCCTTTTCGTTTCAACCTGATTATTGGCGGTGTAAATAGACGCTCATCATTTGTAACGGGTCCCGCTGTGCATGCTCACCGTCTAGGCTCACTATTAGGAGTACCTGTGGCATCTGACCTTCCTAGTGGAAAATCTTGAGCTGAGAGATCAACAGGCGTAGCGGAGTGGTCATGGGTGCAGAACGGCCGCTTCGAATGAGTATGAACGTGCATGTCCTTGCTGGTACAGCCCAAGCTTCTATTCGTTTGTTGAATCGACCCGTGCGACTTCCAGACGTCTTAACATACCGTTCTGAGTGGCACCCTTGAAGACGCATGCGGATGTAGGCGTCCATGTCTTCGTCTGGTAGATTCATACACTTTTCTTGCTCTGCAAAGAATTCATCCACGTCGTTGTCCAACGGCATTGTTGTGGGGGCGTGGCGTAAATGACTTGAAAAGTCCGCGTCACAAACTTGAATGCCAGCGAGAACTGCGAATTAACGTCTGAGGCACGTGACTTGGTCGACGGTACGCACTGCTGCGACAAAATCTCGAGAAGGGAGGTAAGAAACGCGTCGCGGAAGGTGTTTCAGGGATTTGTCTGGTCCCTTGCTACTGCCTCAGATTTGGCATAGAGATTTAGGAGCAGGGGAAGGGCGAGGTCGCAGATCTGAAATAACAACCCACAGTGCAAATAAAGTTGGCAGCCGACTGCCGCAGGGTTCGCTTGATCACCCCAGCGAATGTTCCAAGCCGTGCAGAAGTGGGTCCCTGAAATGGTTTCATTTCATGATCAACACGAGTATTTTTTATGGCATAAATGATTATTTTGCAACACCTTTCTTTTACAGGTTTTCGAAATCAATGGAAAGCATAAGATTCTGGCTCAGAAATGAAAAATGACTGGAATAGTAATCGGCCGCAGCACCGTGTAGAACGTGTAGCGTGCAGAGGCAGAGAGTCTGGGAACCTGTCGATAGGACCACGGTATTTTTCTGCATGCAATTATTGGACTCATCAGCACCGTCGAGTAAAGGGATGCAACTGATACTACACCTCAACAGACCACGAGTATCCTAGCCAGCGGCGGGGCAGAGAATGGGCGTCGTGAGAGCTCCAGAGACTAGTCCTGCCACGCTTTGTTGCGTAACTGTCGCAAACTTCCAGGCAGCCAATCCAAGTCTTCCAGATCCGTCACCGCCCAGTCTTTTGGGTTGCGGGCGTCTACAGAAAACGAGTCAGCCGCACTGCATCCCGAGTCTATCCTTGTCCTGGACCCTGCTGCCCACCACATGTACTATAATGTTATCGTTGGCAAGAGGCAAACTTTCGCCCGGACGGCTCCGTTTGTAACGTAACGGCTGGCTCAATTGTTTCCCTGCCCCAGCGCTCTCCACGACATTTGTTTGTTCCCAGACACGTCCCTTGCAAATTGCCAGACGGTGATTTGAAAACTCTTCTCGTCCTTTCTTACGCCATTATTGAGCTTTGTCGCTGCCACCCGATGCCATCGCCGCAGACGAGATCTTCTACCAGCCAGCCAACCAGCCAGCTGGCAGCATCGATCAACGTGTCGACAACCCCCGGCCACAATGCGTGCGGCTGCCTATCAGGCTTCTCCGCGATCCCCCCTTGCGCATGGACTCCTGCCGCCCACGGTATATAGCTTACACCCCGCGCTGCCGTCGCTGATCATCATCTCAATCTCGACCTGCTTCCGGGGACCGGCTCATCCTCGTGCTAAACTTCTGCGTCGCTGAGTTGGTATCAGGCTATATAATAGCTCAGGACTCCACCGACATCCCAATTACGGCGACCTGCCAACAATCTATCACACCCTTCTGATCCAACCCAACCCTTTACAGCTTTTCCTCTCCCATCCACGTCGTCCATGGCGATACCGCCCAACAACAATCGTAACAGCGCCCGGGATGACGGGCCTGGTACATGGCCTTCCCATCCTTCTTCAAACAACAGATCTCAAGCGGCGGAACCCGAGGAAGACGGGCTTTCAGACGCCTCTTCTGTTCTGACACAGCTTGGAAACGACGAGTTTCCAAGACACTTCACCGAGCGCGAAGGGCGTCTCTTCCATGCTCATGATGGCTCGCCGTATCCAATGCCCGTAGATGGCGGGGAACAAACGGTCAATTTTTTTCTCTCTTTTCAGCGCTATTCTAGCACCGTCCTGGGTCATTGACGAACGCCGTAACAGAGACTGGACGCACTTCACCACCTACTCTACGAGCGCTTGGACTCGCACTTCGCAGGACCCGTCGGCGACGTGCTAGCCCAAGAGCCAGGCAGGCACAGGCGCGTTTTGGATTTGTGTACCGGTACGGGTAGATGGTGAGTGATCATCTCAACCCATATAATCCGATCCGTTCTAATACCATCTGGCCTTGCTTTGGAAGGGTCATGGATATGGCAAGTATATTCCCTAACGCCAAGTTTTCTGGCATCGATATAGGTGCGATCAGAATCACTTGCGCTTACCGCTTACATACTTACCTATTCACAAACTCGTCGTTTAAAAAGTCCCTATTGCGCCGAGAACAACACCACGCAATGTTCACTTCGAGATTGCCGACGCCACACAGCCGCTCCGGTGGCAGTGACGGAACCATGGATTTTGTGCACGCACGCAACGTATCACTGGCAGTTCGTCAGTCCAGCCTGCGTGTTGCTTTATTAGCCTGATGAACCACGACAGATAGCTCACTACCCCCCGATGTTACGCGAAGCCACACGGGTTCTGCGCCGAGGAGGTCTCTTCTTCTCCGGGGAGATACTTCGCCAAGTGACGTTTGATCCGGAGTGCTTCCAGGGCGTGCCGGCCTTGGATGCGCCCCGGGCAGACAACTTTTATAGACTCATCAATAGAACGTTGGCACTTCGAGGTCTAAACAACTACACAGACAGAATTGCGGAGTTCGTTCACGCAAGCGGGCAATTTGGTGCTATCCGCCGACAAAACTATGTGATTCCGATCGGGGAATGGTCGTCGTCCCCGAGTGACCGACGTCTTGGCGTGAGGTGTCGCGACATCCTGGCCGTGTTTGCCAGAAACCTTGCTCCGATGCTCAAGGATGCTGCGCATCCAGATGAATTTATTGGAGAAATCATTGATGGGTTTGTGGATGACATTGGGAGTGTACGTGGCCTAGTTGCGGTATACCAGACCGTGTTGGCCCGCAGGTGTTAAAACGGTCAAAACGTGGTATGTTCCTGGTTCCAGTCGTGCTTCCTCGCTGTGTGCTTTACTCTCGCGTACTGTGTTGCTCTCTGTTCGTGTTCGCATTACATGTTCTCGGTCCGTGAATATCATGCTTCTTCGTTATTAGAGATTCGCCTTGTCTTGGCCGAGAACTCAGAAGATCACGACGCGAACAAGATTAGCGTCTACAGTGTGATTTAATGACCGGTTGTGACTTTGGAGGAGCGGCTCTGCTATGCTAGGGGAAGGGCTCGATATGAAAGTTACTTTCCGTCTTCCCGTTGGCATAGGCTCCGCAGGATCGTTGATTCGTTCACAGTACAGCCATCCTCGAAACGAGTCGGCGTTTACCTATCGGCGATCGGTGAGATCATCATTGTGGGCGGCCGCCGTGGCATGGGGCTGAGTGTCCGACGATCACAACGCTTAGGATGGGCGGTCTGAGTCCAGGTCAGATCGAGAGGGCGGATATAAGTACCGTCCACAGCCTTCTTGCATACAGCGATCGACACCTCGCGTGCTATCAAGCTATATTCGTACAAACATTCACCCCATATTCAAACAATCTGGAACTCCCTATTTAACTTTAAAAGCGATTCTCAAACCTCGCTTGGACTCCATGGATCAACATTATTACAACTATATTCAAAAGGGCATGGAAACTTACTTTGTGTGTGTTCAAGTGCTTGGACTTCAAGATCTAGGGATCCAGGATCCATATGCAGGCGGTGGTTTCTGAAGTGCCACTTCCGTCTCCATTTCCGGATTTGACTGGATCCGGCGACTTGACCTAACCTGAGCCCTCCGCGAGCGTACCTTGTCTTTGCTGCCTTTGCGAGGACGCTGGCCGAATATACAAGCTACTGCCACAAGCAGAGCTATGGGGTGCCAGTAAGCCAGTGTGACGTGTGTACATGTGGTAAGTTGAGAGTATTGAATGAAGCACGGGAAATGGGAACAGGCAGATACCATCAGAGGTGAATGAGGAGACAGAAAAACAGTAACCAACCTAAGAGGCCAAGTACACCAAACACACCCAGTACTAGGGCTGGTGACCTGGTTTTCGTCTGCTTGGGGGGGTCGGGAATAATAATGACGGTCATATTGTCTGTCGACGGGGAGAGTTGCGAACATCTCAAAATCCCCTCAAGGATACCTCTCAAATAACAGGGCCATTACTTTAGGAGTAGTGGTTTTGTGATTTGAGGGGTAGTAAGAGGGTGTGTACTAGGGGAACCGGATTACATGAGTAACCTGATGAAAAGCCATCAACTTCGGCGGTGGCACGGCTGACATTAGGATGAGGCCATTATGATGTGACCTTGAGGACATGTTTCCCTTCAAGGGACTGGGAAGGATATTCTGACCCGTGCCTGTGTGTTACATACACAACTGACAAATGGGCAAACATTAATGTTATTATCTTATCAGCGGACTCGGCCGATGGGTCTTTCAGGTCGGTTCGGAGTCATTTACAGAGGAACATAACCTGAGCTGACCCTTGACTAGGACTGTCGTGCACGCAGCCCCAGCTAGGATGGCCGAGGCTGGCAAGAATGCACTGTCCATCCGTCTGACAGAGCCATTCATATTTCTGCGCACCAACGACCCTTCTGGACTCCATCCACCAGATCCAGCGGATTCACCGGGACTCGTCAGGGGACTGGTCACTCTCAATCTAGCAAAGCCGACCAGGATATCCAGCATCGAAGTCGAGCTGCAGGCAGTCGTCACTGCAACGTGGCCGGAAGGTCCGTCATACCAATTGACCTCGTTGAGCCGAGTTTGAACCACTCATCCCGTTCGTGTTTAACTAGGTATCGGCCCACGGCGGCTGGACGTAACTAACGATAATACCGTCTATTCTGCCAAGACGACTTGCTTTCGTGCTGATGACCTCTCATTCGCAAGACGCGCAACTTCCGTTGGCCCCGGTCTGTTTCTCTCCAATGCAAACGACTACGATCAGGAACTTCATCCGCGCCCGCCGACCTATACCCCTTCCGCCAGCGCAAGCGCCCAACAAACACAACCCATGCGGTCTGCCCGTCATGGCAGCTGCGATTTCGTTACCCGTAATAGAGAGCCTACGCCTCCCTATACCTCTTCCCCTTCTGCGGACTCTTCCTTTGCTCTGCCCTCTGCCACTGCTTCTTCCTCCCATGTAGGTCAGCCAGGCATTCCTACTACCCTCTCGAGCGCTTCCAGTGGCGTTGGTCAGCACGATGTCACCACATCTAGACGCCCATCAAGCGAAGAAGCCTATCCATTGCCAAGACTCTCACGTGTCTCCCGGTCTCCCGAACGCGGCCGCCGCGTTAATTCACCACATAGCCGTGATACCTCGGCCCGCCGTGAGTCCGTCACCCGCACCAGCCGGGGACGCTCCCGCTTCTCCCTGTCGTCAGTGCTAGACGTCGTCAAAGAAGTCACGGGAACCGTTGGGAGGTCCAAATCGAGGAGCCCTCGCTTCGACAGCAATGGCTGTCCAGAAGAAACCGAACGAGGGAGGACAAAGGTCCGCGCGGCTGTTCCTCCTACTACGCTGGACGTGGACGCTACCCCGCACCGATCCACCTCTCAACAACCTCGCCAGACCTCCCATCCGCACTCTTATAGCTTTTTCGGTCTTGGGCGTGTTCTTGGGCTAGATCACGATGGAGATGCAGAGGACGATGCCGGACGTGGGCGCAAGCACAAGGATCATGGTGAAGGATGGAAGGAGTTCAGAGAGGGCATGTTTCATGTTCACCCATCTTTCATTTCGTATTCATTTGCGGCTAACACGCACTACCTTGTTTTTTTTTTTTTTTGCAGGTACATACACGTACCCGATCGTGTTCCCTCTCTCTCCGCATCTCCCTCCGACATACAAACTTCCATGGGCTTCCCTCTCGTATACTCTTCGCGCCGTCGTGCACCGTCCCGGGGCTTTCACATCCAAAATGACCTGTTCAAAGCCCTTCATCGTCGTTTCTGCACCAGCCGTTAGTACGAGCGAAGGTGGGGGTGCTTCTGGAGACCCAGGTCCAGTTTCCATCGATCGAGTCTGGGAAGGAAGACTCGGATACTCTATCGAGCTTCCAGGTCGGCTTCTTATCGCGGGTGCAGGTGATGAAGTCACTCATCCCGCCAATGATCACGGGGGCGGGAACGTGGGTGGATCGAGGATCAACTTGAATGGTGCCGCGCATGGCGACCGAGCCGATCTCGTCTCGTTGCGCACGTTCAATAGTGTGGAGGCACCCCAGGCGAGGATCCCTGCGGAGGGAACGATCGTTCTCGGTCTTACTTTGGTACCACTGGAGAAAGTTAAAGTGTGGCGTATCGCAGCTTTCATAGACGAGCGGGTGACATATCTCTCCAATGGTACGGCCAGCGGGCGCGACGACACGCTTCACCGCGTGGTACTGTGGAGCGTAGAGGACACTCAGTCCCCGCATGACAACGAGAGGAATGGTATGGATGCGCCTATTAGCGGTAAAGCCAAGGGGAAGGAGACAGCAAAAGCGCCAGAACCGATTCCCATCCTCCCCACGCCTCTTTCTCCACACCGATCTCCTCTCCTTCCTTATCTTCGGTCTGGTGCGGATCCCTCGGATTTGATCGGCCCTGGTCCGTATAACTTTTCGACTGTGCTATCCATCCCGGGCTGCGGGAATGCATCGTCAAAGGGACCCTTGATCACCTTCTCGATTCGTCATCGTGATGCGGGGGTTCGCGTAGAACATACTTTGCGCATTGTCATACGCGTAGAGAGGGTGGACGAGAACCACGACAGTACCTCGGATAGCGTTGAAGAGGATAGCAAGAAACAACTATTTGATATCGCGGTGCAAGTCCCCGTGGTCGTGCTTTCCGTAAGTCTCTCTCCTATAACTGCTCAGCATGCCTTGAAAGTCCTCCGGTTATGCAACTCTAGTGCCGTGCGTTGGAGTGGCAGACTCTGCCTCGGTACTGCGAAGTTCTCGATGACAACGCTGCCAGAGCCCCTGAAAGCTGTCCCTGTGCTGCACGAGTGAGAGGTGGTGTGGTCGGCGAGAGCCAACCAGAACAGCCATACACGACAAGTTCTGACGCTTCCTCATTCGAAAACGGGAGTGTCCCTCACTACATCTACGGATATACATCTACCATCGACGGCTTCTAGTTCCAGGTCGGGACTCGCTTCGCCATTGCCATGGTCTCTTCCACATGCGCCAACACCACCAGACATGCATCCTGCAAACGCCATCGTGCACAAGCAGAGTCCAAACCAAGCGGTGCGACCTGAATCCATGCTAACAGTGCCTCGAGATGCCGCACATCCTTCACATATCCCTCACCTCCACCTCCGTCCGACGCATTCCCATTCGCGAAGTCCGGCGAGAGAGCCGTTACCGACTATTACAAGGTATGAGCGATTGGTGTCCGGTCAGGAAAGTGAGGCTGGGGAAGCGCCGCCTTCGTATGAGAGCGTTGCGGGTAGTGCCAGTCTGAGTGCCTAGTAACGCGACTCAGTCTTTATGAGTGTAATAGTACGTTATAGTCTCGTTGGTGGTTTTCGGTTAGTGGGTGTGGTAGTATATTTTGTTCTGGAGAACCCAATTGTGGAGTACCATAGGCATCAGTAGTTCGTTTACGAGTTGTACTAATAGCACTTGTGTGTGCATTTCTACGCTAGTAGACCGGTGTGATCCGATGTTAGAACCGTGGTTTGGGCGCTCAACGGACTGCAGTCACTCCAATGACACACCACTGCAACCATACATCCTCTTATCCCGAGCTCAACTATGGCAGCGGGGCAAAGTGGATCAAGAATCTGACGCAGGGTCGCCTGTCTAATTTTCTAGGCGGTCACTTTTCAGATGTCAACCTCTCCTCGAAACTCTTCGTACATCGACTCGACGGCCCTGGCGTCGTCGACTTGCAAGTATGGAGCGCACCAGGGTTGACGAAGCCGCTGTTCGCAGAGGCCATACGCAAGAAGTTTAGGTCGGCGAAGAAAGGAGAGTCGTTTGGGCCGTCTTGTGCGTTGAATTCTTGTTCTATTGTCTGTTTGTATGCGGTCACCTTGTTTACAAGGTTCAATTATGTAGGGGTATGTGCACTAATGTTACTGCTCTTGTTGGGCAGACTGATAGAGATGTGTATGTATAGACGAACCACTGGTGGAAAGTGAAGATGACGATTCCTGCGTCATGGAAAGAATACGAGCGGGTCCAACGTGCGCACAGCTACACTTCATTTCGACCTCACCTAACTAGTAAATAAATTCCAGTCGAGTTTGACCCCGGCTGTGAGGCCATGGTATTCTCCACGGATGGCGTTCCGCTCCAAGGTAAACTTGCGTTTCCAAGTCTCAGGCACTGTTATTAATACCAACACCCAGGCATAACGGGTGGATTTGGTGGAGATCGCCGCGTCGAGCATATCATTCCACGCGAAGCCGTCCTGCGGGGAACGTACGAAGTCGTTATCGAATCTAGTTGCAATGGCATGTTCGGCGTCCCGTGGAACGGGGATGCCGTCGCTCCTCCAGATGTAAGTCTCTCCCTCCCCGATTTCAGTTCCACCTATCTCTCTCTCTCGCATTCGTGGCCCTTCCCTGACGGGTTATTATAGATGAACAGATACTTCGGGCTGGCATCTGCCGATCTCGTCGTCCCGAATCAGGAAGCGTGTGCGTGCGTTGCCTCCTCTGCACATTCTGTTATTCACCGTCGCCGCACGGTCTGTCTTTGACAATGTCTCCTTTTTAGGGCGCCTGATGTGGGATTTCAACACCTTGCGCGAGCTGGTGGATGCCCTTCCGGGGAACACTCCATTACAGAATAAGGCCCTGGTCACCGCAAATGCGATTATGAACGCCTTCACGACGGGCGACGATGAGAACATCCACCAGATGCGCGCTATCGCCGAAGACGTCTTTGGAAAAGGTTGGGAAGCCAAGGGTGCAGGTGTCTATGACGAAGGTGCAAAGAGAGTCCAAGTGGTTGGAATATCATATTGTCATATCGTGCGTTGGATTCCAAACCACTGCTTTGAGTCGCGTCTGCGAACCGCTGGCTTTATTTTTTAATGCTTTGCATGGAACAGGATACGGCGTGGTTATGGCCATATGCAGTTACGCAGCAGAAGACTGCTCGGTCCTGGTCGACCCAAATCAATCTTATGGAAAGGTTTCCTGAACATCGATTTGCATGCTCGCAAGCACAACAGTTCAAGTGGTTAGAACAAGTGAGCTGACCTTGATACCTCTTCTACCCCGCGTTATCTTACTGAGGGGGAAACAGCAATATCCACCCCTGTTCGAAAAACTCAAGCACAAGATCGCGTCAGGACAGTTCCACCTCATTGGTGGTGCATGGGTCGAAAACGACGGTAACATGCCTTCTGGCGAAGCTCTCGTCCGCCAGTTCTTGTACGGACAGCGGTATTTTGAGTCTCGGTTCGGAAAGCGATGCGAGACAGCGTGGCTCCCTGACACGTTCGGATTGACTGCTGCCTATCCTCAGCTAATTCGGGATGCTGGGATGCAGTATTTCTTTACTCAGAAACTTTCCTGGTGAGTTGCTCGGTTTCATCGTGCACCTCCCTCTTCTCTCTTTTCATGGTACTAAGAGTGTTATTTTTGCAGGAACAATGTGTACGTCACGGTCGTGCTTTCAAGAGATGCGTAGTGGTTCATGTCCAATACTATATGCTGTTCACAGAAACGTTTTCCCGCATTCGACTTTCAATTGGGTTGGCATAGACGGCACGCAGGTGTTATGTCATATGACTCCAGTCGGTGAGTTATCCTGTCGCGTGCGAGACTGAATACAACGCGGATAGGTACTTACTTCTTGCAGATACCTACACGGCCCAGGCTAATGTAGGGGAGGTTAAGAAAGCCATCTCAAATCACAAGGTTCGTATGTCTCGTTGAATTCGCTTGAAAATCGCACTCAAAAGGTGCTAGAACCTCGAATCGAACGATACCGCACTCCTAGTCTTTGGTAACGGCGACGGTGGCGGAGGTGCACTTCCCAAGATGTTAGAAAATGTACGTGTCGATAGCCGTTCGTCCTCCGTGCGCGTTGACGATCATACTCAGCTGCGGAGAATCAGGGCAGTGACGAATAATCACCGCGAGCTGCCCCCTGTGAGCATGGGTAGCACCGTCGAGCAATTTTTTGAGGATATCGAGAGGGATTCTAAGGGAGGAACGAGTCTTCCAGTATGGTATGCGTTTGCGTTGTTCCTGTATTGTGTTATAGACCAATTATGTTCGATATCAGGCGTGGAGAGCTGTACCTGGAGGTAAGATTATGGTGATGCGGTGGGAGAAGTATTCACTTTAGTTTTTTAGTTCCACAGGGGCACGTATACATCTCACGGTGAGTGCCATTTGAAGTGATTAGATAGACACGATCCAATTGATTCCTCATTCAGGTTCTATCAAGAAGGGCAATAGGAAATGTGAAATCCTACTGCGCGATGTCGAGGCAAGACCGGCCGTATGCGAATATGTCTGTTTCGTCTGACGAATTACTAGCGTGTTGCAACACTCGCAACTATCTACAAACCCGCTTCCAGCAACTACGTATACCCAAAGAAGTCTATCGATGATTGCTGGGAGAAAGTGCTCTTAAACCAGTGTGCGTCTTTCAATTTGGAATGCCCGTCCGTGATCTAATGGTCTATGTACAGTCCACGACGGTACGTGTATACATCTAACACATTGATCGTCATGAAGTGAATGCTATATTGTTTCGTCACACCAGTGCTTCCCGGTTCTGCGATGTGAGTTCCTTGATTATGGGAAAAAGTTATGTTGAGCTGATGATCCACAGCGGCATGGTCTACGATGATGCTGAAAGGCTATACTCCGAAGTGAGGCGTGACTGCCAAAAAATGCTCGATGTGGCGTTCGGAGTCTTGTTGAGAGCCTCGTCCACGGCGTGTGGAGACTCACGATTTGCCGAGAAACCGACTGGTTTTCTCGTTCTCAATCTGACGCCTTTTCCTCGACAAGAAGTGGTTGAGGTCCCTCTATCCGGAGACGGCATTTTACCTTCGTTCCCTACTGTTGTTCAAACATCTTTAGATGGAAAACGTGGCTATGCTTTGATTGAATGCGAAGGGAACGGCCTTTGTGGTCGGGAAATGTCTATGCACGATGAGTGTCTGCCAGTTTGTGGTGCGTCTTTGTTTTGCTCAGAACTCTATGTTACAGTAACCTCCGGTTTTAGTTGAAGCCGTTTCTTCGAACAATTTCATTCTCAAGACCTCTGTCATTACAATGACCATCCGCGAAGGGCGGATTACTAGCATATATGACCTCGTTTGAAGTGCGTTTGGGAATATCTTATGCAAACAGTGTGGACTGGAAACTTAACTGCTTGCCCGCGCAGGCGCGAACTGGTTGAGGAGGGCAAGACTGGTGGTCTTGTTATCTTTGAAGACCGACCAAACTACTGGGACGCTTGGGGTGTGTTATTTCGTTTCTGTTTTTGGGTGTACGTCTCACCCCGTAGGTAGACGTCGAGATCCACCACCTGGAGACACGCACTCCATTGGCGTTTTCTTCGTTCCGCGTGGTGGCACAAGGTCCTTTGCGGGCTACCGTAGAAGCTCGTGTCAAGTATGGCCAGAGTGGTATAAAGGTCATGGTGCGTCAACCAATACTTCGCTGCTTTGACACCATGCTCACGGAAGGCGGGATGTACAAAGATTTCGATGGATGGGACCCATGGTAAGCGACTATCCCTATCCCCCGCAGCAGATTGTGCAATTACGGTCGGCAGCAACCCGGCAACATGACTCCCGACCACTCATCAAGTTTGATGCTGAGGTGGACTGGCATGAGAGGCACAAGTTCCTCAAATGTGAGCCGTCTCAAAGAAGGGAATTGTCAAATGTCAAATACTAATCTGTGGATACGTCAGTCGAGCTGCCTTTGAACATTAACAACACGGTCGCCACCTATGAGTGTCAGTTTGGCCATGTCCAGCGTCCCACGTATAAGAATACCACTCTCGATGCAGCCAAGTTCGAGGTTTGTGGTCATAAGGTGAAATCGTCTATGGACTTGTGCGGTTGATAGTCATCCTGACCCGCCATACAACGTTAGTTTGCAGACTTCAGTGAATTCGGATATGGCGTCGCCATACTGTCCGAGTCGAAATACGGGTTTGCGTGCGAAGGCAATGTCCTTCGTATCTCTTTGCTGAGAGCGGCCACGGCGCCTGACGCGGATCAAGATCAAGGTATCTCCCTGTTATTTATCTTTCCCTGAGACTAATCTGACTGCTATCTTAGGATTCCACGAGTTTTCTTGGGCGGTTATCCCTCATGTCGGGTCATTCTTGGAATCTGATGTTCCAAGGGCTGCATATATATTTAACTCTCCGTTACATGGTAAGTGCGGTGTATACGTACAACCATACAAGCAACGGGGAAGTATAACTTAAATTTTCTTTCACAGTGAGAGCGATCCCTCGAGGAGTAACATCCGTTGAACCGCTCGTACGGGAATTCCCGTTCTCTCTTCACGGTGCCCGTAACGTTTTCCTGGAGACTGTTAAGCGTGGCGAGGATGATGATTTCGAGTCGGCCACTGCCAAGAAAACGGTAGTCCTCCGGTTGTACGAAGCGTTCGGTGGGCACGGACGCATCGAACTGCGGATTGCCCGTAACGTCCACGTCCTGGCTGCCTACACAACAAACCTGCTAGAGGATACGAAAGCAGAAGTGGCGCTTTCTCGGGATGCCCAGGGAGATGGAGCGTCCACGTTGGCTTTGGAATTCCGTGGGTTTGAGGTTAAGACAGTGAAACTAGTGCTTGCGGATGCTGAGGAGGGGTGTACGAGGAACTCCAAGTCTGACCCTGACCCTGTTCCTCTCGGCAGGTGAGCGCCTTGGTCGGCTTGATTCTATTGTGACATTCAGAAGGTGAGTGCACGGGAACACAGGTCCGAGAGTAGGGAGAGCTGGATTGTGGTGAGCGATGATGCCAGCGAGTAATTGGGGCTGGAAGTCTGTGATCCCGCTTGAAATTGTATGTCATACTACCACGCAGTGTGTACGACTAATGTTATGTTGTATGGCTTGTTGTCTCTTTCCAAGCTCTGGTATATTACTTTGTACGGCCTCTGCTCCATACCTTGGTTGGGAAGCTGGTCATCTTCACGCTTTTGGTTTTTATTGCACTCAAGGCCGGATCGGGGAAGTGATCAACCTGTTCGACCAATCAACATTGGTCTGGTAAGAATGCTCCACCTTCAACGGCCGCGACAGCCATCCCCACAACATATGGGTGCTATTTGGAAGCACAACGTACTAGCGCTCAGGTGCCAATCGTACTCCGGAGCACTCAAGGCTCGGTCAACGAACTTGCAGCACTCCAACGTACCTGGTATTAACCAACGGCACCGGCGGGACTGGCTAAATTGACTATGTCAATTTGGGACAGTCTAGCCAGTTCCACAAGCGCGGGATTCTGTCTCGGGACCCGCATGGAGGACCACAAAATCAGAAACAAGTTGTGGAATCATTGAATGCAACTAACGAGTACACTCACAAATATCACGTGAAAATAACGCGTTCGTTGTATTCAACTACCGACAGCGGAGTTCAAAATCAGAGCCACAACCCCGTCCACGGCCGTTGGCCATCGACGCGTCGTCCGCGTCTAATGATGAGCTCGTCCAAGTGTCACAGCGTATCTGCATACTATCCACTATACTTCATAAGATGGGCTGGAAAGATCTTCCCACAAGTCACAAGAAAACCGGTCACAATTTTCTGCGCAATTTTGCCATTTTGCCACTTTGCTAACATGTGATAGGGTCGTAGCAGTAACTGGCAGCATCCTATACGATGGAACAGTCAGACTCTGGTGGTCACAAAATTCAAAACAGTCCAAAGCCTCTGCAGAGTCTGCGCGGCCGCCACTGCGCGCCAAAGAGGTGGGGATGGTTAACAGGTCGTTTCAAGGTGGATCACATCCTGGAGGAGATTGTGGCCCGCTTCGGGGAGGCCACTGTCCTTGCATGGTCAGGGAAGCTGTCGTCATACAACAGCTATCCCCCGGCTTCCATTTCTGTCTACAACCAAACTCTCCGCAACTTCAAGGGGAAGAAATGGAAACGCGCATCACGGAACTTCGCAGAAAGCTGTCCTAGCAGGAAACCCAGAGCATCTATTGTCTGATCGACCCTCTTTCACCCGCCCGTTTAGAAACCCGACGTCTTCATCTTCCATGCATCGTCGTCTCTGTCAAAGGGTCCGGTATACTGCTACTACGTGGAGGCAATGACAAGCTATATCGTGCGAAGTATCAGGGCTTAGAGAAATGAACTTGATGACTGCAGATGAACTCCCGCTGCATGAGTCACGGAAATTTGTTTTTGTGCATCCGTGGATTCATCATATCCAAGGTTCGAGTAGCGGGATTGCCTGGGAAAGTGACCCGTGACGGTAACGCGGATTTGGATCGCGACGTTGGGCTGCCTTCACCATTGCACGTTGTCCCCGCACTTCAGGTTAACGGCTACATCCGATCGTTACAGACGATCGCTTGTCTCGCGCAGCCGTTCAACGTGTTGCAGACAACGAGATTGTCGTCTCTGGCTCGGAACTAACATCACCCCCAAGAACATTCGGACTCACCGGTTTTTTATATACCTCGGTCGGTCTTTCATCTTGTATTGGTCGTTTTTCTTGCATTTTTCGCGCTGCTCTCGTTGGTATTCTTGTTACATGCTGAACGATTGTTTTCTTTCAAAAATTCCCGCACTCAGCTCCTGCAAGCCAAAATTTGCAAGGGATCATGCCGTTGGTTTCTTTATTATGTAGGGAGAGGGTCTGTCACACTTGGCACGACAGGCTCTGACACCGGAATGGATTCTAGCCCACTCTCAGTCTGACCCGTCAGTCCAAGCTGGGAGAGGGGCTCCTAGTACTTGCACAAGTGCTCGTGGCAGCCATAGCAGTCCGCTTGCTATGATTTAAATCGCTGTCTTCAAGTAACCTTGTTGGATTTTCAGTTCATAGAGAAGCGGGGAGATTCAAATCAGCAAGGCAGGAAACTCATTACAATCTGGCAAGAAGAGGAATGTAGGGATATAGGTACTCGATGGCGGCGGTCCCACTGTGGTCCATGGTGTATGGGCAAGTACTAATCGGAGTTTGAACAGACGAAGCTCGTCCTTTGTGCTGAGCCATTCTCATTTTCCAGGCGACCCTCCTAGACTCTTACTGTAGTCTTGCTAGTCTTGCCTTGCTACGTTTTCCGGGTTTGTCAGAGCCATGAGGTAGGCATGCTTACCGGGACTACTCCATTCTAAACACTGTCTCGAACTCAAACCTCAAGGTATCGGGTTAACAGCAAATTCAGCGCACTGCTTGCTCGTTACAAGCTCAGCCTAGTATATGAATTGTGTCATTCCAATTTGAACGCATCTTCTGCCAAGTCCGAAGAGTCGCGATCGTTGGTTCCACCTGGGCGGGCGAGAAAGCTTATGTTGCTGAAACCAGGCTTTTTGGCACGCCCAGGTAAATTCGAGCAAGCCCGCCGCTCATAGCATCTCGTATTTGGGTATATGAACGATCTTCTACATGTGGAAGAACAGGTCTTGCCTATGTGCGCTTTCGCGGCTGGTGGGCCTTGCTGGGCGCCTCGTGAACGGAAAAGTCGGATCTCCAGCGGGTAAGTCTGTCCGTAGATCAGCAGGAACAGGCCCCGTTGTCACAGGACATGATGAGCACGTACAGTGAGTGTTTTGTGCCGTTTGTCGTCGCTGGACGCCCTCTAAACTTGGACACCCTATAGGAATAAGCTGTGCATTCGTCCTTGCTCATGTGTCTTAAGCGTGCACCGATAACAATCTACGGATGTCTAAGATTAGCAAGTGGCTGGCAAGATGTTACGGATACCATCGATTTCGATAGATGCAGCGGTTTGGGAGCAACGAACTCATCCCAGACGTTCGACTCATCGGAAACTAAGCCTTCTAGTACTCTCACTGAATGGGTGATTTTAGGTCTTTTGCAGAGGTATCTTGGATGAGCTTAGATTTCGACGAACGTCTCGTTATCTGACGATGGTCAGGACCAATCTTTCTGCGCAAAAGTGACACTATTGTTGTACTTTTCAGATCAAAGTAAGATACGATAAGAGCCGATTGATCAAGCACTCATCTGTATCGAAACATTCCGGGTTGGCCTGCAGCACAGGCACTTACTATGTCCTTTCGTCTTTCGGATTCGCCTCACTGTCCAGTCACAGTTGCCTGTGCTGGAAAAAAGCGGCCCTTGGACCTATCGCTCCGTGCTGGAAGGATACCACTTTCCTTTTTCTGTTTTAAAGCTCTTTTTCAATCCACGACTAGTCAAACATGGGAATCAGATATCTATCCACGAGAAAGAAGCCGTCCGTATGACATAGGGGATCTTACCTTTCCACTGCTATTTGACGCGTGCCGGGCTGCATATCGCGGGATCGATGAGCATCATTGGACACGATCTCTCTGGTAGTGTGCGATGATTATACCAAAACCTCACGCCTCGTGTTTTGGGGTATAAGATGCCCTCGTGGAGTGTTTTTGGAACCCAATAACACCATGCCTCTCTCTCGTCTTCCAGCGCGGTCTTTCAGTGGGACTAGCCAGGGATCCTCCAGACCAGGCACTCCGCGAGCCCACGACCTTGTTCAAAAGGAACAATGGCTGCAAGCTGCTCGCGAAAGTACTGAGAATTTCAAGCTACACGGTTCACCAGTTCCACTTGTTTGGGTGGGTCGACGATCTTGGGTTGGATGTTTTATGACTGACTTCTTGCGCCAGTTCTACACGGAAGAAAATCGCATCCCTCCTAATGCTGTTCCTTTTAGCGAGGACGTCAACGGCTGTCCTCTCTTTATTGCTCGTGTCCTTCTAGAAGTAAACTGTTCGTTAAACTCATTACCATTGGTCGCTTATTCTGCTTTACCGTAGGGACGCCTCTGTGAGCTTTGCATCTAACGGTGCATGCCCGCGCGCCACGTCTCACAGTTTGACTCACAGATCTCGGTAAAGCTGCCCACCACCTTAATGGCGCTGTGGTCTCCTATGCTGGCAGAGACCGCATCGTAAGATCTGATCCTCTCTGATAAGTAAGGCTGGGGTTCCTGAAGCGTTTGTCCTGTTGGCAGGTGTCGAAGTACGAGGTTCTTACATGTGCCTCTATGATTCATTGGGCATTCCCGAATATCGAACCCAACGGCGTTCTTCCTCGGGGCACCGTGGTGCTTGCTCATCAATCCAAACAAGAAAAACCATTTGGACATGTGCCGGACCCCCACAACCATGGGGGGCTCTTCAATACTAGCCTTCGTCCTTGCGACATCCCACGCTACATCCCCGACGACCACGACAGAGAGCTTGCCCTGAAACAACTAGCGTAGGTGTTAAGTCAGTGATGTGCGTGTAAAACCTAATTGTCGCCCAGAGAAATCAAGACTGTTATTTTGGTCGATGATTCTTTGTCGGTATGTTGATCGCACTCTTTTTTTGTCACTGAAATTGACAAGATTGGTCCAGCTAGATGACGGAAGGGAGCCTCTGGGTCCAAGCTAGAGAGGCTCTCGCTGGCATAATTGATATTGCTAACCAGTATGGATCCAAAGGGGTCGATTTGCATTTCTTGCATGGAGATGCATACGGTGAAAATATATTGGTGAGCTTCGGTTCCGTATTCGAATCGGTGTGTTCGTCCTTACCTGACGAATATCTCGGGTTAGTCTAAACTCGAGGTCGCTAAATTGTTTGATGAGGCCCTGCCGGACGGTATGTAAACATGCACTTCTCAGACAGGCACCCGATTTGATGTGTACTGCAGGCGAAGATACTCCGACTGGCGCGAAACTCGCGCAACTCATCGACTTTTATTTACCACGTGTCGAGATGAGGGAAACTCTGCATCCCCCGATAACCGTCATCGTGATCACGGATGGCGCGGCGAGTACGTGCGTTTTACCTAGCTTAGTAGCTACATACCCACTTTTCACCCATTATCAAGCCGATCCTGAGGAGCTTGAACACTGCATCGTCACTGCTGCTCACCGTCTGGACAGCAACGACGTGAAGCCAAATATGTTTGGTATTGCATTCGTGCAGATCGGCACAGACCCAGCTGCAGCGGACGCACTCCGTGTTCTGGATGACAATCTTGCGGACACGTACAAAATTAGGGTATGACATCAATGACCTTAGTTCTGTGGCTGAACAATTTACCGTCTCCACCAGGACATGGTGGATACCATGCCGTTCAATGCTGCTTATGGCACCTTCGACACAGAGTACATGCTCAAGATTCTCCTTGGCGTCCTGCGGAAGACTGTTGACCACCACGAACACCCGGTTGCGTCGGTTGCCCCGCCTTCGTTGCTATCACCTCTGGCAACAGGAACTGTCCATAGCTCTCCGCGTAGCCTCCCATCGACCCTGGTTTCTGGGGGGTTAGCGGGGAGAAGGTCAGGCAGTCCAGGCACTCCAAGCCGCATGTCCTCCCTTAGATCCCTCCCAAGAGAGTGATACAATTCCAATCTTGTCGGCATGTTTCTCGCCCCAAAGCTCAATTGTAAAGTAATACTCGCACGCGTCTAAAAATGCAATCGTCTTGTACCGTAGTCTGAATGGATAGGTGGCAAAAACCAGGTTTCCATAGCCCGACTAGCTTGTTGTGTTTTTACGTACGTGAAAACGTGGCACTTGCCAAGCCATTTGATAAGAACGCAAATTTGTGAAGCTACTACGTCACTCGATGACTGAGGATCAGACCCTGAACGTTGACAACGCTGAACTTTGAAGCGTTTTTCCGACACTCGGACTCACTCGGACTGCATCAACCATGTGTACCGCATGTTGAAACATCCCTAACTTTAGTAAGGTAAGGAAATTTCTATTCAATTACAATGTATTACAATTCATGCCCAACATTGCAGGGGCGCGTGGGACATTGGGGGCTGGACCCTAGCATCACGATGTAGTGCGATACAGCCCATCCCGCCGTGACAGAGTAAAATGCTCACATGCATGCTTCAGCATTTCTGAGACTGATTTCTCTCTGCCACTATGGTGGACACCCTTATGGGCTCTACTGCTGCGGCCTTTCGAAGTATCTATTACCACAGCGGTACGACCTCTTCCTCACTTCGATTGCAATCCTCTTAATGAGTTCATCATCAGCTGTAGCGCTCGCGCTTTCATCCTGGGATTGTATAATGACATTCGGGGATGAAGTCCGTTGTATTTGGCCGTCAGTCTTTGATACTCCCTGCATTCGCAGAACGCTCATTACCCAATCCTCACAGGATGAAAGGAAGTTATCCTTTCAAATGGTTGTATATATTCCATCGTTATTTTCTATTGGTTATTCAGATGTACGTCTGGTGATTATGTATGACCTAGAGCGCTTTGCCGAGTCACAATATCAATGGTGTAACAGAATGTGCCAGATCGCTCTCGCCTTCTTACCGGCCATGTCTTCGCCGACTTCTTCCATTTGCCTTGGCCTACTAGTGCTTATGACAGTTTTGGTAGAATGCGCTAATTTCACACTGGAATTTATACTGGCGTTCAGAGGTAGGTCTTAATTTTACGGTCCTGGAAGTACTTTAACTCGTTTTTCGCCCGATAATCTAGTTTTTGTGTTGTTTGGTTGCCACCTATGGGTATCGCGCCTCCTTGGAGGTCTTATCCTGTCCGAAGTCGTCTGTTGTATGCCTACTGCATATTCAAGTTTCAAGAGTTACAGCTCTGGCATTCTGTTCGAGTTATCGCCCAATGCGAAGATACAGATGTGGGGTCATTGGTTTCGAACGCTCTCAGCTGCTGACAAAGGAATATAGGTCGATTACAATGGTCGTGCATAGCACTCTCATCTCCTTGACAGTGGCTAAGAATTTCTCTACCGTTGGAGCAAGCCGTGCTGCAAAGAACATCATATCACAGTTGACGCTCGGTGGAACTGTCACCTATCTCATGATGGCAGGTAAGGATTGCCTTTAGCAGCTCCGTGTGTGGGCAATTCATTTTGTTGTGATTAGGTCTACTTGGTCTTGGTTTCACTGTATCCAAGGTGCCGGATATGCAACCAATTATTCTGTTATTGTACGTGTCACATCTTATTTCAAAGCTTGATTCATAATGCTTCGCATACAGCTGGGCTTTGACTATACATTCGATCTGCGTAAGTTCCTTTTGCTATAAAATATTTGTGTAGATTGTGTTCACATATCGCATAACAGGGAAGTCGACTGATACTGAATATGGCGTGCATGCAGGACCATATGCAAGGTTTACGGGGGGTCGAGGACATTCTACTCACCACCCAGATTGATATTTCCCTTTCCGAGGACTTGGATTGACATCAAAACACACAGATTGACTTTCGCTTAGAGCAAGCGACCCCAATCCACATCCTTTTTTCATGTCGTCCTATGTATGTATGTGCTAACTATAGTAGTTGGGTAGTGAAAGGTAGTCGATCTTTGCAGTATTGAACCACCAAATGCCCTCGGGGTGCTCCTGGATGCTTAGTAAGTACCAACACCAGTAGAGATTAGACCTTACTCCCCTGGGGAAGGAGAGGATAATACAATTGACTGGCTTTGCCACAAGTGCCATGTGAGAATGGTGTTATATGAGGAGGAAAAGCTCAGCTCAAGATGACTGGGTAGTGGCTTTCCCAACAGCTGGGGCAACCTTCAGTACATCAACAAATGCCTCTGTTCTGTACAGCTCTGGCCAGAGTGATCTTGGCTGTGAGTTTCTGTCCAGCTTGCCACAGACTACAGTATTTTAAAGGTTACAAATGATGAGTTTATTGCTAAAGGAGAGTAAGGTAACTAAATAGAATTAGTATGGTCTAATACTAAGATATGAGAAGAAGACATTACCTCAGGCTTCCAGTTGGATGAAGACTGAGGTGCAAAGGAAAAATTGTTCTGCCCATACAAGGGGTGATTATGTAAGTAGGAAGTTCTTGCTGTTCTGCACAACATCCAATCTCCAACACACCCACTCAGTGAAAAATGACCTTAATAAATAATACCCATACCCTTGGTAAAGCAGACATGCTTTTCTCATGCAAGTCCCTTGGTAAGGATGTTGGCAACCTGTGTATTTGTTGAGACATAGTCAATGGCAACCTCACCAGCCTCCAGCTTCTCTTGAATGAAGTGGTGATGAATAGAAATGTGCTTCATCCAATCATGGAACATTGAGTTCTTCACCAGAGCCATTGTGGACTGATTATCAAGTAGGAGTGGTGTTGGCTTGAGAGAGGGTGTCATGTTGAGCTCCTGAAGTAGAGTGTGAACCCAAATGGCCTCCTTTGTCACTGCAGATGCAGCCATATACTCTGCCTCCATGCTGGATAATGCCACAGATGTTTGCTTCCTCAACAACCAGCTGACTGCCCCACTGGAAAGTATGAAAATGTATCCAGTGATTGAATGGCAGTCATTTATGTCTGAAGCCCAGTCAGCATCTACAAATCCAAAAAAATTTGTTGTCAAAGTCCCAGAGTATGTGAGGCAAGCATCTGTTGTTCCATGAAGGTACTGGTAGACACGTTTGAGAGCTCCCCAATGAGCCTCTCCAGGTGCAGCTGCATGCCAGCTCAGTGCACCCACTGCAAATGCAAGGTCTGGGCACATAGCTAGCATTGTGTACATCAGCACACCAAGCACACTATAATAAGCCTTTATATCCACCTCTGGTTGCTCCAGTTTGGCAAGCTTAAGGTTGGACTCAATTGGTGTAGTGACAGGGCAGCCTTCTTGCATGCTGAAGCATTTGAGGATGTCCTCAATGTATCATCTCTGAGATAGCTCAATGAGCTGCTTGTTGTGATCATGTATAATCTCCATGCCAAGAATCCATCTTGCCTCTCCCAGGTCTGACAGGTCATACTCCTTCAGGAGTGCATCCTTCAATCATCCAATTGCCTTTTTGCACCTTGAGAGTATTAGTTTATCATCTACATATACTGCCACAATTATGAGGACTCCATCCTTGACCTTATAGAAAAGGGAGTGATCAGCATGACTGCAAGTGAACCCCAAGGATTTGAAGACTGTGCAGAGTCACTTATACAAAGATTTATGGGCCTGTTTCAACCCATATAGTACTTGTCATTGCTGCCAAACTTGGTTGCTTGCACCATGAAAACCTGGTGGGAGTTGTAGGTAAATTTCTTTGTCCAGTTCTCCATTGAGAAATGCAGATTTGACATCCATTTGATGGATCTCAAGGTTGTACTGAGCAGCAAGGGCAAGTAAGACATGAATTGTAGAGAACTTGGTTACTGGAGCAAAGGTCTCCATATAGTCAATCCCCTGCATCTGTGTGAATCCTTGCGCCACCAAATGCACCTTGTAGTGCTCTATTTCACCATTTGGGCCTCATTTGACTTTGAACACCCATTTGGAGTTGGCAATCTTTCAATCTTGAGGGTGATCAACCTCCATGCCATAGCTTCATCAAAAGTGTCTGGTTCTCTGTTGTGAGTGGCCTTAGCATGGTATGTGCTGGCATGTTGCTGATTTCATCAGCAAAATTACAAGTTGCTTAATCTGACTTGATTACTTGGAATTTTGTTACCAAGTCAAAATAAGGTGTCAAGTCACTTAAGTGAATTAAGTGATTATGACTTGGACTGCTTGGGAGCTTGTGCACATTGAACATTTGAATAAGTACTTAAGCAGATTCCAGTCACCAAGGATTTAAGCATGCAAACTATTGTCAATTTATTGAAATGGTTTGGGGTGCTGCACTGGTAGCATATGTAGTAAAGGGGGGGGGGAATAGGACAGCTAAGAATGATATAATGGAGGCATAGGAAAAACAGTCAAAAATCAGTGAGTCAAGATAAAAAGGATTGATAGCATGAAGTCAGCCAATAAGATCCTGGTGCTTCATAGAGTTGATGCATGAACAATGAAGCCAATAGCAGAGATGCTGTATGGGGACTGAGGGTATTGGAGGTAGGGTTTGAGGTTGAGGGAGTCATAGGCAAATGGGAGATGACAAACCATGTGTGTTGGGGGTAGTGAACAAAGAGGGGGGGAGAGCATGTATAATAAAATGGTCAATCTGGGGAGGGAGCAATGGATATGATTGCTGACATACCAATTACCAAAACCTGAACAGATTCTGGAAGTCATTGTTGTCATCTTCATTGGACACACTACTTCCAGCAGATCTCTCTTTCCCCTTTGCACTGACCTTGGCATAGCACTGAGTTTCTTCAACAATTGTGGAAAAGTTTGCATTCAAGAGCACCATGATTAGCTGCAAAAGCTTACTTGTCATCTCACCCATGTCTGGAAATTGAATCCATATGGTTTGCCATCAGGGATAATGACCTCCCAGGTCACACCAGAATTGCCTTTCAACAGGACAGTGTGCTTCTGTGGCTTTGATCCGGACATGAGTTTTTTGAGTTGTAGGTTACCATGTGCAGCTAGAGTTGATGCCCAGTGAGCCTGGAGGATGAAATCAGCTGACTAGTGACAATGAGATATGATAAAACCTATGGCTGTTGCAGCAAGGGTGAGTGCAGCTTGAGCAGTGAATCTTTTCACTGTCTAACTTGGGAATCTAGGGCATGGCCAGCAACAAAGTTGAAGTGTGATGTGAACATCTGTAATACAAATGGAGACTGCCAAATACCAGTCCACATCTGCCAAAAAAATCATTTAGATATCAAGATGATGATGATATCTAGTACAACTCACCTTGGGGTTGATATCTTCATTTCCACTGAATAGATAATGGTTATGGTGGAGCATGGCTGCTGCAAAATCCTCTCACTGTTTGGGATTATGAAGGTCAGTGTCTTGAATAAAGAATGTTGCAATGACCATCAATGCTGTTGCTGCGAAGCTGCTTCACCATTTGTTCAAGCACTGCTTTCCCTAGGATTGCAACATAGGGTTAGTGGCACAACTATGAAACTCAAGTTTAGAATGGTCTTACCACATGGAAGACTGGCCCCCTAGGAGCAATATAATGTTCCACTTTGCCACAGTAAACTTCATCCCAGATTATCTGCATTGCATCCTGAAGGTCACCTGCCTCAATAGTCCATGGATTGACATAGCCCCCACACCAGTGGGCAAGTGAAGGGATGTAGATACCATGCCAGACATTTCCATCTTGACACCCAGGTGGAAGGTCTTGGTCAGTGAACTTGCTGCTTGCATTGTTCCTTGGACAGTTGGGAAGTTCAATAACTCCATCTTCTGCCTTTGTTTCAGTGCATTTTGACAGTGGAGCAGCTGATTGATGACCTTCCATATCAGCCTATAATGGTGTGAACCTACTTGCTGGGTGCTCAATTTAGTATGTGCCACATACCTGTGAGACCAGAGGCCATTTCAAAGATCCTCTCAGAGGAGTCAACACCTGATCTACTTCAATCACCTCCTTATCTGAGCTCAACCTGTCATAATACATCGATAGCTCACTCTTCACAGGCTTTGCTGACACTGCAGTTTTGGCAATGATGTGTGGTTGGGATGGGGGTGGTGGGCTGATGGATGGGGAATGTACATTGTTGATCACTGCAATGGATACCTATTCCACTGAGTCAATGTGCAGGATATGCTGATGATTATGGATGCAAAATACCCTAGTACTGGCATTGCTTCCCTTACTGATGCTTTCCTGTGTGTAGTTCCTGAACTCTGCCAATTCACTGTCTTCACCCAGGTATGAAACAGGCACAACTCTACTGCTGACACTTGCAGGAGTGGGCAGTGGTTGAGTGGCACTTGAATGAGTAGACCTTGTGCTCCCTTTGACCCCAAAGGATGTCACATTCAAAAGTGAAGAAGCACAGGAATGCGATGTGCTGGAAGCACTGACTTTTGGAGAGTGGATGGCCTTGCTGCTCAAAAGTTTCTCTGCCCAGTCCTTTACCTTTCCAATTCCTGCAATATTGCCCTTTGCAGAGCTAGATTGTACATCAAGGAAGTCCCAGTAGAAGAGGATGGTTTTGGTGAGTAAAAGCATGTGGAGTATAGTGATGGGAAAGGACTAACTATGGCATGCTGTTCCCAGGACATTGATGTGAAGAAGTCCTTCATGCTGCCTCAACAAGGTCACATGTTCCTATTTTCTGTGCACACTGCTTCCTTACTGTGTGTCATGACTGTGCATTTGTCCTAGGTCCTCACTCACTCCACACCCCATTCCACTGGTCATACACTCACTCTGCACCAACTCCACCCATCCCCTGACATTTACAAGCCATCTCTGCTCTGACTGCTGTTGGACTTGTACTGCCCTCCTACTGGACTGTGCAGACCATTCTCTGAGGAGTCATGTGACTACCCTTTGGGCTTCTCCATGACAGCATGCAGTCCAGCACCTGGACTGTTCCTTTTTTTGGATGTCCTATGTTACCCATTTGTATGTCCTCTGTCTACCCTTCATTCATCATCTGGGAAGTTTTACTTGAAAATTTATGAGTCTCCATATGTCAGTTCCAATTCCAGTTACTGTACCTCCATAGTAGTATAAAGGCATGTATTGTACTCTGGTGTTCTTTAGTATGAATATTGACTTAGTTCCTACTCCCTCTACCTCCATCTGTTCTGTCTGTACTCTCCCTCTGAAATATGAGGGCTGAGATCATGCAAGGGGGTAGCACATAAGCTAAACCCAACACCCTCACTCCACTCTGCCTTTATCTCAGCAGACTTTGTTCCTTCCAACACTTTGCCAGTCAGAGTTCAGTTCTTTCTGTTGGACTTGCTTCCAAACCTCTCCCCAGACCTCATCCAGCATTGGAGTTGGTCAGAGTAGGCCTGGACTTGACACTGTGACAGCTTTGTCAGCAACTTTCATGCTGTTTTCAAGGCTCTCTTCCTGAGTTGGACCATCACCAAACATCTCTTCCACATCTTCCACACCATTGGCAACATCTTGCCCCATGGCAGCTGAAAAATGGATTTAGGCAAGTTTTATTAGCCAAAATAACATTATAAGTGCTTACAACAAGTTGCCCTAGTCTGCTCCTGTGATAGAGGTGCCCTGTGAGTCCTGGGCTGTTGACAGGATGTCAGTAAATTCCTTTGTGCCTCAGTTCCTTCATTGATGACTTCAGTGACCTGTTTTATGGCACAGGCTTTTGAAACTTGTTCTTCATGCTTCTCTTGGCCTGGGTGCTGATTGGCATTCTTGGCACAGGTGACTGGATGTGACATCTGATCAGGACATGCTTGTGTGCCTCGAGTAGGAATGGGGGGATGAGGGAATGTTTAGGCTCCATGTGCCTTCAAGTTCTATTAACCCACAACTGAGTCTTTCCCACCCACTGTCAGCATCCTTAGCCAATAATTCCTCTAACTTGTGCTGAAATGTTAAGTAACATTTTTATGCTCAGTGCCATTGGTGACTGGGATGTATTCTGCATGGTGAGCATATACTGCTCATTGGATTCCCTGCAAGTTTTCAAGCTGCTGCCACTGGTTTGTGTTGCCCACTGGTCTCAGGACACACCTAAATGTGGCCCATAACTTCAACATTGATGCACCCAATACTCATGAAGATGCTCAACCATGCCCTCCCCCCAATGTTGTGTGGGAATACCATGACAAACTGACAGGTATGTTGGCTCATTTCTATTTATGTCCATCTTAAATTTTGTTGCACAGGAAGGATTTGCAATGAGAATGGTCTGGACATCCCTCAAGATGTTCTGCCTCCCCTCCACACTCCCCAAAGTCCAGATGACTGGACACCATATTGGAACTGTCCTGGAGTTTGAGACCACTCAACTCCTCTTTTCTCAAGCACAATTGTCAACAGGTAAAATTGACCAGTTACTTCACTTATGGGCATTGTCTCTCACACCTCATCAAGATACCTCACCATTTGCTGACCACACCAATCTCTATAAAACAATTGATGCGACCCCAACAGGTGATGTGCCTTGGGAGAGCTTCAGGCTCAAGTACAGCAGCAAAAAACCATCAGAAGATGTTCCTTCCTAGATGAATAAGTCATATGATGTCTGGTTCTGGGACCCCCAAGTCATCATCAAGAATATTCTTTCCAATACTGACTTTAATGCAGAAATTGACTATGCTCTGTATTGTGAATTTTCAGCAGACAGTCACTCACAAAGGTATAAGGATTTCAGTGTCCAGTGAGTGGGCTTGGGAACAGGCAGTGCATACCTTAGCAACACTACTGGTAGGCTTTCTTTACTAACTGTTCTTCCAGGATGAAATTGTGAAAGAGCCTCAAGCAGATGGTGCAACATTTGTCCCTGAATTATCCTGGGCAGCAACAAAACAACTGTATCAATTGCTATGGGCCAGAATGACTACTGGCCCATCTACCTTTCCATTGGCAATGTTCATAACCATGTTTGGCATGCACATTGCACAATGCCATTGTCCTAGTAGCTTTCTTACCTACTCCAAAAGGTTGTACACTATTTACTTCTCTCCCTTGTACACTGATCCAAGACTTGAATGCAGCCAGCAAAAACACTCAGATGATGCCCTCTTCCACAAGTTCAAGAAACAAAATTTTCATGTAGAGCTTGCATGAATTCTTTGACTGCTCAAGACTGGTATGATGACCCCAGACGTTCTTCACTGCCCAGATGGCCACTTTCATTGCATCACTTATGGCCTTGGGCCTTATATTGCTGACTATCCAGAACAGGTTTTACTTGCTTGCATTGTGCAGAATTGGTGTGGCTGGTGAGTAGATGCAATTCAAGGTATTTTGAATGGGGCTGATGATCCATTCTAGATGTATGGCAACCCCAGATAACTTGGATGGAGGTGGTGTGCCTCATTCCCACTCACTTGCTGATGTACTGAAGTGTGTGTTCTCACTTGTTGAATTGTGGGATGAATGGGGGATGGATGTGGAGATTGAGGTACAAAGTTTGGATTTTAGATGCAATTTGGACTCATTGCAGTTGCAGCTGTTTACTGATGACTTCCCTTGAGCCAGCATCTACTTGTTATTAGCACCTGACATCCTACATCAACTGATCAAAGGGACATTTAAGGATCATTTGGTTGAGTGGGTGATGAAGTACCTTGAGCAAACTCATAGAAAGGCTGGAGCAAAGGAAATTCTAGCTGATATTGATCAACAGTAAGACACTTTTACTCTGAGTTGATGCACTTACTGATCCAATATATGAATAATAGCATTGCAGTTGTTCCATCCTTTTCAGGTCTGTGACATTTCCCTGAGGGACAGGGATTTTCACAATGGATAGGCAATGACTCAAAAGCACTAATGAAGGTTTGTTTCTTGTCCAACATGCTGGATTCCTTTCATTGCATTGACATTCATGAAGGTTTACCTCCCTGCCATTGAAGGCCATGTCCTGGACAATATCATTCATACCTTTCAGGCATTTTTGGAATTCTGCTACCTTGTTCAGAGGGATGCAATTACTGATGAAATGTTGGTGGAGATTCAGGATGTCCTCACTTGATTCCATCATTATTGTGAAATCTTTTGCTCTACTGGTGTCCACCCAGATGGATTCTCTCTTCCCTGTCAACACTTGCTTGTCCACTATGTGGCACTCATCAGATCATCTGGCATGCCAAATGGCCTCTGTACATCAATCACAGAATCAAAACATATCAAGGCAGTGAAAGAGCCATGGAGAATGTTCCAACAAGTATAAGGCACTTGGTCAAATGCTGCTAACAAATCAGCATTTAGACAAACTCACAGCAGCAGCTGTTGACTTTGAAAAGTGCAGAATGCTGAAGGGTTCAATTGCTTAAGCCACTCCCACTATCTATGTATGTTTGTTTCTCACTGCTTCACAGCCATTGGACTAATTCAAAGCTAGGTGATCTTTGCATTGATTCTGCTCCCATACTCAGAGAAATGGATCCAGAACATGACCAGTTTGACAATGTCAATGATCCTGGCATCACAGATGAAAGGTTGGAAACCATTTACTCCATCGTCAAACTAGCACAAGTGCCAGGTATCACATCAATCTTTGGCATCTTATTACACATCTTAATCTCACTAATGGTAGCAGCTAGAAACTGTGCCACCAAAGTCCTCTCACTTGCAGATGAGCTTGGAGTTCCAGCATTTCCCAACCTCCTTCAGGAGTTTTTGTCTCACCAACTCAACACATTGGACACCAAGCTTCAGTGCTTGGCAACTCCCACAGGTCATATCAAGGTTTTCCACTCTGCCAGTGTGATGTTTGTCTCACCAAGTGATCCTTGCAGGATTGGGAGCACATGCCATGAACAGATTTGAGCAACACCATCCTGGTATGGTGGTCCTGAACATTATGACACTGTGTTTGTGAACACAGACAACACACATGATGGGATGGAGGGCATGAATGTAGCCCAGGTTCTTTGCTTTTTTTTGTTACCATGCACCAATGACTTATCATACCTGTGTGCTCTCATTCATTGGTTTGATTACATAGCAGACATGCCCAACAAACTGACTGGGATGTGGATGGTAAAACCATCCTTCCTGGACAACAGAACTCATGACCTTGCTGTTGTTCACATCAACACCATCATACAAGCAGCACATTTAAATCCTATTTTTGGTTGGGAGTGTGTTCCACTGTCCATTAGCTTCAATAATTTGTTGGATGTTTACTGTGGATTCTACATTAATCATTTTATGGACCACCATGCATTTGAGCTGTCATTTTCATGCCATTACTTAGTTTAATTGGACTGACTTAATATCCCTTGGATGACTTGGGTAGGCATGATAATGCTTGAACAGTCTTATTGGACTTAAATGCTTGGTGTGATTTTGGATGAAATTGCCTAAGCAAGTCTTTTTAACTTGATGTTACTTAGTGGCTTGGCATAAATGGCCAAGTAATTAAGTTGTAATAAGCTGTAATTAAGTAAAATTAAGATGGCTGTAGTTCTGCTGATGTTTTCTCACACTGCACCTCATTGCTTGCAGGTGGCTCTGTGGCACTTCCCTCAACTCTCTCCACCCCCTCAACATCCACAACACTGCTCATTGCTGGTAAGTTGTTTCCTGGATGTCGTAGAGTCGCTTTCTGATAGACATTGACAAAAAATTTAGGATCATCATCTTTGATAGGTGCTTTTTGAGCTTGTGAAGACCTTCAGACAGCTGCAGGTGGGATGGGGTGTGGGTATGGTGGTCATGGTCCTCTTGCCTCACCAGGGCATTGCATGGACTGGCCAGTAGTCTTCCTGGTTCCTTCTGACATAGTACCACTCGCATTTTCAGTAAAAACCTGTCCCTTAGCTCCATTACTGAGATCTGGCAGATCCTCCTCCTCTGAGAGAGATTGAGTGGGATTTTCTATGGTAAGGGTCTCTTTTTCTTCATTGTCCACCTGAAAATGGTCCCTGTTACCCATAGATGTGACATTGTACTGGTCTGTGACATCCTCACTGTGTGGATGGTTGTCAATGGCTCCCTCTGTGGCCTGGTGAGTCTCCTCTTTGTTCAGCACCATTCAGCAAGCTAACCCATCTCTTTTTCCAAGTGTTTTGATGTTTCCACTGATCAGGACACAGTTTGGCCCCCCTGCATCACCCTCATCAAATACAATGTCTCTAGACTCTATAATTCTCCCAGTAGGCTGATGAAGGCATATGTAGGCTTTCTTATTTTCTGCAAAGCCAAGGTGCATGCATTCAATTGATTCTACATCCAGCTTTTTGCATTTTTTGTCTGGAATGTGGACATGTGCCTTGCAGCCAAATACTCACAGGTGTGAGAGCAATGGCTTGTTCCTACTATAGGCTTCAGGTGGGGTCAGCCTATCCTTCAGAGATCATGTAGGTGACCAGTTTATGAGGTATGCAGCATGAGCAACAGCATCTCCCCAATACTTATTTAGGAGTCCAGCATCATTTAGCATTGCATGAGCACATTCAATGAGTGTGTGATTCATTTGCTCAGAGACTCCATTTTCTTGGGGTGTTTAAGTGTTCATTTTTTCATGGTGGACTCCTTTTGACTTCAGGTAGGCCTTGAAGTCATGAGAGCCATACTCCCCTCCACCATTGCTATGAAGGTAGTTTGGCTGTTTTCCTGTCTCTGCTTCAGCCCAGGCAAAATACTCCTTGAGTAGTGGCAGTACTTTGTCTTTAGTCTTCAATAGCTTTATGACCAGGTGATGTGAGTGCCCATCAATAAAGGTCACAAAATATCAGTGGCCTTTCTGTGCAGTTGTCTCCATCAGTCCACAGACATCTGAGTATGTCTGATAGAGGACACTTGGGTTCTCAGTTCCCAACTTGGCTGTGACCACATTCTAACCCTGCCTCCCTGTGAGGCATGACTTACAAGGTGTGTCACTGACTTGTTTAGAGCCAACTATCTCCATTCCATTGACCAACTCTTTATTTTCCAGTGCAAGCACAGACTTTGGATTGATATGACCTAGGTGGTGATGCCAGGTCTCAAGAGCTGCCTTTGAGGTCTTAACATGTGTTGCAAGGGCTGATAGAGTAGTTGTAGGGTTGAGTAGTGCTCCAGGTCCAGTTACCACATATGCAGAGTTGGTTCCAGTGCATGGGGTTGCTGCTAGGATGTAGAGTGAGTTTTCTTTGGTTGCTGTAGCTGTGACATTACCACCTGCTAACACCTGGCAGCCATGCTCTCTGAAGACAACCTGTAACCCCCTTGTAGTCAAGGCAGGTACTGACACCAGGTTCATATCCAGTTCTGGTACAAAATACACATCGCAGAGCATTGTCCCTTTCACTGATCCATCTGGAAGGTGCATGTCAAGCTCTATGTGACCTTTTCTGATAGCATTGATGGATCTACCATCTCCAATGATGACCAGTTGAGGGGGATTTAACACATGGAAGGTTGTAAACCAACTGCATTGGCATGACATGTTTGCTGATGCTCCTGAGTCAATTATCCAGCTGTCTGCATTCAGTTTGGCTCTGCTTTGTGCCATAAAGAGTTGGAGAGTGCTTCCATCTCCACTGGAGGTCACCTGCACTATCTTAGCAGCTAACTCTGCTTTCTCTTTAGATTTCTTCTTTTCCTTTTCCTTTTCCTTGTTGCCCTGTGGTGCTTTCTTGGCAGCCTTGTCTGTGGTTTTCTTTTGACATTCCCTCTCAAAGTGACCAAGCTTCTTGCAATAACATCATCTCATCTTTTTCTTGTCATCTGGTGCCTTCCCATTTCCATTGTCAGTGCCTCACTAACAGCACAGTATGCATGCTTGACAAACTCCTCAACTGCTCCTCAATCAAGACTTGAGAGGTCACAGAGTCCACAGTGAGCTTGTCACTTGTAGACATGAGGATTGTGCACAGGGTAGAGTGGGACTGTGGGAGCGAAATGACCATTGCAATAGCTACCAATGTGTCATCTAGTGGTTGACCAAGGGATCATATGATAGATGCCTTCTGAACCATCAAGTTCAGCTGGGTCTCCAGCAAAGACTCTTCCAAGAGTGTGTTGTGGAATAGCTCTCCAATGAGGTAACCAATGGTCTGCTTTCCTTTTCCCTCATATCATTCACTGAGTTTAATCCAGGCTTCTGCTGCTGTCTTCATGTGTATGACACCACTTAATGGCTCATCCTTTAGTGTGAGGAGGATTTGTGCTCATGCTTCCTTATTCCTTGTCTCCCATTCAGCATAGTCATATGGGTTCATCTTGGCATCAGGTGCTTTTTTTCCAAGCCACCAACCACAGACCACAACCCATGTCATGGTCATGTGTTCATCCTAAGTCCTCACTCACTCTGCACCCCTTTCTGCCAGTCATTCACTCACTCTGCACCAACTCTGCCCAACTTCTGTCAGTTACAGGCCATCTCCACTCCAGCTGCTGTCAGACTTGTACTGCTCTCCTACCAGACCAAACAGACCATTCTCTGAGGAGTCATGTGACTACCTTCAGACTCCTCCCTGACAGCTTGCAGTCAGGTACTCTGTGGCACATGCACCACATGGTCCAGCACCTGGACTGTTTCCTTTTCTGGATGTTCTATGTTACCCATTTGTATGTCCTCTGTCTACCCTTCATTTGTTGTCTAGGAAGTTTTACTTGAAAATTGCTGGGTCTCCATATGTCAGTTCCAATTCTGGTTACTGTACCTCCATGGTAGTATAAAAGCATGTATCATACTCCATTGTTCCTCAGTATGAATATCAACTTAGTTCCTACTCCCTCTGTCTCCATCTTCTGCCTGTCAGAGTTACCTCTGACTGTCCATCTGTACTCCCCCTCTGAAATATGAGGGCTGAGATCATGCAAGGGGGTAGTGCACAAGCTAAACCCAACACCCTCACTTCGCTCCACCCTTACCTCAGCAGATTTCATTCCTGCCAACACTCTGCCAGTCAGAGTCCTGCTCTTTCCATCAGACTTGCTTCTGAACCTCTCCCCAGACCTCATCCAGCATTGGAGTTGATCAGAGTAGGCCCAGACTTGACAGTATATTCATACTTGCACTTGTATGATCTTGTTTTCTGTCTTCTGAAAAACTTACACCATTATGAGAACTCAAGCTCAATCCCAGAGAGAGGTCACTGAGAACCTTGCTGTTGTGCTAGCTAATCCACATCAACTCCTTTCCATTGTTGAACAGTTCCAATCATTCTCTGCTTGACACTGTTCTCACACTGAAGGTGAAAGTGCTTTGCAAGCTGGTCGCTCCGACCTCCACCCAACCACTTTCCATACTCTGTCTCCTCGAAACCGAGATGATGGATCCAACCCTGATGACCCTGATGGTGATCCTGACGGTGGGGGCAGTGGTGATGGGGATATCCCCAAAGACCCAGCTGAGCTGCCAGAGGATCCCCTCATGGCTCTTGCTAGAGCTGTCCATGCACTCACATGGTCTAGTTTGCACACTGGGGATTCTGCTCCGAAAACCAAAGTCTGCAAGCCTGACACTTTTGATGGCTCTGACCCTAAGAAACTCCATGAGTTCCTCATACAAATGCAAGCTGAACTTCCAGGACCACCCCTGCATGTTCTGCTCCAACAGAGCAAAGGTTACCTTCACCCAGTCTTATCTTAAGGGTATGGCCCTGGCTTGGTTCAAGCCAGACCTACTAAACCCTGACAATTATGACCGCCTGCTCTGGATGGACGACTATCATGAGTTCTTACAAGAGCTCACAACTAATTTCAGTCCACATGATGCTATAGTGGATGCTGTCCAACAACTCAAGAACCTTACTATGAAGGATGGCTCTTGAATTACAAAATATGTGATGGAGTTCAATCACTGGGCTTCACAAGTCAAGGACTATGGTGTCAGTGCACTCCACCACCACTTTTATAGCAGACTTCCAGACCACATCAAGGATGAGATTGCTCGCATAGGAAAACCTTCTACCCTCACACAACTCTGCAAACTCGCTCAGACCATCAATGCACACTACTGGGAGCATAAAGCAGAGATCTCACACACCACCAAGTCCACCACTGACAAGTTGCAGCCTTCCAGCTCCAACAACAAGTATAAATCATCGTCCTCTGCCTCTGCTCCAAAGTCCAATGCCAAGGGCAAGGGCAAGCAGAAAGATCCACCCAAGTCCAATGTGTCCAAGTCCAATATTGCCCATCTTCTGGGCAAGGATGGCAAACTCACCTCCACTGAATGCCAGCATAGGATGAAGAACAACCTCTGCCTCTTCTGTGGTGAGGCTGGCCACTCCACTAAGGACTGTCCCAAGTCTACCTCTTGCACAGCC